TATAATACATACTATATATATACATACTATAGTCATACTCTATATACATATATACATACTATAGTACTTATTCCCAGATTATAGCTATAAACTAGCTATACTAAGTATTAAGTAATACATATTAAACTAACGATTACATATAGTAATACATAACCATATACTATAAACAAAAAAAACCAGAGTTGATCAGATTTCGAAGCGTCGTCCTGGGGTTTGAATTCAGGACAAGGCCTCCGCCGTGTCCGCGTAAGGACGGCCTGACGGAGGTGGAGAGCGTTTTTCGATGGTTACTCTCCAGTAAACGAAGAGTTTGCTATGGAAAATCACCAGTTAATATATGTCGATATATGTTATATAAATATATGTTCATAGACAGTTAATCATAGGTCTATTAACGTATATTAGCATATAAAAAACTATTTCTATGGCCATTTTCAATAGCGAACTGTTAAATTACCAGAGGGTAAGTATTGTAGGATATAAGGGATATCATAGGAATATAATGGGGACAACCACCTTGAAGTTTTTTTTTTTTTTAACAACAAGAATCGAGTGTTTAAAACCAAGCTACAAGAACTAGGCTACGGCATGGTGTCGTGACCTTTAACGCCAGTTGAGCGTTTTGAAACATCAAACTGGGAGGTATTTGATGGTATTTGCAGGAGTCGTAAAAATTGAACTAAGTGGGATGGCTTTGCAAAAAAATATGGGATGAAACTAACATGCCTTATTGCATCTACTAAAACTAGCCTCCATGGCTGGGAAATCTGCGATCTACATGTGCAAATCAAGGAGCTATAGATGGATGATATCCCAGCCATGGAGCTGATTACAAGAGGAAAATGGACGACATGTAGTTACACACAAATCGAAGAACACGTCATATTCAGCTAGAACTGATTGTTTTCTGCAGTGAGTATTTCAGATCATACCCTCTGGTAAACGTTTACATAACTATTGAAAATCACCATTTTCAATAGGAAAATCCTCTATAAATGGTCATTTTCAATAGATATGTTAGTTTACCAGAGCGTAGCTGGATCCCCCAACAATTTGACAATCAAAAATAAATTGAAGTAGACGGGTTCCCTTATCAGTTGACGGAAAAGACCGCGTGTCGGAGAGATCCAAGCGCTATATTATCATAGCGCATCCAATGTCACTAAAAAAGTGATGTTTCCACATAACCTGAGAAATACCTGGGGATTTTCACGCCATAAAAATTGGGTTGGCTTGGTCAATGGGAATTTCAGGATTGTAAAATGGCCTTACATATGGTAGGTACCTCCAATTTAGGTTCCTAAAATCTCCATTGACTTGGTGAAATTCCTGTTCTGAATCAAGAAAGTCGCCGAGAGTCTCGCCAGGTGAGTTTGGGGAAATCCTCATCGTAGTCTGGCAGGGACAGGCTGCCGTTGAATAAGATCTGCCGAAAAAGCCTCGACCCGATGGTTTTTTTTTTCTACACTACTAGGGAGATGTCTTTACCATTTTTTTCCGGATTTGGTTGAAGAGACAGATTCAACCGCATGTGCATGGTTTTCACCCCTAAACGTGAGGGTAAACACCTCGGTTTCCTCCAAATTGTTGTTTATATAACATGTTCACTAACAAAAACAATCCGTTGATTTTTTGGGCCTCGTTGGGTTCAGGTCGACGATCACACACAGAGTCGTTTGGTGCTGGCGGCTATATATATATATATTTTAATATTATTATTATTACTATTATTATTATTAATTATTAATTATTAATTTATTATTTAATTATTATTATTATTGTTGTATATTTGCAGTAATTTAGGTATCTCAAGTATCCTGACATTCAAATGGCATATGTAACAAGTGAGGTGTTTAACATTTTTAGGCAACAAAGCTTGACCTCACCCGCTTGACCCTTGGTGGGTGACTCCCATGTCCCGAGTAACATGACTGTTGTTGAAAACAATGAAAAAGCCAGGATCTCATGGAAGATGATTGGGGATATACTGGGAATATCAGCAATAATATGGAAAAATATCATGGAATATGGAATATAACCTCTGGTAAACATTTAAAAATAACAGTGGAAAGATCCACCCATTTTTATCATGGGAAAACTCCCTATTTCAATGGCCATTTTCAATAGCGAACTGTTAAATTGCCAGAGGGTACATCATCCCAAGTTTTCAGATTTGGTTGAAAGGACATGGGTTGCAGGGCAGGGACCCCAGATTTTCTTCGGACAACCCCATGGGTTTCCTCGAAAAAAGATCACTAGCTAATCATCCCACCGATAGTTCAATTGTGAAATATTGTAGTGCGTTTCGGTCTGATCCTGAAAACCTTTAAACATCTTGGGAATGAACTTGGGACATACTTGCAGGCAGGGTCCCCTCCTGTTATAAGTTGTTTTTTCACCTCATCTATATATATATATATAGCTATAGATATATAACCCCCATAAATCCAAACATTAGCCTTGTTATAAACCACTTTGCCTATCTACGGGGGGGGGGCATTCCTCAATGTGGATTATTAGTAGCTAATGGTAACATAATTCAACACTGTAAATTTCATGGGATTACCCTCTGGTAAACGTTTACATAGCGAACTGGAAAATCATGGAATTTTCAATGGATAAGTCAACTATTTCGACTGGGCCATGGCTTCAATGTCGCAAACTGTAACAGTCATTACCATCTTCCAATGGAAAGATGGGGGGTCAAAACCGATTGAAAATTACCATATGACCGGGGGAATAACCATCCAGAAAAAACTCCAGGAAAAACCAAACATATGACTTAGGGTACGATCTGGGTTGGGGTTCTGACCCATAACCATATATAAGCCACATATATATATAATAATAATAGTAATACTACTACTAATAATGATGATAATAATAATACATATATGTGCATCTATGTGTGTATAAATAAATAAATAAATAAATAAATAAATGAATAAATAAATAAATAAATAAATGAATAAATAAATAAATAAATATATATATGTATATATATATATGTGAGATGGAGGTACCCCCAAATCATCCATTTTAGAAAACGGATGTGCACCGTTGAGGGGTTGAGGCTCGGCCTTTGCGCGTCCAGATGGACGAACTCTCGAGTCTGCGAAAAAAAGTCGCTGCACGCGGTGCGACGCTTCGGGTGAGGGAATGGGGTACTCATTGGATTGGTTTTGTTGGGAAAATCTACAGGAAACCATAGATTTTCCCATTCAATATGGGGCTTTCCTGTAAATTTTCCCTTAAACTAATCCAATGAGGTACTGGTTTATAGGCCACATTTTGGGGGTATATCCCCTTACATAGCCATTATATATGGTAGGTACCTCCAATTTAGGTTCCTGAAATTGCCATTGATACTGGTTTTTGCCATGGTTTTTGCCAATGATAAGTTGTTCCCCATTATGTACCATATATACAACTATGAGAATGAATATAATATACATAATACATATACATATTTTATGATAATCATTAGTAATGTCAATTTTTTTATAGAAACAATCATACTGCTATTAAAAATCATCTGTCTAGTCTATATATCTGGGTAAACTACAACGACCTCACTATTCTCCCTCACTGGAATCATGGTGTTTATAGGGAAATCATCCCCAAATGGCCCAACAATTCAAGATAGTGAAATATTATAATTTACCCACATATATATATAACATATATATATATATATCTATCTATTATCTATCTATCTATTATCTATATATATATACATGTATATGGGTGAATTGTAAGGACCTCACGTCGCGAGGTCACGCGAGGTCACGCCAGGTCACGCCACGTCACGCCACCATCTGCTTCGAGTGGACTTTGCACATCTTTTAGCGTTGAGTTAAGAGATTTACGCCAGGGCCTCCAGGCTATATATAGAATATGATGATAGATATATACCCTGTATGTGATAGAAATAGGTCTATTTTACATAGAATACATGAAATATAGATATAATATACAATATACACCTCAATATGATGATAGAAATAGGTGTATGTGCTAAAATCCACTAAAGAACCACTCACTTTTGTCGTCCTCAACTTTTGCCCAGGAATTCTTGTGAAGTCAGACGTCATGGTGACCCAATTTCACCAGCAAAATGGGAGATGTTCCCTGTGAAAATATGGGAAAAACCCATGAAAACCATCTATAAATGGAAAAATCATCGAAGTAAATTCAACGGCCATGCAACAGGAACCGATTGATTGGTTGATTGGAACTACCTACCATATATTTTTGGCCAATATATATTTCAGGCCTCTGTAAGGGAATATCCCCAGAAAATATGGCCAGAAATATGATACTAACGTACATACATTTTAGGATCCTGAAATTCCCGTTGACATAATATGGAGGTGTTCAATCTATGGGGGATCCCCTTTATCGCTCGCTGGATGGTTTTTGTTCTGGAAAATCTCAATCCAAAATGGATGATGATTTAGTTAGGGGTACTGTCATGACTTAGGCAACCCCCATATGGTCGAACAGGAGTAAATATGTGAGACATACGTGAGATATACAAAAAACTGCCATCTCCAAGTCATGTGGGACAAAAAATGCCATCTGCATCATCCCGACTTGTCATCACCATTTTGGGTGGGATTGAAACCATCCCCGGTCATGGTTTTGTGTGCTAAGTCATCATCAGCCAATCAAGCCTGGCTGGAAAGGTGATTCACCATGAAATGTGGGGATTTTTGGTTGCCATGTCTATTTGAAGGTTCCCCCTGAGTTTTCTTGCTGCAACGTCCATTTCTATGGCTTCTTTTCCTTTTTTTTTTTAAAGATGTGTGGTTTATTAAATCTTCTTGCCACTTCATATCAAATGCCTTTCGAACATCCATTTCTATGGCTTGTTTCCCTCTTTTTTATGTGGCTTAAAAATACTCCTATCACTTGATATCTATGGCGCATTTGCACGTCGCCCAGTGGGCTCAAATTGCCTCAGCTGATTTGAAGCCCGGCAAAAGCAAAGAGACGTGATGAGCCACTTGGACCATGAAACCAAGGTGACAAGAGCCGTTTTTCATGGGGATGTTTTTGACCCGTACGTATAATGGGGAATAACGGGGATATATGTATATATATATACATACATATATATATATAACCAATTTTTTGAGCCAATCTATAGCATGTGTTTTCGATAGCACTGATAGCACCAAAATGAATAGATGGAATTGGATTGAATTGGAAGAAACCAGGGCAATGTATTCGACCAGCATCCGGTTGGGAGACAACCCAACGAGTCTTATTCACAGGTCGTGCCTCCCCAGTTATTTGTTTAGTTTGTTTGCAACCCCCAGGAATATCCATAAATTAGTATTAATATCCATTAATATCCACTAATATCCATTGATATCCATTGATATAGGATATAAGTTAGTTCACAACCCCCATGATTATCCGTTAGTTCGATATGTGATACACCATAAAGCCTGGTTCTTGGTTACGTAACCAACGAAGAGCTCACGAACTGGGGCACCACAGGTCACCACCATATTACGAGGGGAGCAGTGGCTGCAATCCACCCCTGTTGGTTGATGATTCATTGGGATTTTGTTGGGGGACTTTAAAAACATGTTTGAACCAGAAAATATCATGTGGATATAACTGGTTTGTCTGATGGTTGGTTGATGATTATATGATATGATATGATATCTATGGAGTTATACTATCCAATATGAATCACTATGAATTGGGGGATGATCACCCCATCCATTTTCACTGGGAAATCCGCACCCTGAAAACCTGATCAAGGTGGTACCCCCCGGATCAAGTGGCCGTTTCTTTGATTCGTAAAGCCCAAGGAGTTGAACACAAAAAACCAGCAGGTAACTACCAGAGCTTGGAGATTTTTGCCAACTTGATTCCCATGAAATTACTACGATATCCCATCAAGCCGCCCACATCCATTAAACAATCCTATCATCCCATGGAAATCCCATTGAAATCCACCATTTCTATCATTTCTGTTGGTTAAAGCATGTTAAACCCCCATTTTTCTTCACCTGGTTTTTTTATCTTCACCAACCTTCGCAACGAATCGGAGTTTTCGGATGTTTGGAACGGCACCCAGGTCTCTTTGGCTGGCAGTGTACCTGCGGCGGCGAGGTGCGGCTTTTGGCCTTTTTTTTGAGTGAAAAAACATGGGAACATGGCAGAACAAAAAGGGATTTTCAGTGACAAAAAAGAGGACCTGTGGATATGATTTTATATAAGTGGCATAGATAACATGGAGCAAAGAAGTGGAGATGTGGAAAAAATGGTGTCAAGAACTGATGAGAAAGGGAGTCAAAACAGGGGAGTTTTGATGAGTTTTTGGCAAGTAAAATGGGTGAACCGCAAAAAGATGGAAAAGATTGCCAAAAGAGAATCTGGTTGGTGGTTTGGAACATTTTTTATTTTTCCACATATTGGGCATAATAATCCCAACTGACTAATATTTTTCAAGAGGGTTTGAAACCACCAACCAGAATTGGTGGCAAAAATAATAGATATTCAACGAAACCCACAAAGATGAAATTTCCAGTCAACAACAAACAAGCACCACAAACCAATGATACTGAGACATCAAAGATCTGGAACACCCTTGAAGAGCTTCGGTAACAGGGATTTTCATTCCGCACCACGGCATGTGTCCATGGATCAACTGTTTAAGGGGATGGACATCCATAAATCCATCATGAATCCATCATGAATCCATCATTAATCGCTATTTTGATGTGATTTTCCAGAATTTCCGATGAACAAATTCACCTTTCAATCCATCCCCCATGGCCACATGTTCTTCTTCGGCTGGTGGCCGGTGGCCCCGGCCCCGGTGGCCCCGGTGGCCCCGGTGACGCCGGTGACCCCGGTGACCCAGGAAGCAGGCGAAGAAAACCAAAGCAGCGATGTGAACGCCCTGCGCGTCATGGAAGTTGGGGGCCCAAGATTCGCTGAAAAAATGCTGGTTTTTCACCAGAAATTGGGTGATTTCAATGGGACGATGGCGTCGGATTTTTGGGAGCTAAGTGGGTCAAAAAATCCTATGGTAAACTATGGCAATGAAATAGCCATAGTCATCGAAAAAGTGGGGCAAAAAAAACAAGAGCCACATTCCACGAAAAATTTGCCCGACGACGTTTATCCCCATGAAAAACAGCGAAACAGTCCCACACTGTCACTGGCGAAACAGGGCGAAACCAAGAAGACTCGGCCGAAAAATCACCGGAGACGTAACGATGACGTTGTCGTCATCGGACCAAATCGTTGTGTTTCGTTGGGAGCTGCGAGTTGTGGATTTCAGGATACAGGTCAAATTAGAGGTTTTCCAGCTGGAATTTGAGCTAAACCGGTCGAAAAAACACAGTACCTGCGTCTGAAAATAGGACCATGGGAGGCACCAAAATCCCATGAACACCAAAAATGGGAAGAATGCCGGAGGTAAATTGTGCATTTTCAGATCCGTTAAGCGCCGGTTCGGCGTTAAGCTTGGTCGGAAGTATGAAGGACAGATCATTTACTATGGTTAATGATGGTCAATGTGGAGATATTTATCGTTCATGATTCATGATGGTTAATGATGGTTCATGATGGTTAATGATGGTTAATGAATTTACTAACACCATTAATTAACCATCATTAACCATCATTAACCATCATTAACCATCATTAACCATCATTAACCATAATTAGCCATCATTAACCATCATTAACCATCATTAACCATCATTAACCATCATTAGCCATCATTAACCATCATTAACCATCATTAACCATCATTAGCCATCATTAACCATCATTAACCATCATTAACCATCATTAACCATCATTAACCATCATTAGCCATCATTAACCATCATTAACCATCATTAGCCATCATTAACCATCATTAACCATCATTAGCCATCATTAACCATCATTAACCATCATTAACCATCATTAGCCATAGTAATTATTGTTAATGTTGATGGCTTCACGATATTTCTACTGTGACAGTTGGCCAACGGCTGCGGCTTCTGGTTCCAAGAACTGGCGGCGCACCTTGTGGAACTTCGCACGATCCGCAGCTTTTGACACCGTCCTGGCTCTTAGAGTCGTCACAACGGAAGAGTCGCATTCCCCAAGATCAGCAGTACATAGCAGTACTAACCAGTAAGTCAGCAACTTACAGAATTCTCGGTTTATGAATCACTGGTTTTACATGCTAACAAAACATGGGCCATTTTCATCCATTTTCTACTGGAGGAACCTGGGAGGGACCATTTTCGTGACCCATTGACGAAGACATAGTGCGCTTTTGTTATGCACTGGACTTTCGGAATCCCACATGTTTGCACCGTTCGTTTATGATCGAATTTTAGCAGGAAGGCCACCTTTCACTGCGACCAGCCAAAAACCAAGGGATGTCCACTGCTGCGGGCTATGTCGCGTCTGGTGCCAATGAAGCAATTGAGATTCAAGTGCTCTGCTATGCCTTAATGGTGAAGGATGCAACTTCAGCCTCAGTGGGTCCGCATTGGGTCATGAAGTGCAGCAAATGGTTTGGCAGCAACTTCCTTCAAAGAAGGGAAGAAGATTTGTGATCCATCACGAGAATTCACCACTGCTGCTCCACCAGACACTGCAAGAGCAAGGTATTGTAGGCAAGACCGCAACACTCTCGTGCACATTTGTTCCTACTGATTTGTATGCGGCATTCTGCTACATCCAAGGACTACCAGTCTTTGAGGGAGAGCGGGCACTGGAAGGACTGACAGGGTTAAAAGGAACTACCTCTGGCGAGTATTTGCAACATCTTCCCAAAAGTCTCGAATCCATTGCTTTTGGTCATCACTTTCACCAGACCCTGGATGGAGTGAGCTTTCCAAGCAGTCTTAAAAGATTGACACTTGGTGATGAGTTTAATCAGACCCTTGATGGGGTGAGCTTGCCAAGCAGTCTTCAGAGCTTGAAATTTGGTTTTCGCTTTAACCAGAGACTCGACGGAGCGAGCTTGCCAAGCAGTCTTCAAAGCCTGACATTTGCTGGTGATTTTAACCAGACCCTTGAGGGAGTGAGCTTTCCAAGCAGTCTTCAGCGCTTGACATTCGGCCATGTTTTCAACAAGACCCTGGATGGAGTTAGATTTCCCAGCAGTCTTCACAGCTTGCAATTTGGCTTTCGATTTAACCAGAGGCTGGAAGGAGTGAGCTTGCCAAGCGGTCTTCAGACCTTGACATTTGGAGATTTATTCAATCAGACGCTGCATGGAATGAACTTGCCAAGTGGTCTTCAGAGCTTGACGCTTGGCTATGAATTCAACCAGACCCTTCAGGGAGTGAGCTTGCCAAGCGGTCTGCAGAGCTTAACGCTTGGCCGTGATTTCAACCAGACCTTGGAGGGAGTGATCTTGCCGAGCGGTCTTCGGACCTTGACATTTGGAGATTTATTCAACCAGACGCTGCTTGGAGTGAACTTGCCAAGCAGTCTGCAGAGCTTGACATTTGGCCGTGAGTTCAACCAGACCCTTGAGGGAGTAAGCTTGCCAAGCTGTCTTCAAAGCTTGACACTTGGCCGTGAGTTCAACCAGACCCTGGCCGGGGTGAGCTTGCTGCACTGTCTTCAGAGTTTGACATTTGGCTTGCACTTCTACAAGAGGCTGGAAGGGGTGAGCTTGTCGCGCAGTCTTCAGAGCGTCACATTTGGAGATTCATGCAGTGAGACCATGGAAGGAGTAAGCTTGCCAAGCGGTCTTCGGACCTTGACATTTGGCCAATCTTTCAACCACAAACTTGAAGGAGTGAGCTTGCCAAGCGGTCTTCAGCGCTTGAAATTTGGTTTTAAATTCAACCAGACCCTGTACGGAGTGAGCTTGCCAAGCGGTCTTCAAAGTTTGACATTTGGCCATGATTTCAACCAGACCCTGGAGGGAGTGAGCTTGTCAAGAAATCTTCAGAGCTTGACATTTGGCTCTGAATTTAACCAGACCCTTGATGGAGTGAGCTTGCCAAGCGGTCTTCAGAGTTTGTCTTTTGGCTTTAAATTCAACCAGACCCTTCACGGAGTGAGCTTGCCAAGTGGTCTTCAAAGCGTGACATTTGGCCGTGATTTCAACCAGACCTTGGAGGGAGTGAGCTTGCCGAGCGGTCTTCAGAGATTGTTCTTTGGCTGCGATTTCAACCAGAGCCTAGATGGAGTGATCTTGCCCAGCAGTCTTCAGAGCTTGAAATTCGGTCCCCGCTTTAACCAGAGGCTGGAAGGAGTGAGTTTGCCAAGGGGTCTTCAGAGCTTGACATTTGGCCAGTCTTTCAACCAAAGGCTGGAAGCAGTGAGCTTGCCAAGCACTCTTCAGACTATCATATTTGGTCCTAAATTGATAAGTGTATTCTGATGTCTACAGAACAGAACGTATTCAAACTTTTCAAACCAACTGCCAAAAAAAGATCCAAAAAGTGTGTCATTCGAACTTTTCTACGGCCACGCTTTCTCAAAAAGTCATCCCGATGGCTTTTTTTGATCGGTAGTTTGGGATGGTCGGATGGTCATTCGATCGGAAATTCATTCGAGTTGGATGATCCAAACGATGCCATAAACTACCCATGACTGGGAATGATTTATATATACCACCCACAAAAATGCTGATGTTGGGGATGGTTTATCATTGTTTTAACCACATTAATCAGGTATTAATCACTATTAACCACTATTATAGTCACTATTGTAATCACTATTAGTCACTAATATATATATATTATTATATTTATATATATATACATCATTTTATGTATGCTTTTAGTAGACCTGTCTTGGTGCAAGGCTGCTTTTTGTCTTCCCCATGGGGCCCATGTGCTGGAGGTTCCCCCAGGTTGATGACATTGATGACCCTTTGAACTCAGCAGTTTGCCGATTTTTGTCAGGTGAGATGTGACTTTGTTCACCATGAAAAAGGAGGATCTACCCTCTGGTAAACTAACATAGCTATGGAAAATCATCATTTTTAATGGGAAAACACACCATAAATGGCCATTTTCAATAGCTAACTGTTAGTTTACCAGAGGGTAACCAGAAAACAATGGTGTTTTAGGAATATGATGGGCATATGATGTGGGAATATCATGGGAATGTTACATGAACAATGGGAAATAATGGCTGAAACACCATGAACAATGGGGATACAGATATAATGGTAATACAATGGTATAGTCATCAATTCATTAATAGGGATATACATCTATTACGTTTGGATTGCCATGGCATGAGATACATGACCATATCCCACGTTATCCCACGGTTTTGCATGGCTAATGTGGGCATGGGTTACAGTAAAACCTGAAAAACACCATTTTTGGGGCGATGAACATCCATAAATCCCAGCTATGTATTGATGTGAACAGCAGGGGTATCAGGTCTCTTTGGCACTTTCCTCTCACCAAACATTTTGCTGGATATGATCTCCATTCTCTGGTCTTTTTTTTTTGCCAGATCCCAATATTTGTTGCTTAGATATGGTCAGATCACGAAGTACTTTTGGTAAATATACATTTCTATTATATATATACACACACTACATTTCTATGATATAATATATATATAGATAGATAGATAGATAGATAGGTAGATAGATAGATAGGTATATATTTGCTGATTTCTGGGAACATGAAAATGACCTCACTGGCCCAAAAATGATCTTCCTGTGGAGGATGACTTAAAAAGGCCTTAGTCCACGTGACTGTCCATGGTTCGTGTGGAGCCGCCACGTTACTGGCTGATGGTTTGGAACATGAATGGATGATTTTTCCATAATATTTATGGGTACCCTCTGGTAAATTAACATAGACCCTGAAAATAGCCTAGTTTTAATGGAAACTAATCTTCCAACCCCTATCTGCCAGGGTCTATGTTAATTTACCAGAGGGTAAATTATGACGACCTCACTGTTCTCCCTCACTGGAATCATGGTGTTTATAGGGAAATCATCCCCAAATGGCCCAACTATTCAGGTTAGTGAAATATTATAATTTTTCCATAATTAGTGGGATAAGCTTTAATCATGGTTAACTGGTTGGTGGTTGGGAACCATGGAATTTTATGACTTTCCATTCATTTGGGAATGTCATACTCCCAAGTGACGAACTCCATCATTTTTCAGAGGGGTAGGTCAACCACCAACCAGTTTATTCTTAAACCATAGATTTAGTATGATTTAGTGGGAATTTTGATGGGATTTAATGGCATAACTAACAATAACCCAACAAAGAATTGGTAAGTGACCTGTGGTTATGTAACAGTTTGCGAACTGCAAAATCACAATTTGTTATGGGCAATTATCAACGAACTAAATGGGCCATTTCCAGCTCGCAGATGTCCAGATCCACCATGCCATTGGTCGTGCATGGCATCCCCGATTCATGTTCCATAAATTAATGAACATAATGTGTATATACATATGTATATATATATATACACCTACACATGTAGATTGACCACACATTGAAGTTCAGGTTATCAATATGTATCTATATAGTTAGTGTGTATATATATATATAATGATAACACACACACACATATATATATATATGTATAATGTATGTATATATAGTAATACCATATAGAAGTTACATACAATTATTTCCACAATCCAACTCACAGCAAAACCTAGGAGGTGGGCCTCGCCAAGAAGGTGCGTCGGGGCTCAGCTGGTCACAACGTTGCGGCGAGGATAGAAATAGCTTTAAAGTAGGATTTTTCTTCATATCCTCTATCCAATATTCATCAATATTCCCTAAAAATCCCCAAATCCCAGGAATCCCAGGAGCGAAATGTGAAATTTCTTCATATCAAAAATGTCTGCTCCCAGGAGATGTTGTAATACTTGGAAATGACCGAACATTCTGTGGCTCTGAAGTGTTGACCCCTTGCCATTTCATCATCCCAGCGGTTCTTGATATGAAGATCCAGAAATCCCGGCTATTTTGATGTGATAATGCAGGGGTACCAGGGTTTTGAACCATAGCCATATGGTGATTTTATACATTTTATACTAGAATTATGGGTATTATCTTGCCCATATTTGCTGTAATATCCATGATTTGATGGTGATCTTGCTACAAAATATGGTTTCAACATGTTTTAATCAGTACATAGAACTATACGGATATTAATACATTCTGTAATTACCGGAGTTCTCATCCTACCTAGTTATGTATAAAGCGGTTGTGACCTGACTCTTGAAGTTAGAACCCCCGAGCAGCTGGGCTCCTGACCAACACATTAATGAGACAATGGTATCCCATGATTGACTTATATCATTAATGAGATCCGCTCATTCCCATTGTGGGACATGGTCTGTTCTCTGAGACTTGAAGAAATTGGTAAATTTCTCGTAGATTTTTGGCTCGTTCTCGATGTACTTGCCGCTGCCAAGTTGCTTTTCATATTATTCTGATTCGACTCATATATTGTTCTAGTGTCATGTCATATTCTGATTCATTCTCTCATTTTCATTGAGGTCGTCACATCTTACCTTACGCCTTGCATCATCCCAACGTTTCTTTTTGGTGAAATCCTAATCATCGTTGCGTTTTTATGTTCCCATTGTTTTCCCATAGCTATAGTTCCCGATGTTCTCATTAAATCCCATTCATAAATGGGTATAATCCCATTGATTATAGCTATACCATTCCCATTGTTTTCTCATGAAATCCCAAATACTCCCGTTCATTTCATTGGTTTTCCCGTGATGTCCTTCCGTGATGTTCATCCACATCTGATCCCGCACAGGAGGAACTGGAAGAGCGCGACGAAGTGGAAGTGGAAGGTGGTGCCAAGTGCGCCGGGCCCCACGCGACTGGGGTGATTTGGATCCGGGTCCTGGTTGATGTGTAGTTTTTTTTTTTTTCCGGGTAAGGCGGGAAACATGGCAGTGTCTTTCAAAATCGTAGGTTTTTATCATGTTTTATAATGTTTTATCATGTTGCATTCAGGTTCTCGAGCTCTGGGTTGAGGAAGACTCAAGGATGGCCATGGATTGCATATTTATCATATGATAAGTATGAAGTGGGCAGCCATCGAAGTTAAACCATCTTAAGAAGATGGGATGCCTGAATCGGGCTATATATGTTAATCTTTCAAAATCCACAGTTTGCTATTTCGGAACACCTTCCTAGCTAGCTGACAAGCTGTCCTTTCGCGACTCGATTCCAACAGGCCGGATAGGCCCCGCAGGTTGGGCATTGGAAAAATGCTGCGACTCATTTCTTTTCCAAAGTCAATTCGGCTCAGCAAGAAAAGATAAAAATTATTCTTCTGCGGGTGCCAATGTTGGATGCTTCCCAAGCGTTGCTGGATCGTTCACCAAATGGTCCACGCAGCCAGAAGTGGAAGCCATGGGTTGCTGTTTCACCATCAGTGGCTCCACAAAGCCAGGCTTCAGAGAAGTTCTGGCGGCGGCTGATGACTTTGTTCAGATGGAGATCGATGCAAATATGCCAACCTTAACTACCTGGGGATGGCTTACGACTTGGCTTTTTGGGAATGCCACAACCGCATGGCGTTTTTAACCGACTGGAAATGTGACATAGGTCCCCTGATAGCCCAAGACTTGCGTGGGCCCGCGCGGGCCTCCGCGGGCCCTTCGCGGGCTCTCCCCGCGGGCCTTCGCGGGCCTTCGCGGGCCTGCGGGCCCGCGCGGGCCCGAGGGTTTTCAGGTCAGCATTTTATTGTCTATATCTTCTTGCATTCTGTCTGGCATCTGTGTCTAGCAAATTTTTTCCGGTATTTATTCTGGCAATCCAACAAATATTTTCAAATATATTCTGGCATAAACTGACATAGTCGGACCCGCGCGTTCTATCTGGCATATCTTTTGGCGTGCTATCTGGCATATGTGTCTATCTGGCATAACTTCTGACAATTCAAGGCTGCCATGCTATGGCATCTCTTTTGGAATTCTTTCTGGCATACGTGGCTATTGTGTCTTCTCACTTTCAGTGTGGCATTCTATCTCACCCGGGCGCTTGTGATCCAGGTCCGGCGGGCACCACTCTGATCCGGGTTTTGCGGTTGAGGTCAGGCGCGGCGAGGAGGACAAGAAGGAGGAGAGGAGTGGCTGACATAGAATCTCACAACCCGGAACATGCAGGTGAAGGGACAACACTAACAAAGTGAAAAAAGCACATGGAAGCACGATACAGGCAGCACAGTCCCTGTCCGCTATGGTGTTTTATTCAATCAAAGGGCATGGTCACGCGGTATGAAGTTCCAAAGATTCAAAAAATGAGTGAACTTAAATCATCTTAACCTCTCCGTGTGGACTGAACCCTTGCCTGTTGCTCCCTCCAAAACTCCAAGTTTCTGTACAATCACAGAAAAGCGATTCATGAGCGCCGTCATGCAAAGTAGAGGTCAGTTCGGGCTCTACAAAATCCCATGGGTCAAATCAGACCTTGCATTCACAAAATCCCAGCCTACGCCTACAACGCCATTTTTTCAGTGCACTTTTGGGTGGGATCCTCACAAATTGATGACCCCAGGATGCTGGCACCGCAAGGTTTGTCCAATTGAACCCATTTGAAAAAACTAATATTTCATAATACTTCTCCAGAGGCTATTTTATAATACTCACTGGTCTCGTTTTAGGTATGGGCGCCTCTAAGAGGCCGTGCTTTTTTGAGGTTTTTGGGGTGGGGTGGGGTGGCAGGTAGTTGCAATAACGTTCATGTCTCTTGTGTGCAAGGTGATGCGGCGTGGATGCTGCGCTGATGTTACGTTGATCATACGTTGATTCTACGTTGAGGAGATGTTGATGCTACTGTTGGGGTGGGGTGGGGTGGGGTGGGGTGGGGTGGGGTGGGGTGGGGTGGGGTGGGGGGGTGCAATATCATTCATGTCTCTTGCGTGCAAGTTGATGCGACGTGGATGCTACATTGATGTTACGTTGATCATATCATAGGGGCATAAGGGGGGGGGTCTGTGGACCGGGGGCAACTGTCGAGGTCCGTTTGAATAGGATCTGAGTTGCTATTTTCACTCAAAATCCACTCAAATCCTACTCAAAATCCACTCAAATCCTACTCAAAATCCACTCAAATCCTACTCAAAATCCACTCAAATCCTACTCAAACCATAAAAACGATAGATCGAGGTGGTTTTGAGTAAGCACTCTTCCCTCAACCGGACCTCAAACCGTAAAAAACCTCAACCGTAACTCAAAGAAAAAAACCGAACCTCAACTGAGGCTCAGCGTAGGCTCAGCCCACACTCAGCTGCGGCTTAACTGGTACTCAACGTATACTCAACGCATACTCAACTGATACTCAAACGTATATCACTGACTCAACTGTACCTCAGCCACACCTCAACCGTACCTCAAAGCCATTTTCTCAACACTTGCCTACGGCCAACTCCTCCCCCCCCCTAACCATTCTATGATCATACTTTGATGCTACGTTGAGGAGACGTTGATGCTACTGTTGCGGTTGGGTGGGGTGGGGGGTGCAATAACGTTCATGTATCTTGCGTGCAAGGTGATGCGACGTGGATGATACGCTGATGATACATTGATCATGCGCTGTTGATACGTTGATGCTAGGTTGATGGTACGTGGATGATACGTTGACGTTAGGTTGATCATGCGTTGATGATACGTTGATCATGCGCTGTTGATACGTTGACGTTACGTTGATCATGCGTTGATGATACGTTGATCATGCGCTGTGGATACGTTGATGTTACGTTGATCATGCGTTGATGATACGTTGATGATACTTGGCCGCAAAAGCGGCTGAAACAAAGACGTCGGCAACGCAGAAGAAAAAGCGTAACGCTGTCTTTTCCAAGCTGATGGCTTTCGTCCCACAAAAACCATTAAAATCACACCGTGACTCTCGTTTTTCCATACCCTTCCATGACTTTTGATACACCCACAAAATATAGATATCTGTGAAAAACCGCTCTCGTTGTGGCAAAACCTTGGAACATAATTGAATAGAAACATATCCATGTGCTGAAACACACGGCCTCTTAGAGGCGCCCTTACCTTTTAGGGTCTAGATCCGTGGGGTTTACATCAGCTACCTTTTTCAGCTAAAGTAAGATGTCTCAAAGCAGCCTCAACTGAGACATCTTGAACACTGTCTCAGGTCAACAATGCCATATCGTGCTTCCAAAAATTGCTCAGAATTGCTCGACATGACCCCAACTTGCCCGACAAAAATGCTCAAAATTGTTTGAAATTTGCTCGAAAAGACCCAAGCTGGTCCACAAAAACGGCTCCAAAATGCTCAAAATTCTTCAAATTTGCTCAGAATGTCTCAAAATGTGCGAATGTTTTCATTACTTTGCATTGCTGTTGCCGGTCTCTAGTGTTGCACGGGCTTAAGGTCACGGTGGACTATAGCCCAAGACTAGCGCGGGCCCGATAGCCCAAGACTAGCGCAGGCCCGCGGGCCTTTGCGGGCCCGGGCTTTTTGGGAATGCCACAGCCGCATGGCGTTTTTAACCGACTGGAAATGTCGGGGATCCCGGGTGGAAGATTCGTCGTGCTGCTAGGCAATGCCCACCCGATGTCACTATTTCACAATGGCTCTGCACGGCTTAGCCATTGTGAAATGTTGACATCGGGTGGACATTGCCTAGCAGCACCGACACACACACACACACATCGTACTTGCGTTTTTTCAAGTGCCTTCCTTGAAAGAATCAGAATATCTTTCAATCGATCTTATCGCTTTTTTCAAAGGAGAATTTCGATGATGAAAGCATTGAAGAGAAGAGGATCTTACCTTCAACAAATGCTGTCAACACGTCTTTTTTGCAAGCATGGCGCAAGCACCTGCATGGCAAACTCATGATGCAGCGCAGAGCGGTGAAACTTCAAAATTCAGATCGCACCATGGACGAGATTTTCCTTCTTGGCGGGCTGCGTAATGCATCTGACGCCATCAGTGCTTCTGGGAGAGTTGAAGTTTGGTCTGTACCAAACTTGGAAGGCACCCCTGCATATGGTACTGCTTCAAAAAATCCATAGCATAGTCCAGCCAGACTGAACAAATACCAACCATTAAATGGTTGGTATTTGTTCAGTCTGGCTGGACTATGCGATGGATTTATTGAAGCAGTGCCATATGCAGGGGTTGGTAAATGCCCTAACTGAACATCACCCAAATATTGGGGATATGATCTCCAACAGGTACTTGAAAGTGATGTTCAAAATGCCCAAAGTGGGACATTTACCAAAGCCTGATATGATTGATGAAAGGCAGAATGCAGCCAAAAGAATTGAGTTTTAGGACCGCCAGGTGGCCAAGCAAGCAGTGAATTACACAAAATGCGATTGTCTGGAAGTTAGATCATTGGGTGAAAGTTCTTTCCACAATCTATGATAGAGACTCAGTGAGATCTTGGCACAGATTCATTTCTTGCAATCACCTGATTCTATCAGGAAACAATCTTCCACAATCTTCCATAATCTTCCATAATCTTCCATAGTCTTCTAGTTATCCATTTCATACAGTTACCTTTTGAGACCTTTGGCCCCCAGGTGGCTCTATTTTTTTTCCATCCCATGAGACCTCGGGAGACGGCGTCAGGTACAAGGGCCAGTGGCGAGGTCAGCAGAGGTACGGCCAAGGTGTTCTCACCAGGCCTTGGACGCTGGAAACCATCGTTGCGGGATGCAGTGGATACGCTGGGTCAAGGTTTGTCAATGGTTTTTTGGGGCCGTGAATAAATGGGTGTGTCTGAGAATGAGGTATACCCCCAATTATAGCCATTTAGTAGGGATAATGATCAGCAAAACCATTGGGTGTAGGGGTACACTATTTTCAGACAAACCCAAATGGGTGTGTCTGAAATTTTCGTGGAATTGAGGCAGCAAAATTCGGGCAACTGGAATGGTAAAATGATGATCAACATTGACACACATTGACAAAATCATCTTAAAGCATTAACTCTTGGGGGGAACCCCGTTTCAGACAAACCACAAATGGTGAAATGCATGTTAGCAAAAAAATTGGTCAACATGCGTGTGCTTTCCAGGGTCTTGAGCTTTGATGCACAACTTGGGGTCCAGATGCGTGGAATTTTGGCTGTGAGATCAGGTGGGTGGCTGGTTGTTTGAAATGTGTCAGTAGGTTTTTCTGCACGTTGTTCTTGATGCCCTTTGGGATTTAATCACACCAAGAACTTTTTGCTGGGAGATCCACTTGCCCACGTCTCTGTTTTTTCAGCTCGGCCCTCTTTGTCACGGAAAACATGATAAAATCTCAGCGAATCTCAGTTGATAAACTCAGATTTTTGGGCAAAAGAGCTCACTCGCCGACAAAGGTGGCCCTTCAACAATATTTCATTGAGGGCTTATTGGTGATTAGTCAACCCTTGGGTGTGTTTTTCCGTTGAATCCCCATGATCTTTGTTTGGGTTGCCGGCGAGATCTACACATTTTCTTGACCCATGCTTTCAAACATATAATATTTATAATACGTATACTTATCATATAATCATATATATATATATTATACACACATACATACATACATACATACATATATATACATACATACATACATACATATATATACATACATACATACATACATACATATATATACATACATACATACATACATACATACATACATACATGTTACATACATATATATATATACATATAAATTCATATTCATGTTTCAAGTCTTGGATCTGGATCAGTCACCGAGTCAAACACATTTTATCCTCCGGTGCTCTGATTCAGGCCCGATGGACAGACGTACCGGGGGTCCTTTGTAGACAACCGGGCCCAAGGCGCTACGGATGGCGTCAAGTCACCTGCGGCTTTGACTGGGAAAATGACGTATCCATGATCTGAAAAATAAATGCCAAAGGATGTTATAAATATATATATATTTGATATATATGATATATATATGATATATATGATATATATGATATATATGATAGATATATATGATACATATGATATATATTATATATATATGATATATATGATATATTTGATATATATGATATATATGATATATATGATATATATATACATGATATATATGATATATACGATATATATGATATATATGATATATATATATGATATATACGATATATATGATATATATGATATATATGATATATATATATGATATATATGATATATATGATATATATGATGTATATGAGATATACGATATATATGATATATATGATATATATATGATATATATATACATGATATATATGATATATATGATATATATGATATATATGATATATATGATATATATGATATATATGATATCTATGATATCTATGATATCTATGATATATATATGATATATATATACATGATATATATGATATATATGATATATATGATATATATATATATGGCATCCCAGGTAGATCCACCTCTGGAGAATTGATCATGGCATGGCTTGGGATTTGGGGTTTCCCTAAATCCCTTGTGGGATTTTTGGCAACGTTTTCTGACACCAGAAATCACCGGACGGTGAAGTGTTAGTAGCCCTTCGGTAAACAATGGTGATTTTTCCCTTAAAAATGGTGATTTACCCATTAAACATGGTGATTTTCCCATTAAACATGGTGGATATGGTCATTTAGTTCGTTGATTTTCCCATTAAAAATGGTGATTTTCCATAGCTATGTTGGTTTGCCAGAGGTCAGTAGGTGATATTCCATTTCTATTGCTATATATATACACAATATTATCCCATGATGGAAACACAATGTTTCGGCCTCTTCAATCCCCCAACATCAGGTTATTTCTTTAGTTTAGAACTTTAGAAACCCAACTGTCCTAACTCATCCTATTAACTCATCCTAACTCTAGTTCCATCCTCGTCCGCTCAAAGATTTCCAGCGCTGCCCGGTCAGGCCACGGCATTTTTGAAGCCGCCAATGGCAACACCTACGAGGGACAGTGGCATCAGGAGCGACGCTTGCGCAACGCGCAGCTTAAAATGATCGTGAAGATGTTAGGAAAGGAGTGGAAAGAGATGTTGAGATATGTTATATAAGATGTGTTATAAAAGATATGTTATATACAGTAAGAGATATGAGATATAATATGTTATAAGTATAAGAGACAATGGGAACTATTGGAAAAACATGGGAATGTAAGGCAATGCATACGTGGCAACTGGAGATCTAAAGTGAAGCACTCGGCAAATTCATCTACTTCCGTACGCGATTGAAAAAAGCACGTTGTGCTAGATTGCAGGAGGGTATCCATTTTCACATCCTAGAGTTATCCAAAGTCTGTTCTACAAATAACTTTGGGTTATCATTATATAATCATTATATACATCACAAGAATGATGGATAACTCCAAATATACAGAGGTAATTAACTCCAAAAAAAGTTCTCCATCATTCTTGTGGAGGGTTGAAACGATCCACCAGCAAATCGACCGATTCTTCGCATCACTTGACGTCCAATGTTTGCATAGCTTGATGTCCAATGGATTCAAATAGCTTGATTCATGATGAACCATTTCATGCCATTTCTAGGATTCTAGGATTCCTTTCAGATCTCAGAATTTTTCACCAATTTCGGCGCTGTATCGCGCCATTTTTCGGTTGTCCCCCAAGCACTTGACGTCGCAGGACCGCGCCCATGGATACGGCAAGTGCGCAGCTGCACGTCCAGCTGTGGTCGTTAAAGTGGCTTGCAATTGGGTAATCCTTCTCGTGAGTTTCGTTCATACATGGTCAATATATGGATATCAATATGGATGACTGATGATAACTGGTTGAAATGGAATAGATCTGTAATTGGAAAGGATCTTCCAGCTATAAACCAGTTTCTTTGTGGGAAAATCCCTTTAGCCTATGAAAATATCTCATTCCCAAACGAAACCATGGTAAAATCTTCTTGGGTCTAATGTGGTTAAAGCAATGTCATAAACCATCTGTTTGGGAATGGTTTATACCACCTAAAAGAATGGTGAAATTGGTTTACCCATTTTTTTTTGGGGGGTCATTTTCTGTGCCTCGTCACTTTGTTTTTCGAACGTCCTCACTTTCGAAAACGCAGCCTCTGGTAATTTATATATATAACCTAGCTCGAATCTTCAAAACTCCGATATACCATGAATACCATGGATATATAGAATGGGCTAGCGCCCTGTGCCGCCGACCCCCCCTTTGTGGGGGTGGCAGGGCAGGATCAGTAAATAAAACCACAGGAGAAGTTAAGACTTTCAAGACCTACACGAAACAGACCGGTGTGAGCTCGAGTTGAGGATTGTAAGGGTGGTGGCAGTATTTATAAGTAGAGGAAGCCATGCAGCAGTTGGAGGATTGTAAGGGTGGTGGCAGGTGGCGCGAGGGATTTGGAGGGTTGTAAGAGTTTGAAACGTTTGAAGCCTGGTAAGGGCTATGACAAAGCAGGTTCCACACCTCCGGTGGAGGGTTTTAGGGGTTTTAGGGGTCTTAAGCGTTTGAAGGCTGGCAAACGGCAGGCTCGAATGCCCTAACAAGAGAGGGCTATGTGCAGGCAAAGGGCAGGCTGCAATGCTGGAACGCTGACGGTGCACGCAAAGGGCAGGCTGCAACCCTGGAGCAGCAAAGGCTGACGGCCAGAGGGCTTGGTGGCAGCTGCAGTTGGAGGATTGTAAGGGTGGTGGCAACACCCGGTGGAGGGTTTTAGGGGTTTTAGGGGTTTTAAGCGTTTGAAGGCTGGCAAACGGCAGGCTCGAATGCCCTAACAAGACAGGGCTATGTGCAGGCAAAGGGCAGGCTGCAATGCTGGAACGCTGACGGCCAGGAACTTGGTGGAAGCTGCCGCGAGGGATGGTTTTAGGGGTTTTAAGGGTTTAAAGCTTGGCAAACGATGTGCAGGCAAAGGGCAGGCTGCAACCCTGGAGCAGCAAAGGCTGACGGCCAGAGGGCTTGGTACACCTCCGGTGGTTTTAGGGTCTTAAGCGTTTGAAGGCTGGCAAACGGCAGGCTCGAATGCCTAACAAGAGAGGGCTATGTGCAGGCAAAGGGCAGGCTGCAATGCTGGAACGCTGACGGTGCAGGCAAAGGGCAGGCTGCAACCCTGGAGCAGCAAAGGCTGACGGCCAGAGGGCTTGGTGGCAGCTGCCGCGAGGAAGCCATGCAGCAGTTGGAGGATTGTAAGGGTGGTGGCAGGTGGCGCGGTTCCACACCTCCGGTGGAGGGTTTTAGGGGTTTTAGGGGTTTTAAGCGTTTGAAGGCTGGCAAACGGCAGGCTCGAATGCCCTAACAAGACAGGGCTATGTGCAGGCAAAGGGCAGGCTGCAATGCTGGAACGCTGACGGCCAGGAACTTGGTGGAAGCTGCCGCGCACATTTAAAGCCCGCGCGGAAGGCCTTGCACAGGTGAAGCCGGCGCAGGCGCCTTCGCGTGTTTGGTGCCCGCACGGAAGGCAAAGGACGGGCCCCGCCGTCTTCATCAGGTCGATGACTTGAACCGCTACTACGGGAATGCGGGAACGGCTGCTTTGGCCTTGAAAGACCAAATTTTCCGCAGGAAAACTTACTTGCCCAAAGCATATAATTTTCATGTCCAAATGCCTGGAAATCTGAACTGGAGGATGACGCATGCCAGGAGAACGGCAGGCTGCCCTATAACAAGAGAGGGCTATGTGCAGGCAAAGGGCAGGCTGCAATGCTGGAACGCTGACGGTGCAGGCAAAGGGCAGGCTGCAACCCTGGAGCAGCAAAGGCTGACGGCCAGAGGGCTTGGTGGCAGCTGCCGCGAGGAAGCCATGCAGCAGTTGGAGGATTGTAAGGGTGGTGGCAGGTGGCGCGGTTCCACACCTCCGGTGGAGGGTTTTAGGGGTTTTAGGGGTTTTAAGCGTTTGAAGGCTGGCAAACGGCAGGCTCGAATGCCCTAACAAGACAGGGCTATGTGCAGGCAAAGGGCAGGCTGCAATGCTGGAACGCTGACGGCCAGGAACTTGGTGGAAGCTGCCGCGAGGGATGGTTTTAGGGGTTTTAAGGGTTTAAAGCTTGGCAAACGATGTGCAGGCAAAGGGCAGGCTGCAACCCTGGAGCAGCAAAGGCTGACGGCCAGAGGGCTTGGTGGCAGCTGCCGCGAGGAAGCCATGCAGCAGTTGGAAGATTGTAAGGGTGGTGGCAGGTGGCGCGGTTCCACACCTCCAGTGGAGGGTTTTAGGGGTTTTAAGCGTTTGAAGGCTGGCAAACGGCAGGCTCGAATGCCCTATAACAAGAGAGGGCTGGAGCAGCAAAGGCTGACGGCCAGAGGGCTTGGTGGCAGCTGCCGCGAGGAAGCCATGGAGGATTGTAAAGGTGGTGGCAGGTGGCGCGGTTCCACACCTCCGGTGGAGGGTTTTAGGGGTTTTAGGGGTTTTAAGCGTTTGAAGGCTGGCAAACGGCAGGCTCGAATGCCCTAACAAGACAGGGCTATGTGCAGGCAAAGGGCAGGCTGCAATGCTGGAACGCTGACGGCCAGGAACTTGGTGGAAGCTGCCGCGCACATTTAAAGCCCGCGCGGAAGGCCTTGCACAGGTGAAGCCGGCGCAGGCGCCTTCGCGTGTTTGGTGCCCGCACGGAAGGCAAAGGACGGGCCCCGCCGTCTTCATCAGGTCGATGACTTGAACCGCTACTACGGGAATGCGGGAACGGCTGCTTTGGCCTTGAAAGACCAAATTTTCCGCAGGAAAACTTACTTGCCCAAAGCATATAATTTTCATGTCCAAATGCCTGGAAGTCTGAACTGGAGGATGACGCATGCCAGGAGAAGGTTTACGCGATGTGGTTTGACCTTGGAAAGCTAAGAAGGAAAAGTTCCACACCTGCGGTGGTCCCAGGCGCCGCCCCGGCCTTGGCGAAGGCCGGGGTCGGCGGATAATATTAATCACCATTATAATACCTAGCTCAAATCTCCAAAACTCCAATATACCATAGATATTGTATTAGTCACCATTATTTAATGGTATCACCATTACAATGAATCACCATTATAATGGTATAATAATTTTCGAAGCTCCTCCATTCTTGGGGATAAGCGAACCGTAGGTACGTGCATGTGGATGGCAGCACCTACGAGGGCGAGTCAGGAACCTCAGTGTCCTCTGCGCCGCCTGGGTTCGTCGAAAATGGGGCGAAGATGGGGTAGCCTCTGGTGCAAATCACAATTTTTATAGGGAGATTGATAGTGATTTATAGTGATTTAATGGGATTTATAGTGATTCAATGGGATATTGGGATTAATGGGATATACCCTCTGGTAAACTAACAGATATAGCTATTGAAAATGGTGATTTCTTTCGTGGATTTAGCAGCTATAAAATGGTGATTTTCCATAGTTATGTTAGTTTGCCAGAGGGTAGTTCGTTGATTTACCCATGCAAAATATGGTGGATATGGTGGATGTTCCAGTTTGTTGTGTAAACGTTCAGAGGGGAATCCCACTGGGGGTGAAAATGGTGGATCAATGTGCTATACAAGTGGTGTGTAACACTCAATATTGTCAATATCCCATTATACACATCAATCTAAAATCATCTGTTTATTGTCTTCTTACTGGTGCTAAGAGTAGGGAATGGATGGGACTGGGGGTTGCTGGGGTTATTAATTGATAGTTATTGTGGATCATTCCCGAAAATTCCCTACTAAGCACCAGTAAGAAGATTCCCCCAAAAAATCAACAGAAACATTGGTTTTATGACAAAAGTGGTCGGCAATGCGATTTCCGTTTTGACCATTTAAGAAGAATATTGGGGGTAATCCAAAAAGGATGTCCAATGACGCCCTTTACCATGTGGGAAATCAACACCATTCTAGACCAAGGGTAAATCCTGGGGTGATCTGTCACAATTTCTGTGTTTTTCTGCCCCAAAAATCCACTGCTTTTGTGGGAAATCTGTGGTGTTTTGAGGTTCATTCCTGCAACGGAAAATTTGACCCCCAGACAACTGGTCTCAGGGGTAGCTCGTAGCTCGAGTAGCGGGATGATAAACCTCAAAAACTCGGCATATCTCGTCATCCTTGTGAAAACGGAAAGCGCTGAAGCGATTTTCAGTGGCGAAGTCACGGTATGATGCAGATCACCATAGCTCCTTAGCTTGCTCCCTCGGTTCACCATTGGATAGATGAGACCGCGAAAAATATCATATTGAACCGTAACCAACCAACCAACCATTAAATCATTTTCCATCCAATTCCCATCCCAAAGAAACAAGATAAAAACCAGCCATGAATTGCCTCGACTCATCCGTCAACATCGTTTCCTACGGATTCTCCGTGTTTCCCACGGCTTCGCCAGGTGGGTGCAAGACGAAAAGTCGGGCAAAGGTGTCGAGTGCTGGGCTGATGGAGCCAGGTCAGGGATGCGGGTGTCGCGCGGCGTTTGGGTTTAACGATGGGTTTTTACTGTTAAAAAAGTGGGGGTTTAACGATGGGTTTGGGCATACCATACCATGCCCATTACCATGGTAATGCCCATACCATGGTAATGCCCATACCATGGTTTATCTATGGTTTGAACTGTTTTTGGTTTAAAAAAACACAGGTATGGGCATGTATGCGCCAATTGGGATTGAAGTGAATAGAAATTCTGGTTGGTGGTTTGGAACATGTTTTTTTTTTCCCATTCAGTTGGGCATGTCATCATCCCAACTGACGAACTCATATTTTTCTGAGGGGTTGGTCAACCACCAACCAGTTTATTCTTAAACCATAGATTTAGTATGATTTAGTATGACTCATATTTTTCTGAGGGATTGAAGTGAATCGAAATTGGTGTTTTAGTCGTAGGTTGATGCGCGATTCCTACCACTTGTGGCAGAGGGGAGTATCACCATGTTTGACCAGTGCTTCCTCCAAGGATATGACGGGGATATGGTATTTATTTGGATGTTCACGCTCTGGTAAACATACAAAAAGCTATGGAAAATGGCCATTTATAGTGGATTTACCTATTGAAAATGGTGATTTCCCATAGTTAATTGTGGTTAATGGTGATTATTAGTGCTCTATAGTGGTTAATTGTGGTTAATGGTTATATTTATGATCTTTAAAGTGTAAAGAAACATGTGGCCTTTCATGGATGACTATCTTTTTGGGCACCTAATTCTAAGGGATCTTCCAACTTTTAAGATCTTTTAGGAACTTTAGTAATGTGGGTAGAACTCAATGTCATGTTTACCATCCATCCCCCAGTCATCATCACTTTGCTAGGTGGTATATGCACCATTCCCAGTTATGGGTGTTTTGCTTCAGACTATCTCTACGACCCCTGCGTCCTTCCACTGTTCCAGTTGCAGACTCTACGGATTAGTCGGTTTCCCATCGATGGCCACAACCCCGAAGTTGTGAATAAGAAGTCTCTAAAACATATTTACATATTTGAAGTGATTAATCACTATTTTGGTAGGGTAGGAATTTATTTTGCTGTCTTTTTTTTGGTTGCTATATAATATCTTTTAGTCTGTACTAGTTTATATTTGAGAGCAAACTCGCACACGGCAAAAAATCATTGAGATGGCCAAATTCAACCGACATCAACTTGACAGTATCCTCATCGTTTTCTGGTGATCATCATTATCATTGCCATTTTCCATGCTTGAAGCTGAATTTCCGTTTTCTGACCAACCAGCTTGGTACCCTCTGGTACTGTAAACGTTTACATAACTATGGAAAATCACCATTTTAATTGGTAAATCCACTATAAATGGCCATTTTCAATAGCTATGTTAGTTTACCAGAGGCTAAGCCCATGCAGTCATCAGCTGGATTCATGAAATTGATCGTCTAAAATCTATCCCAAATGGATGTTTCCAAAATTGATGTTCCATGATGTGTATATATATATAGATATTATATATAGATATTATATAGCATTACTATTGTTATTGTTACTGTTACTATTATACGCAAGCATTTACAGATTTATCCTTTCGAATTTGATCTACCCAATTTGAACCCCCAAAACAATGCTGTAGACACCGCACGACCTGGCCGTAGGTATGAAGGTCAATTTCAGCATGGCTCCAAGCACGGCGTCCGGATGCCGAAGGTCATGAGGCCAACAAAAAACGAACCGATCTGTAGGGAAATATATGGGAAATATATTGGAAATATATGGGAAATATATGGGAAATTAAATGGTGAGAACATAAGACATAGGAAGGTCTGGGAAATATATGGGAAATCCACTCTGATTGGAGGTTTATAGATGTGTAAACCATCTATTTCTATTCTGGATAACAAATCCATTGACTTCCGATGTCACTGGAATGATGGTTTTCATCATCCCCAGGCCTACGGTAATTCAGATAGACAATCATAGACATGCTAAATTACTACTAAGGATGATCTTAGATGTCCTATGTACGACTGATCATGATGTGGCCCCACAGTTTCAAGGTTGATATACATGGTAAAACATGGTAAAACATGGTAAAACAAGTTGCGGTATCTTGTTGGCTCTACCTATTGCAGATCCCGAGAAACATCGCCTGGCTCCATGCTGGTTGAGTCACCCTTCCAACATTCCATATGAAACGACTGGAAGTTTGGCGAGGCCCAGAAGATTGCTGGATATCAAGTGATCTGATAGCATTGATCGGTTCAGTTCGGGATGATGATATCAATGGTATCCATCATGTTACGATTCGGAATCCCCAAAGTGACACGTGGCCCTTGGCCGTTTTTACAACCTTTACATCTTACATAGCAAAGTTTCAACAAATCTTGACATCTTGCACAACATTCCCAGTTTGTTTTGGATGTTTTTTGTTGGGTCATAAAATGATCCCCTTCAGTGGCTGTCACTGAAATCCCATCAAGAACTGCTCCGAGGCTGGCATCTACAAATCTGCCACGGGAGTGGTCTATGAAGGCCAATTCAAGACGCTCGGCATAGCGCAAGCTGTGGATCCGTTGTGGAGTCCCACGACTCGGAATCTCGAAAGAAGGGATATCCACATTTCGAAATGGAGGTTTCCTAAAATGGGAGGTACCCCCCCATTTTCATCATCCATTTTAATAAGATGTTCCATAAAATTACGATATATAAACACTATAAACCATCCAGCGATTAATAAAGGGCTACACCGTACCACCACAAAAAAACAACGTCCCCCGAGAATCCATGACGACGGCAAGATCACGATGGCAAGCCATGTTGAGAGCCCAAGAATTTGGTAAATCCTCTGGTAAACGTTTACATCACTATGGAAAATGGCCCATTTGTAAATGGTTTACCTATAAAAAATGGTGATTAAACTGTCCCATAACGAACTGGAAAGATCCACCATGTTTAATGGGTGAAGCAACTATTTCGACTGGGCCATGGCTTCAATGTCGCAAACGGTAACAAATTACCGGAGGGTAAACCTTCTTGTTAAACATAGATTAGACATAGATGAGATTAAGAATAGGAAAGAACAGATTTTCCTGGCTCCAAAATGATGTTGGAGATCCTGTCTGGAGTCTCCTGGTCGCGAGGAATGACAAAATGGATGGCCATGGTGTCCGGGATCTCAGTTGACGCCATCGAAATGATGGAAATTTCATGGCCGGGATGGGATGGAACCCATCCCTTTCGATGTCCAACTTACCTTCCGAAAGTTGGACATGATGGATGACATGTTGCATAGAACATCATAGAACCATTTTTTGAACATGGGATTGAACCATATTGAACCATCATGTTCGATGTGGGATAGAACATGATAGAACTTTCATAGCCTCCGGTGTCCGACCCAAAGATGACAATGTAAAATCCTCGGTTGCACATGAAACCAGAAGCAGCCGGTTGCCTCTGTTTGGCCGATTCATCCGAAAATTCGATGGAGATTTATATAGCTGTAACAGCGCACTCCCGGCATGGGATTTTTCTGGGCGACGATTATGACAGCGATGATGTGGTTTTCTAGGGATCTAAATGGGGATCCTAGTTCTCCAGGACCCAAATCTATCAACATGTCTAGCTGAAAAGTAATGTCTGTTAGCCCCAAAAAAACATAAACCAGCCCCAGTAGAACTTACCCTCTGGTAAACGTTTACATAACTATGGAAAATCACCATTTTCAATGGGTAAATCCACTATTTCTATGGCAATTTTCAATAGCAAACTGTTAGTTTACCAGAAGGTACCAGCTTTCCGCTTCCCAGAAATAGGTGGTTTTTTCACCATCCCCAATTGGAGCTGCAGCCCGCAGCGTTTGCCGCAGCAAGGTCTACAAGTTTGCAGATGGCCGGACCTACACAGGTCAATGGCAGTTGGAAACTCAGGAGATGGGCCTTTGAACAACGCAAAACCGCGACTGCGACATTGCGGTGGAAACACAAAAGCTAGTTTTTTCGGTGCAGTTCCAGTAAGAAGTGGATATATACTGTAATCATAGTTTTAGGGGCACCATATCCCAACTTCTGTGATTAAAAAAACACCTCAACTGTAACCCCAAGATCTGACGCGATTTGTGGTGAAAAACGTCCAAACTTCTCAGCAATTCTGGGGTGATCAGACCTTAGGACCTTGAGACTTCCACGCCATCGTTTCGGTTTTGAAGAGCCGTTTTTTTTATCACTAAAATTGTGAGTTTCAAATGGAGGTTTCCTAAGTCATGGGGGGTACCCCCCAGTCATCATCATCCATTGATTCATGGATTTTCCCGTGGAAATCAACCATCCAGCGATAAAGGGGTACCCATATGAATGGACACCCCCACATGTTTACCGCATTTTACAGCGAAGTTTTTCACAACAGCCGCCTCCAGGCGTGGACACATGTGCGGTGCCCGGAGCCAGGGATATACTGGGGATATCACCAACGATATAAATGGCGGATGGCCACCCCAAATAAAGGGCCATCAAACATTCAGGAAAAAATTGGAGAGTCCGATTTTTGGAGTACCCATTTTCAGACAAACCCAACATGGTACTGTAATTAGTGTAGGGAAAATGATGTTCAATACCATTTTTTCCCGGTTCTTTTGAAATTGTTGGGCAAACTCACACTCATGGAAATGTAATGGAGCAACAACCCGATCGAACTCGCACAATCAGCAACACCACGATTTAAGGAGCACATATATATATAATATAATAGATAATAATATATATATAATATAATATATAATATAATATGATATAATATAATATAATATAACATAATATAATATATTATAATATAATATATTATAATATAATATAATACAATATATGATAATATAATATATTATAATATAATATAATACAATATAATATAATATATAATATATAATATATAATATATAATATATAATATATAATATATAATATAATATATCATATAATATATAATATAATATAATATATTATAATATAATACAATATATTATAATATAATATAATACAATATAATATAATATAATAATATAATATGTATATGTATATATATATATGCTGACGCATCTACAATTCAATTTGTGTTTGTATTTACTGGAAGGTGGGGATTTCGGACTTATCCGATATAGGCATTCTGTGAAGCAACCAGCACTGAAAACCGATTGCGTTGGGGCACCTAAGTGGTTCAAGACCAGAGATTGCTCGGTTATTTTTCGTGTTGCGATGGCAAGAAACATCAATGTGGAACTGCTTAGTGGCAACGTTTACACCCTGGCAGTGCGGCCAGAAATGACGATCGAAGAGTTGAAAGAAGAAGTGAAGGTTTTCCATCCATCAGAGGATGAGATCACCCGGATACTCAGCACCGTGGAGTTTGTCCTTCACGGGGAGAAACTGAATGATCTCCAGATGAGTGTCTCAGAGTCTATCGTCGACTCAGCCAATTTGCAGGTTGTCTTCTATGTCAAGCCGGCAATTGAGTGTGTTAATGCATTTGGCCACACGGTGGAGGAATTGCGTGACGTACGCATCCCTAGCACTAAAACATTCATCCAACCACATGCCTTCCAACACTGCAAGTACTTGTTGCGACTGGTTATCCCGGAGTCTGTGACTTGGATTGGAGATAATGCTTTTTCTGGCTGCAGCTCTTTGACGAGTTTGACCATCCCGGAGTCTGTGACTCGGATTGGATATTTTGCTTTTTGCAAATGCGGCTCTTTGACGAGTTTGACCATCCCGGAGTCTGTGACTCAGATTGGAGATGGTGCTTTTGCTGGCTGCAGCTCTTTGACGAGTTTGACCATCCCGGAGTCTGTGACTGAGATTGGAGATGGTGCTTTTTCTGGCTGCAGCTCTTTGACGAGTTTGACCATCCCAGAGTCCGTGACTCAACTTGGAAATGGTGCATTTCGTGCATGCTCCTCGTTGACGAGTTTGTCTATCCCGAAGTCTGTGACTCAGATTGGAGATCATGCTTTCACTGGCTGCAGCTCTTTGAAGAGCTTGAAAATCCCGGAGTCTGTGATTCAGATTGCAGATCATGTTTTTCGTGACTGCACCTCGTTGACGAGTTTAACCATTCCGGAGTCTGTGACTCAGATTGGAGATGGTGCTTTTGCTGGCTGCAGCTCTTTGACAAGTTTGACCATCCCGGAGTCCGTGACTGAGATTGGAGATGGTGCTTTTTCTGGCTGCAGCTCTTTGAAGAGCTTGAAAATCCCGAAGTCTGTGACTCAGATTGGAGATCATGCTTTCACTGGCTGCAGCTCTTTGACGAGTTTGACCATCCCGGAGTCTGTGACTCGGATTGGAGATTTTGCTTTTTGCAAATGCGGCTCTTTGACGAGTTTGACCATCCCGGAGTCTGTGACTCAGATTGGAGATGGTGCTTTTGCTGGCTGCAGCTCTTTGACGAGTTTGACCATCCCGGAGTCTGTGACTGAGATTGGAGATGGTGCTTTTTCTGGCTGCAGCTCTTTGACGAGTTTGACCATCCCAGAGTCCGTGACTCAACTTGGAAATGGTGCATTTCGTGCATGCTCCTCGTTGACGAGTTTGACTATCCCGAAGTCTGTGACTCAGATTGGAGATCATGCTTTCACTGGCTGCAGCTCTTTGAAGAGCTTGAAAATCCCGGAGTCTGTGACTCAGATTGCAGATCATGTTTTTCGTGACTGCACCTCGTTGACGAGTTTAACCATTCCGGAGTCTGTGACTCAGATTGGAGATGGTGCTTTTGCTGGCTGCAGCTCTTTGACAAGTTTGACCATCCCGGAGTCCGTGACTGAGATTGGAGATGGTGCTTTTTCTGGCTGCAGCTCTTTGAAGAGCTTGAAAATCCCGAAGTCTGTGACTCAGATTGGAGATCATGCTTTCACTGGCTGCAGCTCTTTGAAGAGCTTGAAAATCCCGGAGTCTGTGACTCAGATTGGAGATTGTGCTTTTGCTGGCTGCAGCTCCTTGACGAGTTTGACCATCCCGCACTCTGTGCGGAAAATTGGGAAGAATGTCGTGCAGGGTTGCAGCTCTTTGAGAAATTCGAGGAATGTGTCCCCCGACCTGGCAGTAAAGGCATCGCCATCCAAAAGACGTCGCAGATGAGACACAGCTTGAACCAATGTGACTGAATGATTGACGGATGAAAACGCCTGAGAAAAAGAGATGGTTTTGAGCAGCGCTGGAGTGGAAATCGCAGAATAAGTGGTCAAAATGGTCACTTCCCGCATCAAAATGGTCCTCCAAATCCATGTTTTTTGGAGCTTCCAGTGTTCCAGTTCTGATTTTGGCCATGAGTTCAGAATGTAAGGCCCACGGAACTTTTACATTGTTGGGATGAAGCCCATGATTTGGAGCTTTCTTAAAATGGGATCCGTAAATCACCTGGGGTTTCAATACCATGACTTGGATGATGACTCGGGGTACCTCCCATTTTGGGAAACCTCCATTTAGGATACCCTTTGGTAATGGAACATGGCCCACTTAGTTCGATGATTTACCTAGAAAATGGTGATGTTCCATAGCTTCGTAGGTTTGATGCTCCGAGCGGTCGCGAAAGCTTAGCCACAAACTGTGTGCAAACGATGGCGGAAACGGAGTTTGCCAAAATGACGGCACTAGTCTATTAGTGTATACATTGAGTATACATTGTATTCTGTAGACATGACATTTAGAGAGTACACCGGTGCACCTGCTGAAATTGTTTGTCAAATGGCAGGCGGGCTTAGGTGATTTCTTCACCTGAAATGGCAACAACAGGGTTGGGTTCCACTAATGCGACTCTAATGTTGCAAAAACACTAAACATACGAGCAGCGGCTGCTAAACCATGCGAAAGCCTGGTTGGTTGATGATTAGCACTATCCAGATCTATCCAGATCTGTCCGGGCAAATGATCATTCTCCAGATCTATCATGATCCATTAGGGGAATCCCTTAGGGATTTCAACATCTTTCAACCCTAGGGTTTTACATTCCCAGTCACCGAACATCACCCGAAAATCCCCCGAAGCCAGGGATATACTGGGGATATCACCAACGATATAAATGGCGGATGGCCACCCCAAATAAAGGGCCATCAAATATTCAGGAAAAATAGGAGAGTCCGATTTTTGGAGTACCCATTCTCAGACAAACCCAACATGTTAATTAGGGAAAATGATGTTCAATACCATTTTTCCCGGTTCTTTTGAAATTGTTGGGCAAACCCACACTCATGGAAATGTAATGGAACAACAACCCGATCGAACTCGCACAATCAGCAACACCACGATTTAAGGAGCACATATATATATATAATATAATATAATATAACATAATATAATATAATATAATATAATATATAATATAATATAATATATATAATATATATATAATATATAATATATATAATATATATAATATTTAATATATAACATATAATATATAATATATAATATATAATATATAATATATAATACATAATATATAATATATAATATATAATATAATATAACATAATATAGTATAGTATAGTATAATATAATATAATATAATATATAATATAATATAATGTGTGTTTGTACTCACTGGAAGGTGGGGATTACGGACCAATCCGATATAGGCATGCTGTGAAGCAACCAGCGCTGATAACCGATTGCTTTGGGGCACCTAAGTGGTTCAAGACCAGAGATTGCTTGGTTATTTTTCGTGTTGCTATGGCAAGAAACATCAATGTGGAACTGCTTAGTGGCAATGTTTACACCCTGGCAGTGCGGCCAGAAATGACGATCGAAGAGTTGAAAGAAGAAGTGAAGGTTTTCCATCCATCAGAGGATGAGATCACCCGGATACTCAGCACCGTGGAGTTTGTCCTTCACGGGGAGAAGCTGAATGATCTTCAGATGACAGTCTCAGATTCTATCCTCGACTCTGCCAACGTGCAGGTTATCTTCTATGTCAAGCCGGCAATTGAGTGTGTCAACAAATTTGGCCGCGAGGTGAAGGAATTGCGTGACGTGCGCATCCCTAGCACTGAAACATCCATCCAAACACATGCCTTCCAACACTGCAAGTACTTGTTGCAACTGGTTATCCCGGAGTCTGTGACTCAGATTGGAGAATATGCTTTTGATGGCTGCAGCTCTTTGAGGAGTTTGACCATCCCGGGGTCTGTGACTCAAATTGGAGAATATGCTTTTGATGGCTGCAGCTCTTTGAAGAGCTTGAAAATCCCGGAGTCTGTGACTCAGATTGCAGATCATGTTTTTCGTGACTGCACCTCGTTGACGAGTTTGACAATCCCGGAGTCTGTGACTCAAATTGGAGAATATGTTTTTTTTGGCTGCAGCTCTTTGACGAGTTTGACCATCCCGGAGTCTGTGACTCAGATTGGAGATGGTGCTTTTGCTGTCTGCAGCTCTTTGACAAGTTTGACCATCCCGGAGTCTGTGACTCAAATTAGACGACTTGCTTTTTCTGGCTGCAGCTCCTTGACGAGTTTGACCATCCCGGAGTCTGTGACTCAGATTGGAGACTCTGCTTTTTTTGGCTGCAGCTCTTTGAGGAGTTTGACCATCCCGGGGTCTGTGACTCAACTTGGAAATGGTGCATTTCGTGCATGCTCCTCGTTGACGAGTTCGACCATACCGGAGTCTGTGACTCAGATTCAAGATAGTGCTTTTGCTGGCTGCGCCTCTTTGACGAGTTTGACAATCCCGGAGTCTGTGACTCAAATTGGAGAATATGCTTTTGATGGCTGCAGCTCTTTGAGGAGTTTGACCATCCCGGGGTCTGTGACTCAACTTGGAAATGGTGCATTTCGTGACTCCTCGTTGACGAGTTTGACAATCCCGGAGTCTGTGACTCAAATTAGACGACTTGCTTTTTCTGGCTGCGCCTCTTTGACGAGTTTGACCATCCCGGAGTCTGTGACTCAGATTGGAGACTGTGCTTTTTTTGGCTGCAGCTCTTTGACGAGTTTGACCATCCCGGAGTCTGTGACTCAGATTGGAGATAATGCTTTTTCTGATTGCAGCTCTTTGACGAGTTTGACCATCCCGCACTCTGTGCGGAAAATTGGGAAGAATGTCGTGCAGGGTTGCAGCTCGTTGTGCTAGGCATCGCCATCCAAAAGACGTCGCAGATGAGACACAGCTTGAACCAATGTGACTGAATGATTGATGGATGAAAACGCTTGAGAAAAAGAGATGGTTTTGAGCAGAGATGGAAGTGGAAATCGCAGAATAAGTGGTCAAAATCGTCACTTCCCAAATCAAAATGGTCCTCCAAATCCGTGTTTTTTGGGGCTTCCAGTGTTCCAGATTTTGGCCATGAGTTCAGATGAGTTCAGAATGTAAGGCCCACGGAACTTTTACATTGTTGGGATGAAGCCCATGATTTGGAGCTTTCTTAAAATGGGATCCATAAATCACCTGGGGTTTCAATACCATGACTTGGATGATGACTCGGGGTACCTCCCATTTTGGGAAACCTCCATTTAGGATACCCTTTGGTAATGGAACATGGCCCACTTAGTTCGATGATTTACCTAGAAAATGGTGATGTTCCATAGCTTCGTAGGTTTGATGCTCCGAGCGGTCGCGAAAGCTTAGCCACAAACTGTGTGCAAACGATGGCGGAAACGGAGTTTGCCAAAATGACGGCACTAGTCTATCAATAGTGTATACATTGTATTCTGTAGATATGACATTTAGAGAGTGCACCAGTGCACCCGCTGAAATTGTTTGTCAAATGGCAGGCGGGCTTAGGTGATTTCTTCACCTGAAATGGCAACAGGGTTGGGTTCCATTAATGCGACTCTAATGTTGCAGAACCAAAAAACATATGAGCAGTGGCTGCTAAACCATGCTAAAGCCTGGTTGGTTGATGATTAGCACTATCCAGATCTATCCAGATCTGTCCGGGCAAGTGATCATTCTCCAGATCTATCATGATCCATTAGGGGAATCCCTTAGGGATTTCAACATCTTCCAACCCTAGGGTTTTACATTCCCAGTCACCGAACATCACCCGAAAATCCCCCGAAGCCAGGGATATACTGGGGATATCACCAACGATATACATGGCGGATGGCCACCCCAAATAAAGGGCCATCAAATATTCAGGAAAAATTGGAGAATCCGATTTTTGGAGTACCCATTTTCAGACAAACCCAACATGTTAATTAGGGAAAATGATGTTCAATACCATTTTTCCCGGTTCTTTTGAAATTGTTGGGCAAACCCACACTCATGGAAATGTAATGGAACAACAACCCGATCGAACTCGCACAATCAGCAAATATCAGCAACACCACGACTTAAGGAGCAAAACTATATATATATATATATAATTATATATATATAATTATATATACATATATATATACATACACATATTTATGTATATATATATATATGCTGACGCATCTACAATTTAATTTGTGTTTGTATTCACTGGAAGGTGGGGATTACGGACCAATCCAATATGGGAATGCTGTGAAGCAACCAGTACTGATAATCGATTGCGTTGGGGCACCTAAGTGGTTCAAGACCAGAGATTGCTTGGACAATTTGTGTGTTGCTATGGCAAGAAACATCAATGTGGAACTGCTTAGTGGCAAAGTTTACACCCTGGCAGTGCGGCCAGAAATGACGATCGGAGAGTTGAAAGAAGAAGTGAAGATTTTCCATCCATCAGAGGATGAGATCACCCGGATACTCAGCACCGTAGAGTTTGTCCTTCACGGGGAGAAACTGAATGATCTTCAGATGACCGTCTCAGATTCTATGCTCGACTCTGCCAATTTGCAGGTTATCTTCTATGTCAAGCCGGCAATTGAGTGTGTTAATGCATTTGGCCACACGGTGAAGGAATTGCGTGACGTACGCATCCCTAGCACTACAACATACATCCAACCACATGCCTTCCAACACTGCAAGTACTTGTTGCGACTGGTTATCCCGGAGTCTGTGACTTGGATTGCAAAATTTGCTTTTGAAGACTGCAGCTCCTTGACGAGTTTGACCATCCCGGAGTCTGTGACTCAAATTGGACCATATGCTTTTTCTGGCTGCAGCTCTTTGAAGAGTTTGAACATCCCGGAGTCTGTGACTCAAATTGGAGGTAGTGCTTTTCTGTGACTGCACCTCGTGGGCCATGAGTTCAGAATGTAAGGCCCACGGAACTTTTACATTGTTGGGATGAAGCCCATGATTTGGAGCTTTCTTAAAATGGGATCCCCCAGTCACCAGGGGTTTCAATACTAAAATAGTCATGACTTGGATGATTTGGGGGTACCGGGGTACCCATTTCAGGAAACCTCCATTTAGGATACCCTTTTGTAATGAAACATGGCCCACTTAGTTCGATGATTTACCTATAGAAAATGGTGATGTTCCATAGCTTCGTAGGTTTGATGCTCCGAGCGGTCGCGAAAGCTTAGCCACAAACTGTGTGCAAACGATGGCGGAAACGGAGTTTGCCAAAATGACGGCACTAGTCTATCAATAGTGTATACATTGTATTCTGTAGATATGACATTTAGAGAGTGCACCAGTGCACCCGCTGAAATTGTGTGTCAAATGACAGGCGGGCTTAGGTGATTTCTTCACCTGAAATGGCAACAGGGTTGGGTTCCATTAATGCGACTCTAATGTTGCAAAACCAATAAACATCCGAGCAGTGGCTGCTAAACCATGCCAAACGATGGTTGGTTGATGATTAGCACTATCCAGATCTATCCAGATCTGTCCGGGCAAGTGATCATTCTCCAGATCTATCATGATCCATTAGGGGAATCCCAGTGAAATAACATCAAATAACCGTTATAACCAGTACCAAAAAGGGATTTCAACATCTTTCAACCCTTTTTTTTGGGGCTTTTACATTCCCAGTCACCGAACATCACCCGCAAATCTCCAGCGTTGCGCAACGAGGAATGGCAAGGGAAAGATGGAGTGGCCCAATGGCTCCACTTACGAGGCTCGCTAAGTTGGGACCACTAATAACTCCCATGAAACACGATGGTTTATGATAGCTATAACGAACTAGTATTCATGGGGTGAAAATAAAGCAACATTCACATCACTGTGGGGGCGAGCCCAATGTATGAATTTCCCCATAGTGGATGAATCACCATCCATAAATCCCAGCCTTTTTTTAGTGGTTTGGGTACCGTTTGGTTTTGACCCACAACCAACGTTGTTTTTTTTGGAAAGCGGAACGTCCAACTCTCAACAGAACATGAATGTATGACCCAAAAGAAGCATCTCATGTTTTGGACAACTGTCAGGTCCTTGTCGGTTGCAAAATCAGTTCAATCTATGCCAAAAAAAATGGTCATTTTGAGGCCACAGGCATTAATCTCCGCAAACTGGAATTCATGGCAGTTTAAAGGAGAAAATGGTGCTAATATGTGATACTCCATTAGAATTAGGGGTATACCACTTTCAGGCTTTAGGGTCGGTTTTTCCCATTTTCAAAGTGATACAATGTTACCACATTCTCAATCTTCTGTACCCTCACTGCCACCGGTGGGCATTCATCTTCCCTTGCACTCTCAGAATGGATCCGACCTTACCATCCAGGAAAAACGATGAACCTGAAAAAAAAAAGATCAATGAAGAATAAAATGGGAAACGTGTGTTTTTTTAAACCCATATCAGCACCATGGATGTGAGGTGTTATATCCAATCAAGTTATAATAATACTTACTGATTGCCCATTCCTCCACGGCAAACAAAATAAAGATAGATATGATATGATATGGTATGATATGATATGATATGGTATGATATGATATGATATGATGTGATGTGATATGAAATGATATGATATGATATGATATAAGTCCATCAAGGAAAGAAGTCCCTTTGCCACACCGGCCCGGCCCGATACCAAAAATCTCGCTGTCTGTCGACACAGCATGGTCCTTGTAGATGAGAAAAGTGCGTCCTCCCACCTCGCTGTAGTCATGTTCTTCTCCCTGGCGGCGGAAATCACAAGAAATACGTGATCGGTTGGTAAGAAACAAGATTGGAGATATATAACAGGGATACTATGACTATGGAAATATATGGAGATGGTTGGGATATGTCATCCATAGAAATGGAGATTGACTGAGATTCATCAAGAAAATTCAACAAAGAGGAGTCAAACCATCAATTCATCAGTTGATTAGTGTTTATTTGACTATGGGTCGCAGGTTTTTGAACCAGGACCCACGAATGAAGAGGGTACTTGCTGTTCACCAACATACAGTTTGATTCGACCTGCCCAGGCTCAGGATCCAGGTGGTAAAATCCACCATGCGTTCAAAAATAAACAATATTGATGATAAAATAAGGCATTATATTTTACGTATCATGAAATGGTATGTCATCACTGTCACTAGACCTGAAATAACATCGAGTTTGGCATCTGGCAGCTGCGAGGGACGAGGATGACAGATCAACGGAGTTGATTTCTCCAGTGTTTCATACTCAACAAGTCCAAATGATTGGGGGAAGTAAAATCTCTAGTATGGAAAGTGTATGGGAAATTTCTGGGGAGGGTTTCATGATGTATATGAATCATACTATCTATATATTAAATTACATGTATAGTGTATAAATTATGGTGTTTGAGAATCTATAATAAATCATAATCCACAATAGCGCACAGATACATATACATCCCAATTAAAAATCCCATGTGTTCACCATTTTCTTGGTTCAAACTCCATCTCTGTTGATTTAAAAATCCCAAAATCCCATCAAATATCACTACTGAATCGCTATCGAATCAGCATAAAATCCGATGAAACCACCATTAAAAGTTCCAAAATCCCCCTTTTCCCGTGATTTTCCGATGATTTTCCCATGTTCCATACATTCTCCGGTGGTTCGTTGAAGCCCCATGATTTCCCCCCGCAAACCGACCTTGGACGTGGTCAACTTATCATCACTGCGTTCGATGGCCCCGTCGAACTCCTGGAATAGCTGTGAGGATGAACATTGGGGATACGTTCTTGTGCGTTATAATTCTATAAAGGCTATTGTGGATAAAATATGGATATATTGCCCATTATATTCATATTTATACATATATATATATATAGTGGATACGATGAATCTAATGACGAGTATATATATATATGTATATATTAAATGGATATATGGAGGACTCCGAGACGATGATGGTCAAGAACTACAACAACAGCTGTATATATTTTATTTGAACAGCTACAGTAAATAAATAAATAAATATATATATATACATATATATATACATATACATATATACATATACATATATACATATACATATATACACCGTCTGGTAAACGTTTACATAGCTATGGAAAATCACCATCTTTAATAGGTAAATCAACTATAAATGGGCAATTTTCTATAGCTATGTTAAATTACCACAGAGTATATATATAATTATATAATATTATATATAGATAATGGCTCCCTATGTGTATGTCCGCCGACCCCTCCAAGGGGAGCGCGCCAGACGAGCTTGAACCACACGTGACTATATAATTGCCATTCATCTTCCCTGTTCCGTAGCAGTTTCTTAATGCGTTCCTTAGGTGCTGCGATCCTGCAAACATACCGCATGCCAAATTGACGCCACTATCCCTGTTGCAGCCAAGCAGCTGCAGCATCCTTGAACTTCTCCTGCGCCCAGGTATAGCAAGCCAACTTCGCCAAAGACATCTGCGCATAGGATGAAATTGCGTTGTCCGCAGCCATGTTGTAGTAGGCACTTCCGAAGTGCACCCCCACATCATGGGCCACCGTGGCTCTGAACCTTTGCGATGAGTGACCCAAATCTGCAGCCCGCCCTCTGCCCTCGTGTCATGCATCCTTGCTGGTTTCTTCTGCTATATCGTTCTTATCTTCAACTTCGGGGAGCTATACAACCAGTTCCCACTCGTCACAAACAGCCTGACACAAACAATAAAATCAACGAGCACCACTGTCAACCCGTTGCCTCACCTTTTCCCAACTCCAGTCACACCGAAGCCGCGGATGATCAAAAGCCCTCTGCCAAGCCACAGAGCTTGCCCAAGGGAATTACGTTCCAGCCGTGCCACTGTTTTGCCTCTGATCCTGAGACACCATGCTGCATGTCTCCTTTCCTGCTCCCCGGCCCTCTTTCACCTGAACCTGCCTCCCATCCTTGCTGCTGTTCTATTCCTACCACCACCCCGTGATCGTATCCACGGCCCCAGAAAGCTACCCTCACCCTCCTTGATCCTGAATTCCCCTAACTCTGGCTGCAGCCCAGATGCAAGACCTTCGTCTGCCGCAGCCTCTGTGTCAAGCGCCGCAACCATTGGACCACCTTCCGGCAGGACTTGCTCCCTTCTTTGCCATCCTGCTTTTTCACCGACTTCTTCTGCCGCGCCTTGGCACGACACCACCCTGCACTCGTGTCGCAACCTAGTCAACTGGAGCCTTTGCCTCTTGCTCTCCACCGCCCCCTGCCCCCAGTTCCCGCCTGCCCACAGCCGCATGTGATGGATGTCAAAAACTTAATGACAATTTTGAATACTCTCGTTTGGATCGTACAATGCTGATGCGGGACGGCTTCTTGAAAATGCCATGGAAATATTCAACATCTTCAGCAGAGTGCCGGCATTGGGTATATTTACTTCAGAGTTGTGTGCTGCTGTTTGTCAACGTTTCTACGGGCAGCATCTCGCATTTAGTTTTGCACTTTTTTGCAAAAGCTCGAATGAAGGTGGAAAGCATCTACGGAACTCATGTCCATCCATTGCCACAAGTCCAGGCTTATGCCCCTGGACAGCTTGCAATTCCCCTACCCTCTGCTACGCCACACTTCATACTTCGGGCCTTCGGGAAACCACACATGCCACCCTGTTCTTGCCATCTGCAGCCAAGCAACAAATATCAAAGACCTCTGGCCATAGCCAGACTTGTGGCACCTTGCGCTCCAAATGCCGTCCAGCAGCGTCAACAGGGCCACATCTGAACCCTTCACGAACCGCTGCAGTGAAAACGGACTCCCATTCTCCTTAGGCCCATCGCAACAGTGCGTTCATGCTTTCTGCCAATCCCGCAACCCCGCTACTACACCGACTCCGTTGGAACTGCCCCCTGCTTGCACATTCGTTCCCATCCTCGCAAGGCAACCACTGCGACTTTCCGGCCGAGACATTTGAGAATACCGTTGCCGGAAAGCCTCAGCTGCCCCGGCGTCGTTCAACACACTGCGGTAAAACCTCGGTGGATGCATCCGCAACCATATCCCCAGGATTCTTGACGTTGACTCAAAGCATTCAGACCGAGGGATCTTGCAAGTCCATCGCCCATAACAACTACTTCGTGCCACACTAAACCCACGTACGATCTCGACACTGACTTTGACACTGTCCCTGCACAGTCTATTCTGAAGGCACCCGGTCACGATGACACCCTGGTTCTCCCTCTTCAATACCCTGCTTACCGGATCAGGTTCCACCAAGACACACGATTCGGAACAGTCGATCCGTGGCTGTGCAGGCGCGCACAGACTCCAAACGGGCACTTAGCCATAGTGACATCCTGTCAGTCGTGGCCAGCGGTGACCCGTGCAGCGACCTCAGCCGTCTCATCACCCGACACACCACAGTTCCCTTTGACACTTTCTCTCCTGCACGTTGCCAGACTCCGACTCTGCTGCACGACAAAAACAAACGGTGTACCTTTTGGCCATCTGACAGCGCAAAATGCTGTAAATTACAGCACTTTGTGCGCTGTTTATGTTCAATTTTTAAACGAGCGATTCTTTCACATGTTCTTGGCATTCTTCAACAAGAAACGACGTTACAGATTGAAACTAGACTCATTAGACGACAGTGTGGCCCGAAAGAAAGCTGGAGGGAGGAGACGAGAAGATAGCACACAAGAAAATATGATGATGAATGCTGCTGGTGAGGAGCTTTTTCACGGACGCGTTTACACACAGAAGCTTTTACGCACAGAAGCTTTTACACAGAGAAGTCTTTATAATTATACAGACTGGCTTGTGCACGCAGAAGCTTTTACACACAGAGAAATCTTTACACAAAGAAGCTTTTACGCACGGAAGCTTTTACACAGAGAAGTCTTACACTAAGGAGATTTTGCACACAAACGCGTTTACACAGAGGAGCTTTTACACACAGAAGCTTTTACACAGAGAAGTGATTATACACACAGACGCGTTTGCACACAGAAGCGTTTACACAGAGAAGCCTTAGCTTTTACACACAAGGGCGTTTACACACAGAAGCTGTTACATACAGACGCTGTTACAGAAAGAAGTCTTTACACAGAGAGCTTTAACCCACAGGCGCATTTACAGACAGAAACTATTACACAAAGAAGTCTTTACACAGAGAGCTTTTACACACGGAAGCTTTCACACACAGATGTTTTTACACAGAGAAGTCTTTACGCAGAGAAGCTTTTACACGCAGAAGCTTTTTCACACAGAAGTTTTTACACATCAATGAAAATGTTCAAAAAAGCATAAGGAATATATTTCTGAAGCAGCAGGTCCTCATTCAATAGCTTTCAAGCCCACCCTGCGATGACATCGGGTCAAGTAATCCGGCGGAGCCGACGATGAGCGTCAGCTCTAAAATATATATACATACCTATATATACATAAATATAGATATATATATATATATATATTCGTATACAAATATATATATATATATACACCCATTCCATTCTGTAATGAATATATCTTTTTCAGTGGATATCATGGCAGTACAACGGGGAGATAATGATATAACATAACCATCAAAATAGCCGTGTTTTTTTGGGTGTTTAAGACGTTTAATATTAGGGAGAATGGATTAACCAACCAATATGGCAAGGCGACCAAAAGATAGATGCTTAAAAGTGGGAAACTTGGAAAGTCATTATACAAGTACCCTCTGGTTATTTAACGTAGCCATGGAAAATGGCCCATTTATAGATGGTTTACCTATTAAAAATTGTGATTTTCCATAGCTATGTTAGTCATAACCAAATGGTAAATATCATCGAACGAACATCCGGAAAATCCATGTCACCATGTCCGGGTGTCTGAAAAAGGGTGTCTGCAACAAACTCGAAAAATGTGTAGATGTATATCCAGTATCTGGTTCACACCATCATTGTAGATATTGTTTGAATTTGGTATCTTGATCCAAAAAATCCAAGAAATCCAAGACCCAAGTTGTGTTCTTGGTTGGGTTGGAGTATGCACAAGATGTATGATTGTCATGTCATATCTGAGTTGTTTTCAGAAAGTTATATGATAGTTGGCTTGGCTTAGGGATCTTGATCTTTCGGATATGTTCTGTTGATTAAGTTGATCAACAATATTCTGTGTTTTCCGAAAAAAATAAACGGGATATGAAATTCTGCAAAGGATACTGAAATTTGAAAAAGTACACCTGAGTTTTCTCTTAGTTTTCCCACGTTGTGTAACCTTGTGGAGGTTATGGCGGCTTTCACCTGGCGATGGCGCCGTGGTTGATTTCCATGGGAAAATCCCATTCATAAATGGATGATTTGATCAAAATCCCCCATTGATAGGGATTGATCGTAGATCAATTTTGATAATCCCGCCTATGATCAACATGCCTATCAATATTGTATATATATATATATATCAATAATGATATATTATGGATATATTGATAATAGGGATTGATAGATAATGATAGGGCTAAAATGGCTGTAATATCCGTCCGTTTTTTGGATCAGATGAAACATTTCTTTGGGGGTTTCCAAAGTCATGGAGGTACCCCCAAATGGATGGTTGAAAATTGAAAATCTCATCGAAGTGGATGATTTTGGGGTACTCCTATTTCAGGAAGCCCTCATATGTTCTGTGGATATCTGAAATTTACTCTGGTTGGTGGTTGAGCCAACCCCTCTGAAAAATGATGGAGTTCGTCAGATTGAATCATCATCCCAACTATTGGGCAAAATACTCTCCCGTAAATTAACATAGACCCTGCCAGATAGGGGTTGGAAGATTGGTTTCCACTAAAAATTGGTGATTTTCAGGGTCAAACTGTTAATTTACCAGAGGGTAAAATTCATGTTCCAAACCACCAACCACTTGATATCTCTCCCTGACATTGGACCTAAAAAACAAATCGTAGCGCCGCACTCCTTCTGAAGTTTCTCCAAGGCGGCCACATCCGTCAGCGTAGCCTGCAACGTCCATAGAAATTGATGGTTTAATACCCAGAAAACTGGGTTGAAACCAGCCACAAAAATGCCATTCTGGATTATCTAAACTATATCATACCTGGTTGGTGGTTGAGCCTACCCCTCTGAAAAATCATGGACAACTCGTCAGTTGGGATCGTGACATTCACAGCATGGAAAGTCATAAAGGCCATGTTCCAAACCACCAACCAGCATAAAATCTGTTTTGATTTCTGCTCATCCCACGGTTCTTGCTTAAATCCCCCTACGTGCGTTGGCATTATCATCCTTTCCCATTAACAATGTGGTTGATTATTGTTCTTCAACATGATCTGCATTGAGTCGCTTAATCCAGGCCATGACTGCCATGGGTCAACGGGATTTTTTTTGACCGAACAAAAAGGGTAGGTACCATCCGAATGTAACTAGAACCTATGGACTCTATGAACTATGGATATGAACATTTATGGGTATCAATAGAACCAATACTAGAACCAATAAACATACAACTAATGTACCTGGAAACTTCATTTCATCCACCAATAAGTTGGATCACTGAGGGATTCCCCCTTCATTTGATCGTTGTTCGTGCTTAAAACCACCCTGTTTTGCGGGCCAAAACGGCGTGCAAACGTGCCCTCCGCTAAAAAGAAATACGTACTGTAGATGGACAAAAATCCTGCACCAGTCGAGGGATGTCTACCCCATGATTTATACAATGTGGCCCCCTCCCAGTTATGTTTGTTGCTTTATAAACTTCATGAACTAGTTCTTTAATTTCAGCTGCAATAGCTACCATAAAAGCATACTTATTGGAGTTATTCACCTACATTAACCTACTTAGCTATCGTAAACGTCGTAAACGGGGGCCCACTTTGTAGGCTTTCACCCATCACCGCTAGGCCACCGCCTACCGGCCACCGCCTCCCGTGCCGCATCGCCCAGTCTTTGGAGGTGTTCACGGACGATGGCGTCCTAACGAAAAATGGATGGGATTTTTTGCCATGGAAAATGAGGGATTTAAGATGACTTACCCTCTGGTAATGACTAACATAACTATGGAAAGATCCACCATTTTATAGCTGGGAAAATCCACGAACTAAATCACCATTTTCAATAGCAAACTGTTAGTTTACCAGAGGGTAAGATGACTTAAGTAGGGATATCCCATATGTTGAGTATCAAATGAACCAAAGATATCCAAAACTTAGGGGCATTTTTGGGATTACTAAAGATGATTTTAAGATATATTTTATGTAGGGGTATCACTGTGGATTGGCTCTTTTTCTAAATTTTTAGCATCATTTACAGGGTTTTACCGTGAACAATGAAAGTAGTTGTTGTTACATGATGGTTGACTGATGATTGGGGTTATAAGCCCACTTGGTCTGTAGATTATTGCGTCCAGAATAGGGATACCTTCCAATAATTTTCTGAACAGCTACTTTCGCTGGCGTTCTCTACACCTCCGCAATATTTGGAAATGGTCTACTTTCATGGTGGATTGTCCATATCGTGAAAGTGCTTTTTTTCGGAAGCGACTTCCCAACTATCCTGGATGATATTTATCAGACTTATCCCCATGAATCAGCCGTATCCCCATTGATATAATCTGGTTGGTGGGGGCCAACCTACCCCTCTGAAAAATGATGGACAACTCGTCAGTTCGGATGATGACATTCCCAATATATTATGGAAACATCCATTAAAATCCATTAAAATCCATTAAAATCCATTAAAATCCATTAAAATCCATTAAAATCCATTAAAATCCATTAAAATCCATTAAAATCCATTAAAATCCATTAAAATCCATTAAAATCCATTAAAATCCATTAAAATCCATTAAAATCCATTAAAATCCATTAAAATCCATTAAACCACTATAATCCATGATTCCCAAGTGAATGGAAAGTCATTTTTTCCAGCCATGTTCCAGTCACCACCAACCAGAACCCCATCGGTTTCACCTTGCAGGCGCGGCTAATCTGCGTGATGCCCTCCCGGCTCGTCGCCTCGAACCGGTGGTTTTTTGGTTTCACCAACAGTGGAGCGGGTGGTTTTAAAAAAAAAATAGGGATTGATGGAGGATTTCTATCCCTTATTAGTGATTGATGGAAACCTCTATTTCTAGGTAATGGTGGATGGTAAGCTCATAACTATTGATTAACACCTTATTTTGGTGAAACCTCTATGTGATCATAGCTGATCATCCCGGTTTGACTTTGGATTTCTACGTGATCATCCAACTTTTTTCCTTGGTGAGCTTCCTGGTTGGGAAAATCCTCGAAGCTTTTGCTGGGACGAAGAACTTCCAGCGGAGCTGATTTCCGGATGGGTATATATATATATATCATTACATATCCCATGAAGAAACCATTAAAAAATCAATGATTCACAATGAAATTATATATATATATATAGACAACATTAGACAACAAAATTCATCAAAATTCTCCAAATACATTCACGAAAAAACATGGACATGCACATGAAAATCTTCTATTTCAGGCATGTGTGGATGAATTTTGCTATTGGTATCAAGCCCCAAGTGGATCATCCATACTGTTGCCACCTCGGTTGCAGCTCCCATGAGCTCCATGGGAAAATCCCCCAGCATTCGATGATTGTCCCAGCCATACTTCACCAACATTTGACAAAAATAGATGGATTGGTTTACGGGAAAATCTTAACCGGAAACCCATGGGTTTTTTACCATCAAATTGGTTGGGCTTTCCGGTTAAAATTTCCCCCTCATCCAATTCTATGACAAATAGATTCGATCATTTTCCCATACCCATAGGATCCATGTATGGTATATATGCTAACATTGGGGGTATATTGATGGTAAATGTTACCATATATAGCATACATGGATCCTATGGGATATGTTTTCCTATTAAAAGAGCCTTTCCTCGTCATCGTTTTTACTTGATTTTGGAACGCCGACACAACCGACCTCCAGGGTGTCCAGTTCCGACATGAAACTGCCGAAGAGGTGATAGCCTCGGACGCCGAGAACTTTTTTTCAATGGATGAAAGGCAACCATAAAGGGGAACTTGAGCATGGTGATTTTTTTTTGAATATGAACCATCCTGAAATATGCCCAGATTTTTTCCATGTGATAAAAAATGTCATTTTGGAAGAATCGAGATACTCGAGATGGGATATTAGATGGATATTAAATGATATTAAGCCATCCATAGCCACTGGCAGAAGCCAACATCATATAACACCCCCCAGTCGACCGAAAAGTCAACCGGAAAACCCTGGAAAGAGACGAAACCTCGATAGCTTGGTGCATGGCTTTGTGACCTTTGGGATCCCAGGTGGAAAATCATAGAAAACCTTTGGTACCCTCTGGTGAACATACAAAAAGCTATTGAAAATGGCCCAGTCGAAATAGTGGATTTACCCATAAAAAAGAGTGATTTTCCAGTTCGCTATGTAAACGTTTACCAGAGGGTAAACCTTTAAAATTTACAGAAAATTGCCCTTTGTCCATCTGATCTTCATCCATTTTCCATAAAATTTGGTGGTCCCTCTGATCCATAGACCATCCCATCCCTATGGTACCACCGATGTTCCAGTTCCACGGGGTGACCGTAAAAAACCTGTTGCGTCTCGATTCAGCTGGCAGTGACTGAAATACCAGTTCATAAATGGTTTTGACTGGTAAAACTATTGGTAAAACTATTGATATATTCGAATTTCACTCATTTACCATTTCCATAGTTCAAGAAATACCAATCGTTTGAATACACCAATAGTTTTTCTATCTTTTTGGATGACGTTTTCGCTCATTTACCATTGGAAATCCCATCACCCTCCGGCTCGAAGAAACGTTGCATGCCTTTGCCGACCTCGAGTGAGGCGTGGTCGCGTGGCTTTTGAAGGTGGGTATCGTATCGAAACATGGCAACAATAGTAGTCCCCACACAGACAGAAACAAATAGCCTCTGGTTATGACTAACATAGCCATGGAATGTTTTGCCCATTTGTAGATAGATGGTTTGTTTAGGTTATGACTAACATAGCCATGGAAAATTGCCCATAGAAATAGATGATTTACCGAACTTAAAAATGGGTGGATCTTTCTTTCCATGGCAAACTGTGAATGTCATAACCAGGCCGGCTACATCTCCCAGTCATGGGATGATCAGCAGCGATGCGAAGCTGGTTAGTCAGCACAGCTATGAGTTCATGAAAATCTCATAGTAGTTAAAACATGTTAAAACCATATCAGTTAATAGTGGTTAATAGTGGTTAATACTCAACATAACCATCAATAGCTGGTAATATGGTCATGATAATGGTTATGTTTATGAATATAACACATGACAGTTTTTTTTGCCATTGTTTACCCACATTAAGAATTAATGTTGTGATTAATGGTGACTCGTACCAATATTGACTAATAGTGGTTAATAATATAGTGGTTGACTATGACTATTATAATCACTATTCTGATTATTAGGTAAAGTGATGATAATAGTGGTTATTATAGTGGTGTATAGTGATTAATACCTGATTTTTTTGTGGTTAAAACAATATCAAAACCATCCCCCAGTCATCACCATGTTTATGGGTGTAAACCATCAAAATTTAAGGCTAGTTTAAGTGACATTGTTTTACCCACATTGTATAATATTAGTACTGGGAATATCTCATAATATGGGGGTTTCCATAAATGGAGGTACCGTACGCACCCCCATAGCTGGAGGATTTATAAGGGAAAATACTGTACCATCTATATATGGATGATTTAGGGTACCCCCATGTATGGAAACACCCATATAAGTACTGGGAGTATCTCATATTACTGATGTGATCCCGCTAAAATAGCACACCCAAATAATGGTTGTACTATTCTTATCATTCCTTAATGACTAGACATGATTTATCAAAGGATCCCAAAAAGAAAAAGGATCCACCACAGTGTTGCGGATGGACATCTGTATGGATCGTGGCAAAGCCCAGTTCATCCAGCAACTAGTCCAACCTACAGGGACCCTCCCCACGTTTGAGTACAGCATGGTTTCACATGGCAAACCTCTAATGGGCCCACCGAACTTCACACGGGTTTGTCTGAAAATAAGGGATCCCAAGATCTCTTGGTTTACCTTCCAGAAAACCAACAAAGACATATAGAAATCCCAGGCTTGCCGGAAAATTACATACTTTCATGGTAGATTTTCTGGACGTATGTGAAAGTTTGCTGGAGCTTATCGCTCCCTACGTTTCTGGTTCATCAACCAGTCTGTCTCCAGCTATGTTTGTCTTAATACCATTACCAATGAAGCCTAATGTTGGTGTATCCCAGCAAATATGATCAATGGGGATAAACTTAGGAACACAAATCGGGATGTAATGGATTATAATTGGAATATGATTGGATAACTCTGGAGAGAATGAGGTTTTAAACCAACCAAATGACGATGTCATGGGGATATATTGGAATATAATTGGAAATAGTTGGAATATCATGTAATTCCCCAGTACGTTTCATTCATAGATGATGTTCAACCATAAAACCTATGTTTGCAGTTCAAACCACTATTTTCAGTTGGTGATATCCCCATTTGGTCCAAAAACCTTCATTTTCTCCCCGATTCTCCAATAGCTGGATGGTCTATAATGGAAAATCCTATGAAAATGGATGATTTGCAGGTACCCCTATTTCAGGAAACCTCCATGTACAAGGTAGATAGATGGATGGATGGATAGATAGATAGATGGGTAGGTAGATAGATAGATAGGTAGGTAGATAGATAGCTGTATATATATATACATATATATATACATATATATATACATATATATATAACTATATATATATACACTATTAAAATATCATCTATACATTTCCCCATGCTTTTCCCCCGGCCAAACTTTTCTCGGCCGAAGCTGGGCTCTCCTGGGATCCCCAACGACACCCCCCACACAATGGCCATGATGGACACCCACCCGACATGTCACCTGGACGCGGACCCCTTTCGAACCCGGGGATGGCCAAGGGAAAAATCAGGACGTTTTACCAGGAAAAATGATGAAACATATATGGGACATCTATATGGAAATCTAAGAACTTTTATGTTTCTGTTGGGAAAAATATCTGGGATCATCCTCGAAGTATAGCTGGGTGAGTTTCCAGCCGAAATTCCTGGTTCAACCGTCAGAGTAGATGCCATTGAACAACGAACATCACTCCCCGCTAGTCTATGCTCCAAAATCTCATGGTTTTTCAAACCAAAAAGACGGTGGTTGCCCCCTTCTCCAGCATGACGCCTCGGTTTTTTCTCATCTCGTGACCGTTTAAGCATTCGCTTCTCGGCCGTTTTCGCATGTGCGAAGGGTGAATTCTGGGGGCTTAGCCCACCGAAACGTTACCACCGTGACACCCGCAACGCCGCTGGGTTGGCTGTCGCTGGGGGATGAGCGCCTCGTGTCACATCCACGCATGCGTTGATTCCCCTGGGAAATGAACGCACAAATGGATGCAGCACCTTCGTTTGGCAGCTGGCACCATAACACTACGCCACGCAGGCGTGGTATTTCTTGGGGCAAAGCCTGTGGTTAGAAAACATCAACAACCAACTGATGCTGTCATGCTTTCAAAACTGATCATTTAGATCCAGTTTGTCCATACTAAACATACGAAACGCCGGGTCCAAAACCCCCGCTGCCAAACGAAAAACCCAACGGCACCCTTGCTACTGGCCCAGCCCAGTCGAGCCGGGCGCTCTAAGTCATGGGAGGGTTTCTTATCAGAGCCGAGCCGGCCCTCAACCCCTCAACCCCTCAAGCCCCATGGGTTTGAACCAGCGAATAAGAGGACAAACAACGATACTCGATGTGCGGAAGGCGATTCAGAATATCCTGGCGCGGTTGAGATCACGATGAGCGCCGTCATGGCTATAGATGTCTCTATGCAAATGCCGAATTTGTGATGTTTCTGGTATTCAGAATATTTTTCTTCGAAGCATAGAAAATGAGGCAAAGAAAATGGGCAACCAGGTACTTTGATCCACAAGAAGCTTCAGGCAGCAATCTACAGCCATTGAGAAGATGTTTTGGGCATATTGAATATTGATAGAATTGATATGAATTGATAGCATATCTTTTAACGACTCACCTGGGACTGTTAGTGCTTTGCCAGTGCTCTACAATATGATGAAAAATACCCCGGCTTGGTCTCGACCAAGCCTAAGCTGAAAATGGGCTCCAAAATCATGCCAATTTCTTCCAGGGAAAAACAACATGATCGAAGAAATGTGTGGATAAATCATGATAAATCCATTTGATCCATCTTCAAATGGCGTTTCCCAACATGAATTCCCCGATCTGGTCGATCTGGTCGATCTGGTCCTCCTTGGCCACGGTGGTCTTGAGATCTGCGCTGAAGTGGTATAAGATCAAGGACAGCATGGGGTTTTCCGCCATCTGCACCTGGCGTCACACGCCACACGATGCCTGACAGCCGACCATGAAAGTCCTACCAAAATTGGGATTCACCGCCATAAATCCACCATCACAAGTCATCAGAAGTCATGAATTTATGGCTGCCATGACAGGTCGGTATAGCCAGGGGCCCACATCTGCCCTCCCCCCATCCGCTCACCACGATTTCCAGGTTGTCGTCTTCCGTCAACTCCGCGGCGGTGATGGGCAAAGTCGTGGACCAGTGGAGGTGCACACCCTGCGGGAAGCAGATGAAGACGGGTTTCTCATGGAAGACACTTTGCCCGTTGTAGACCACCTGGGAGAGGGAGAACTTTATGATGGGGGGGGGTAGGTGAATCAAGAAACAGGTCATAACTTTGCAGAAATTGGAGAAATGATGATACATCCAGTGCTTAAGGAGATTCCAACATCCCAGGATATCCCAGGTGTTGAACTGGGTCGAGTTCCCAGAAACCACTAAAATACCGGGTCCCCAGAAAAATGGAGTTGTGTTTTTCTGGCACCATTTTAATGGGATGATACACGAACCAACACCTTGGCTGGTGCCAGAGATCGATGGCTGTCATCCCATTTTCCCGTTTGAAATACTGGATACATGGGATACATGGTTCACTGGGACTATCTGGTATATCTGATAGGGGAATAGCTGAAATGAGTAACTAGAGACTTTAGGGGATCCAATGGTGATACTGGCACAACTGTCCAAATTTGACATCTCAACATCCCAAATGATTCATATCCTCGGACTTACTTATTATTCATTGACATACCCTCTGGTAATTTGTTACATAGCTATTGAAAATGGTGGATCTTTCCATAGTTATGGGACAGTTTACCAGAGGGTATATTGACATATTATATTGTTCATTCAAAAGAGAGAGAGAGAGAGAAAGCAGTTCCTCCAAGACATAGGGATAGCTCAGCAATGGACCCCCAACCAAACCCTGCAGCCACCATGCCAGCACAGCACTTCTGAAAAGAAACAGCTGTATTGCCATATCATACCCTCTGGTAATTTGTGACATAGCTATGGAAAATGGCCCATTGAAATAGTGAGTTTTCCCAGCTATAAAATGGTGGATCGTTCCAGTTCGTTATGTAAACGTTTACCAGAGGGTAACTCCCATTAAATCTCCATTGAATCCCATTAAATCACCATCAAAAGACCATAAATCCCATTAAATCACCATTAAAAGACCATTAAATCACCATGAAAAATCCCATACTCAACATGATCCGGGAAAATTTCACATCCGGAACGCCCCAGGCCTGCCACGCAAACATTGCAGCTGGAAAGCGGTGAATGCACTTTTTCGGATCCTGGAAAGATGCGCTTGGAGTGTCACGATTTGATGCGGCTTCAATGAGGATATATTTGTTGAATGAGGTTTTCAGGGATACATGGCTATTCAGTATAATCCATATAGATGGTTATATAACTATGTATATATATATATACATAGTGTGTGTATATATATAGTGTGTATATATATATCGTGTATATATATATAGTGTATGTGTATATATATATAAGTATACAGTGGGTGGCTGCGAAATCCTGCACCAGTTGAGGGATGTGGTTTATCCCTCTATTTTGTTTGGTTTTCAACCATCCTTTTGGTGGTACAGGATTTCGCAACCATCCACACTAGCAACAGGAATGGGAAAAAAACACCAAAAAAACTTTGATACCTGCCATGCACCATGATTCCAGTGAGGTCACGACGTGAGGTCACTAACGGTCACTATAATTTACATGCCCTGAATGCCTTCGAGAGATTGCAAGGGTGGCCAGTGTTGTAGATAAACTCCCCAGAAATGGTGCGGTTTTTTTTTGGTCTGGAGTTAGGGGAAGAAAGAATGACTTATGGCGACTTGCTTCGGGGTGCAGTTCGACTAAGTTGTTCTATACCCATAGTAATGGGGGCTCCGTATCCACTGGGGTTTACTACAATGGTTATACCCATGAGAGTAGCTTTTCCCTCGTGTACTAAACGGAGTACCCTATTTTCCAACAAAACCGCTTGGTGAACCTATCCAACCTTGACCCAATTCATATATATATATATCATTAATATCCACTACATCCTAGATCAGAATATATATATATATATTTAAATATATTTTCAATGCCTACTCTATTCATATATCCAATAATATAATATATCTATTGCTTAAATCCCTATTTTGATCCATGCTTCTCCCACCCTCTCCCCATAGGCACCTCGTTGGTGGGCGTCGCCTGCTCATAGACCAAGCGCAACTTGCCCTCCGCGCCATAGTCCAGGCGGATCAACCAGTCGAAGTATGTGCCCACCACGGTCCTATCCCCATGGCTTTCCTCTACCGTATGGAACCATGGTGAAACATGGTGAAACACCACAATTGTTAATATTTCAACCACCATTTTTGATGGTGAAACCAGCTTTTTCCCACCTGCCAGGTGGTCTCTAGATTCTATATGATTTTATCAGAGTTACTTCTTCCTCCTCCTCCTCGGCCTCGTCCTTACTAAGGTCCGTCTTCCTTCCAGACCGCAACGGCGAGCTCCAGATCTTGGTGGGCGCTGCCCATGTCATGCCATATATACTTCCAGATGAGATGTTAGAAACTGTGACACTATCATTTGTCAGGGTGGGCATCACTCTAAGAAAAGTAATTTCAAAAAAATGTCCATGTGTGTGTGCGTGTTTGTGTGTGTGTAGACATACATAGATAGAGAGATGTGTGTGTGTGTGTGTCCGTCTTCAGACAGATAAGATGAATATACAATAAAAATACTTTCGTAGATTCATTCATTCATTCATTCATTCGTTCGTTCGTTCGTTCATTCGTTCATTCGTTCATTCGTTCATGCGCTCATTCGTTCGTTCGTTCATTCGTTCGTTCGTTCATTCGTTCGTTCGTTCGTTTATTCAGTCAGTGAGTCAGTCAGTCGTTCAGTCATTCAGTCATTCATGTCATTTATATAATTCATTCAATCAGGTCATTCCATTTCATGCCATTTCGTGTCATTTCATGTGTTCATGTCATTTCATGTCATTTTAATCCCTTGAAATCCATTGATAATTTTACAGGATCCAATCTAATGTCCATTTGGGCATATCCACGAAGGGTCATAATATAGTCGGCATCATAGGGGTGATAACATCTTTTGGGTGAAGACTTCTGCCATGGGAAATATCACAATTGTCAATAATTTTTTCAGAATCCATAACATCCATCACCGTGGCATATATGGATGTGGGTCAAAATGGAAGACCGTTAAGGGGACCACAGATGGAAATTAGTCTAGTTTAGTATTAACCATCCAATTGTTGGGGTACCTAATTTTGACCCATACCCATATGGCTATTTTGAATGGCTCAATTCTTTTCGACAAAAAAAAACAACTGTCCTCGCTGGTGTCAGTGTGGCGTCCATGGCAGCACGCACGCCATGGATCTCCCAACTGTTCGCCTCCACAATAGGCTCCTGCGGCAATGGAACAAATGATGGGAAAATGATAGAACATCTATCCTCTGGTAAACTAACATAATTATGGAAAATGACCATTCTTAATGGGTAAATCAACCATAAATGGCCATGTTCAATAGCTATGTTTGTTTACCAGAGGGTACATTTGGAACAATAAAAATTGACAAGATCAGGATTTAGAGTGGAACATGTAATAAAAAAAGTTGCAAGAATTTATAAGATTGGAGATTATAAGTGTTAGCATCATGGAACAGGTGGTATTTAAAGTGACGAAATGGATAGAAGAGGGATGCGACGAGTGAAATTGTTGAACTAGTAAAGCTAGAAAAATTGGAGGTGAATCAACAAAAATAAGGATACCAGCAAGAAACGAAAAAAAGTACAGCTTTTTGAACCAATTTCTTGTGATACCGGACCCGCAAAACTGAAAAATTCGACCAGGTTTCCATGGATGTGAATGGTTTCTCTTCCAGTTTGAATAGCAACTCTTACCCTTCGATGATTTTTGAATTCGATGATGTTTTATCTCCATCCGATCTCCCCATCCGATGCGCCCTATTTTCTGATGAAAACATAAAAAAAAAAATCATCAGGATATCGAATTCATATCATTGGATAAATCTCATATTATAATATATATATATATATTAATAATATGTATGTAAATCGTTATTTTAGTTATATATATATATATATGATAAGTCCCATGGAACTCCTCGTGAATTTGGATGAAAATCCCCACAAAAATCAGGCCCTCACGGCCAAAAACGGCCCTCAGGCACCTCCACGGAGCGCAGCACAGTGAAGTCGCGGCCGCCCCATTCCCAGGCTTTCCTGAAAAAACTTTGGCGCGGCTTGGAAAGATCAAAATATCGTAATAGTAATGGATATAGTAAATATAGGATATTTGGAATATGTGATATTTACTTTGTGTATATTGATATAGTAACAATTAGTTGGTACGTTTGAGATAGTATATAATGGCTTTATGATATTTATTATAATGATATATTATAGTAATAATGGCTTTATTGATTTGATATAGTAGTAATGATCATTCATACTATAATATAGTATAAAAATCGTTGTATGTATATATATAGCGATTACATAAATGGTATGGAAGTCATATTCCAAATATAGTCCCATATTCCAGTTTTTTATTTCTAATCTAAGATGATTAGTATAGTATAATATTTAAAAAAAAATTGTGGAAATCGCCCCATTCTATAATATATACATATACATATACATGCCCCCATATAGTATATATAGTATAACATAATATAAGATTTTCTGTGATTTAGCGATGACATCAATGGTGAATATCTCTGTGAAGTCTTTGAATTTCTTTAAATCCCATATGCATATATATATATACCCTCTGGTTATGACTAACAGTTCGCCATGGAAAATCCCTACCATAAATGGAGCTTTTAAGTTCGGTAAACCATCTATTTCGATAAATGGGCCATGGCTTAACCATGTGTGGTGAAAATCAACGAACTAATCGACTGGGGCTGATGACTGGGGCGATTTCATGGTGCTGACCAAAATCGTAGCCTCTGGTAATTTAACTGATTTAACTGTTTGCAAATTGGTAAAAATCACCATTTTCAATAGGGAAATGATATGGGAAATCATCTACAAAGGACCATTTTCCATCATTATGTCAAGTAACCAGAGCGTATAGATGAAAGGTATACTTCAGTTTCTACCCGCTTCATATGGAAAGAAAAAATCGTATCAAGACTGGAGTCATTGAAAAAATCCATGGCAGATGTACCCAGATCATCCATGCTTCCTACGTTTATCTCATAATTCACACGACTGGACCGGTGAAGTTTCTCACCGTTTGGCAAATGGAGAATCACCATGGGTCATCATCCATAGCTCAAATCACCAGAGGGTAAGTGAATTTGCCATAGCATTCTGGGTATCCTTTCATAAACCCTCCAGGTAAATTATAAAAATGTTCATAGCTGGATGGTATGAAACCCAACTCTGCACCGGCCTCATAAAATTTCTAACCTCGTGTCGCTTGTTTTTCACGTTCCGCCGCCGGCCCAATCCCCAATCCCCAATCCGCGATCTTCCAGCGACCAGGCCGGCCCCATGATGGGATGTATGCTGATGCAATCCATATAATAGTCATATAATCATGTATATATATATATGTATATGTATATGTAATATATATATGTATATATGTATATATATATGTATATATGTATATATATATGTATAATACTGGTTGGTGGTTTTAACCATCTTGAAAAATATGAAAGTTCGTTGGGATTATCGGATAATTTTCTTCCCATACCTGGAGCCCAGGGATCCCCAGTACCATGGCCCAATGGCCTAAGTCATGGTCATGAGATGAAATCAAGGTATCCCCACTTGGGTTATTTGGGTTACTATCAACTACCCTCTGGTTATGTCAAAATAGCGAAAATGGCCCAGTCGAAATAGTTGATTTACCCACTAAAAACCGGTGATTCTCTACAGCTTTTTGTACGTTTACCAGAGGGTATATTCCATATTCCATGATATTTTTCCATATTGCTGATATTCCCAGTATATCCCCAATCATCTTCCATGAAATCCCATGAAATCCCCATGAAATCCCATGAAATCACCATTGAACAATCACTATGTTTCACAATCCCCATGACTTTCTCCAAGCATCGTTTCCCTCAGTAAATCGCAGGTGGATTCCATCCCTGTATGACTCAGGCAGTACCTGACTGCGCCACGGCCATGGCATTCATGGCATCGTTTCAGCCAGAGGAGATGTTTACCCAGTGAGGGATGAAAAATTTGGACTTCACCAGAAAAATTTTGGGATTTTCATGACTTGGGGATGGGTCAAAACCCTGGTACCTAGTGAACCCCAAAATAGCTGGTAAATGGATGTTCATCCCACTAAAAATGTGTCTATAGGTATTGACCCATACCCACTTGGGAGTCTACTTGGGCATTACCTATTATTTACCATTTACTCATCTCAGGCGAAAACTTACCATGTTGGATTCGTAGATCTACACAGATGGTCTATGTGACGGTCACCACAAAGAAGTTCACCACCGCGGTCGCAGGGGGCAGGCGCACTTCACCATAACATCGGCATCATCATCAGTGTATACTTGGTGACACGCATACCTCGGTTTGCTGCTGAACGTGCAAACTGCTTGAACGTCGCGGAACTCAAACATCTAGACTCTAGGCATGTCTCAAACAAAAACGGCCCAAAAAACTTGGATCTCTTTCACCATTCATGAGTCATCCCTTGCCATCGCACCCAAGGGATCCAAGGGGCTGGAGCACTTGGGTCAGGAGATCCGTCGGAACCTTCAACAAATAGTCCCGATTGGTTTTCACCATCGACATGAAGTGCTCTCCCGTGAACTTGCAGGCCGCATCCTCCAATGGCCATGGAAATTTGGAGAAAAATGATGATTCACCAACAGAAACACCTTCCGACCAAACCCGACCGTTGTCAAAAAAAAGAGGCCTGAAAGGTGGGATACTTCCGCAAGACTTCGTGGTTCAACACATCCACACCTCAGCGATGCCGGTGGAGAAACTTCACCGTACCTGGTGAATGGTCCACGTTGACACCGCAGGGTGATCGATGTCGAATCTATGTCGAATATCTGTGGCGAATTTTGCGAAACAAAAATGGAGGCTGTTTGATATTCTCCCTGCTATTGAACAATTGCTGCTTTTACCTTCCTATTTGGAGGATCCCAACCCGCTCCAGCTGGGAGGTTCTTCGCGTCCCCGTTTTCGAGTCTTAAAATTTCTTCATTCTCTGTTGAAAAAGCATCATTTCAAAAGAAAGAAACTGTTCAACAAAAAATCTCTGCTCAAAATCCAGAAACCATGTCAAAAAAAATATATATGGCAGTGTGTCAAAACCTTGTACCCCTGTAGTTCACATCAAAATAGCTGGGATTTATGGATGTTCATCCCACTCAAAATGCTATTAATAGGTATTGATCCATAGCCACGAGGCACTGTTTGCCCAGGCGCAATTCTCCTCCTTCAATCCAGCCACGATCACCGGTCCGATGTCTGCTGGATTGATCGACTTGACCTGTGCAGGTCCCAGGTGGCAATTGTAACCAAAAAAAAAATGGGCTCATCATATTTTTCTATATATTTTTTTAGTAATCTCCAAAAATCTCCAAAAATCTCCAAAAGTTGTTGATGACCACTTTTACCAAGAACTTAGTTCTTATTCTTTTCAGTGTCAAAAGTTGCTCCGTTCATCGTGACATGTCCCACGTGTAGTAGATGAACTTATAACCATCGAAGATTTACCAGTTACGGATTTTAAGGCCCAAAAAATCACCCAGAAATTCATCCAAAAAGTTGATGGAAAAACAGCTAGGCTAAAGCCAGGCCATTTATGTACCCTCTGGTAAACTAACATAACTATAGAAAATCACCATGTTCAATGGGAAAATCCACTATAAATGGTCATTTTCAATAGCTATTTTGACATAACCAGAGGGTACCATTTCTGTACCATGAATTCCCGCCATGAAATTCATGGTCATCCCCAGGCCGATGGCGCTGGCACTTTTTGCTGCGCCTCCACATCCTCCGCCAGGCCCAAGAGGTCCAGGCAGTCCAAAGAGGTGAGATTCTCCATGGGAAGGCCACCGAAGTACAAGAAACGCACCATGGCGTAGACCACCTGCCAGGTGCCCAGGTGCCAGCCTGCCTAGGTGCCTGGGATATCCCAAGTTGTAGAGAGACAACCATGATGTTCTGTTTAAGGGACCTCTGGGATAGTAAGTTAGATCCGGCAGTTACTGGTTTCCCACTATGTGTATATATATATACACCATATATACCATATATATATATAGGTATACCATATAAATATGAATGTGATGTATACCTTTTGGCAAAGACCGCTCCGGAAAATTTTCGCTTCGATGATTTGCCAATCTATCTATCGCCGGCGCCTTTTGGACACCCGAGGCTACGAGAAATCTCTGGCTACCTGGTAAACCCCTATGGAAAATCATCATTTGTCATGGAAAACCATAGGAAAATGGTGGTTTAATGGTGATTTAATGGTGATTTAATGGGAGTTACCCGGCCTGGTAAACGTAGCCACAGTTTGCGAACTGGAAAATCACCACCATGCTATCAATGGGTAAATCCACGAACTTTCTATGATCATTTTCAATTGCAAACTATGACAAATTACCAGGCCAAATCAACTATCCATGGCCATATGGCCATGGCCACCATAGCTATTAGTGAAATATGACCCTTTTGAGGTTCACGAACTAGTATTCATTAGGGGTTTGTGTTAACCAACATACATCACTGGGATCCCCACTAATTGGATCAGTATTTCATCAGTATTTCATAGGCTTTGATCCATCCCCATGTTTCATCCAACCAGCTTTTCATGGCTGTAGCAGTCCCTTCGCTGTCCGCCTTGTGCTTATGGTCCAACTGAACCTGGCGGTAATTCCTTTGGGATGGGAATCCCTTCCTATGAAATTCATCGATCGCTGGATGGTTTAGAAGGGAAAATCGTAACCGGAAACCATGGATTTTCGCATGAAATGTGGGGGGGAATCCATTGATCTATATTTCCCACCAGGTGGTCCATGCTTTGGTATTGGATTGCATGTAGTCATGGCTTTTTTGGGTCCCTGTTTTGGTGCCATTCTACGCAGGGAGGGAGTAGTTGTAAGGATGTTCATTTGAAGAAAAGTGTGTCATGTCAACCTCAGATTCGTGAACTCTCGTTGATTTTCACCAGAAAAATAGCCCCTTTTTTTACCATCTGGTTATGACTAACATAGCCATGGAAAATCACCATGCTATTAATAGGTAAACCATCTATTTCTATGGGCCATGGCTTCCATGGCTATGTTAGTCATAACCAGAGGGTAATCAGTGATAATCTGCTACTAAAATGGGCTCAGCCCAATTGGGTTTTGTTGATACCGTGTCACGTCATGAAGCTTTACGTTCCGGGGCATGCCAAGTTGACCCCACAAAAACAACGCCATCACCGGGATCCCGTCTGATGTCTGATGGACATGGCCTAAAAAGGAGGCCATGGTCGTATCATAATTTCACAATTTCATACAATGTTTCGACTCAGAACAGTTGTGGTGAAAGAAATTTCAAGAGTAACTCAAACGGTTTCTGATTTTCGGAATTGATGACGCACTCTTTAAATGGATTTTTTTCAGTTCCCATCCAGAAATGACTATTACCCACCATTACCATAGTCTGTACCATGAAAAATCCTCCCACCATTACCATCCGGAAATCCTCCTCTGGCAATCGTGCAAACGGCATGCTGGAAAATGTCCCATTGAGTTTCATGATTTTCCCCCATAAAAACTTCAGGGCGTTCTCGGCCATGAGCACACAAATTGACATCCAGGAGGGTTTCCCCACCACATCCTCATCATCCACCAATTTCACGTGCGAAGTGAAAAAAGTGGGAAGATAGCCATAGTTATAGGGGTTATCCAAACTTATGATGGTTACGTTTAACTTATATATCCATATATATATATATATATACATATATCCTCCGGTAATCAAAAGTTCAAACATAGCAATGGGATATCCTCAGTTATAGCTCCATGTTCTATCTTTTTGGGGGTTACTATAGTATGTACATAATCATCCTGATGTAGATCGAATATGGAACTTTTAGGGATATTCCCAAGGTTAGTGATGTCTGGCATTGCAATATTCTACCTCCAGGATGTTATGTATACATTATTGTGTTTTTTTGGCTGGCACATCATTATGTATCTATATATCATTATATATCTATATATATATATATCATATATCTATATCATTATATACCAAGAGCCTGATATATCATTCTATATCTACATATCTATATATATATATCCTATATCATTACGTATCTAACATTTCCTATATCTATATATCTATATATCTATATATATCTATATATCCTATATCATACATTAGTAATCCCACTATATATTCCCATTATTGATATTCCCATTATTAAATTATATATATACACACTAAATCACTATATCATGGAATACATATCTCCATCATATCTATATATTATCCCAACTGAGCCTCCCCACGCTGTTGTGCCCCGGGTTCTCGGTGAACTGCTGGGCGAAGAATGGCGAGTGCGCCGCCAGCACGGCTTTGTGTGCTGGAATCTCTCGTCCCTCGGCCTGGCATTAAAGGTGGCTAAATATTATAGAAAACCTATGGTTTAATATGGTTTAATATGGTTTAATATGGTTTCATATGGTTTAATATGGTTTAATATGGTTTAATATGGTTTAATATGTGCATATATACATAACCATAGGTAGAGTTCGATTAATGCGTGCATTATATATATATGTGTACAAATATTCTATAACCATAGCTACAGGGGTTTAATACGGCTAGTGAATGGTAAGTTATATTTCCCATTAACCCATAGGACTTTGATATGTCATAGTTGTAGGGGGTTTTCCTGTTCAGAAACAATCTTGATTTTTTCGTTGCTTTTCCATGGCTTTTTCCTGGTTTACCGGTAACGGTCATCGCCAAAAAAATGGTGATGTTGATAAAGGATCTTTGATGCACTTAGATGGAAGTACGGTTAATAAATGTCAGAGTAAATGGTGAATACGAATCATAGAATTCAGCCACAGCGTAGTAGTTCACCCCACGAATCGTAACTGCTTCGATTTTATGGGGTGACCCGATTATAGATGGGATAACCCATAGAGTGGCTAGCCACTCGTCGCCCTCTGGGGATCTTCAATGGGAGGTGTGGATCCAAGAAAAATGGGGAGATTTTGCCGACCCAAGAGCGGGATTCAGCTACTGAAAATTATAGTAGCTGCTTAGAAACCACGGTTGTATATATATATATATATCATTACTACTATTATGTTTATTATTGTTATTATTATTATTAATTATTGTTATTATTATATACATATATATGGTCTTTACATGGGATAAGCCCATGAATGAGGGCAAAGTTCTCAGAAACACACGATGAATCACAGGAAGGGGAAAGTCTTGGGCCACCCCCAAGGGCACAGTTGGCCAGTTTTCTGGGCGAAAATTGAACGTCTCAGCAGCGGCTCTAAAAAAATCCTTGATTGGTTCGAACCAACAAAAATTGGATTACAATGGAACTATCCATCATTACAATTGCTTTACTGTACTATCCATTACAATGGAACTATCTTGGGATTTTGCATTTTCGGGACTCGGGACTCAAAAAAACAGATCCCATCATCCGAGGGTCCATGGTTGGCCTGGATGAAAACATCCGCCAACACGTTGCTTTCGAATAAGACCAGCAAATTCATTTGAAGACCTGGCAGGGCTGCCAGGCTCGGCGGAAAATGATGTGCATCATTTCACATCAAATAAACCTAGGCCTACCGGTGCCCCACAGGAGCAACCGGTGACGTCCCAAACAACTCAGGGTTAACAACTGGGTTTTTTTGCTTGCATAGTCGGGTTTGTAACCCCAACACACCAGGAGAGTGGTGGAGTAAACTATCACATCGCCAATTCTGCCCCCCCCACCGCCATGACTATACAAGATTGTGCCCCTTGCAGTTATAAGTTGGTTTGCCAATCGAATTATATAACTATAGATGTCTACCATAAACAGTATAGTTAACCTACTTTTTAACCACCTTAGCTAATTACGTAACTATGGGGCACCATCACTATACCAATGGTGTACACATTTCGGCCGACCTTCGGATGAATTGGCCATGGCGACCGATATGATTTTCCGCACCCCGCGGTAATTACCCCCTGTTCGATGAGTTTGGCCTGCTACCACGGCGATGCTGGAGCCAAAACAGCCATGGAGCTGGAAAAATCCATGGTATCCCCAGACACGGCCGCAAATCTCGAATTCTTGTTGCTGAAGATCCCACTTTTCATGGGGTTTATAGCCATAAATACCCATTGACAGCCATTGATATATATATATATATATATATTGATATTGATATACCCATTAATTCACTTACTTCCATGGGTTTATATCCATTGATATAGCCATTTCTTTAAAGTCCCCACATCATTCTCGGTGCACATGTTCCAGCCATCCCATAATTTGATGGCAATTGTGACCCATATTGATCTGGTTGGTGGTATACCTACCCCTCTGAAAAATATTAGCTAGTTGGGGGTATTATTCCCAATAGATGGAAAAACACAAAATGTTCCAAACCACCAACCAGTTATGCTTAACTGGTTTTAGAATCTGAATTAAATCCATACCCACTGGAGTAATCACTTAAAGTTATGGCTCAGAAAAATCCCTTAGAAAAACCAACTTCGATGACCCCAAAAAAGTGTGTTTAAGAGACATCTCCACTATTTTATGATTAGCGACTATTGGGAATTTGTAGTGGGTAATTGTTTATGGACATAAATTTAGATCATTTTAATCCATGAATAGCCATGGTTTTCATGGGATTTGTAATGCGATTGACCATGCAAAAAAAAAAACACTTGCAAATGGTGATATTAAAAAAAAAAAAAAACATTACCAGTGTGATTGTGAATTCCGTGACCATTTATATAAGTATCATGTATCCAATATAAATCTGGTCAAAAAAAAACATTATCATGAATCATTGGTATTGTTCTAATAATATGTGAAAACATAATTTATATGAATATGGGATCTTCATCATTGCTACAATTATACTTTTATTAGCATTACGCACCATATAATGGAATTCACACCATGGAATTCACCATTTATAATCTAAGTGGAAAAAAAACAAAACAAAAAATCACACACACATTTAAACAAACAAACAAATTTGAAAAATGCCATGCCATGACAGTTCTCCACTTAGTTCACTTCACTGGTCCCAGGGTGTTTTTCAAGGTGTCCCAAATCATCACCGCCGCCGCCTTGACACCGAGCTTCTCCGCCCATTCGGCGGTGGCCTCAGAACTGACCCAACTGACATAAGGGAATAGCCTCTGGTAAATAGAGGGAATCATATCACTGTATATATGTATATATATGGAATCACATAGGATGGGTTGATGATATTTTATTATGGGGAAACTTATTCACCATGATGTTTGGGGTTTATTTGCCAGTTATCAGATACAAATTCACCCTCTGAATCACATAGGAAAAAATGGTAACTTAATGGTGAATCATGGCGAATCATTGGTAATGGATTGGGAAATTAGCCTCTGGTTTAAACGTTTGCGACATTGAAGCCATGGCCATTGAAAGTTCGTGGAGAAAAACACCCATGAAAGCCATGGTGATGTTCCAGTTCGTTAGCCAACTGTACTAGTTGATATATCTATAGTTGGGGTTAAAAGTTAATTTACAAGTGAAAATTATAAGTTGGAGAATCACCCAACTTACAATGGATAAGTGTATGTCAATGGATATATATATATATAACCAAAGTTTATATTTATCCATGGTTATATGTATCCAATGACCAATATTTATTTACAACGTATATCAATATCACCAAAGTACGCCATGGAAAAGTGTATGTCAATGGATATACCAATTTGAGAAGGTCATTTTAGGTCTATAAAAGACGTTTTTTGAATCACCAAAAGTTTACCGGGAGACCATAATTTACCCTCTGGTAAACTAACATAGCTATTGAAAATTGCCATAGAAATAGTTGATTTAACCATCAAAAAATGGTGATTTTCCATAGTTATGTTTGTTTACCAGGGTAGAGCCTATACAAACAGGTGAACGGTCAGCTCAGTGATTGATGTCCCCCTGCCGTTGATATCTCAAAGGCTCTTCATCCTAGTGGGTTGGCTGTTTACCACCTTCAATGTGGGTTGAAAGCTGTACAAATATAATGTACAATTGTGTCTACAGTCCAGTAACGCTCATGAATATTGCCTGTGTCGCTATTTTGACCGGGAAATATATATATATATACATATACATATACATATACATATATATATATATATATATATTGTCATGCCCAAAAAGCGAGAAAAGTAAATCGTCGCTATTTCAATGGGATTTTACAATGTTTTATCTTTTTGGGGATTAGTGTATATTATATATATATACACATCTTCACATTTGCCAGTGGTTTGCTGTGGGACCAATAATCGATGTTTGACGCGGCCCGGCCCCTCGGTAAAGACTCCTGATTTAAAAGTCAGCGGCTTGAGGGCTTGCAACAGGTTCACCAACACATTCAATACACCTCCGAAATCTAACATGGAACCCTTGTGTATGGCTATTAAATGTAAAAAATGTATAAGTATACATATATACTATATATATATATAAAATCTTTTGACCCAAAATTCCAGGAATTTGAGATCCACCGAGGTTTGTGTGAAAATATAGCACCCTAAATGCGATAGTCGAGCGATTTTACGACATGGTTTTATGGCTTTCTTTGAGTGATCCCCACCAACAGACATTCTACCTTACATATCCTGGCATACCCTCTGGTTATTTAACATAGCAATGGAAAATCCCCATTTTTAATAGGTAAACCATCTATAAATGGGCCATGTTCCATGGCTATGTTAAATAACCAGAGGGTATATTCTGAGATTCTATCTGACATTCTATCTGGCATCCTTTCTGGTATTCTATCTGACATCAATTGTCACATTCATCTATTTGTGAGATGTCTATCTAGGATTTTATCTGACATTTTTTCTGGAAGATGTTCTGGCATTCTATCTGACATATATTCTGAAATTCTATCTGACAGTCTATCTGGCATAACATATAGCTATAGAAAATGACCAATTTATACAGGATTCCCTCATTAAAAATATGGTGAATGTCAATAGGGATAGTTATAGTAATGGTGTTTTAACTACTAATAATAGATTCAATCCTATATTAATCTTGTAGAATTATATAATGTAAGTTGTGTTGTATTACGATCTTACCATGGGATTATATAACTTATGTGATTAATGATAGTTTAATCTTAATGGGGAGTTAACAATATCTTGTAAATACAGGAGTTGTATCCATCCTACCGAGTCCTACCACCTCACAATTTCAGCCACCATCTGCACAGCTCCGTGATAGGCTTCGGCTCTGACATTCTATCTGACATACATTCTGACATTTCTGATTTATCAGTCTATTTGTGAGATGTCTATCTAGGATTTTATCTGACATTTTTTCTGGAAGATGCTCTGGCATTCTATTCTGGCATCTATTCTGACATTCTATCTGGCATATTTTCGGGTCCGTGCGTGCCCAGCTTCCGAAGCTCGCGATAGGGTTCGGGTCGATGCGTGCCCAGACTGAGATGGATCTCGCGATGAGCTTCTGGCACTTGCTGTGAGCTCCGGATCCATTGGTCACGACGAGCTGGCAGGAGGAGAGGAGGAGAGGAGGAGAGGAGGACGAGGAGGAGGAGGAGAGGAAGTAAAAAGGAAGAGGAGTTGCACCTAAAATCGACCCTCACCAGGCAGGGGAAAAAGTGGATCCTCCAAGATTTTAAAAAAAAGTGGATCAAAACAATGGTGTATATATACCCTCTGGTAAACTAATATACCCTCTGGTAAACTAACAGTTAGCTATTGAAAATGGCCATTTATAGTGGATTTATCCATTAAAAATGGTGAAGTTCCATATTTATGTGGCTGTTTACCAGAGGGTACTCCATCTATTTTAAACACGTCAAAGAAAGTCAGATCCACCACTTCAATGCGCACCCCGCGCCAGGCCTGGATCATGGCCATGCCAAACTGTACCACCTTGAAAGCATGGATTTCATCGAGCAAAAATGAGCGGTTTTTTCGATAGGATTCGATGGGAAGATCATGGCAATTTACCGGGATTGATGGTTTTTTTTTACCGGGATGATGGTCAATAACCCAATGATCATATCCCATTTTTCCGGTTTTTGTATCATCATTCTATTTTGGTTATGGGATTGACATAGCCATTAAGGATGACCCTTGATGTGAATGAAAATATCAATTGGGTCAAGTTGCAGGGGTAAACCAATATGGCAGTTCTGGGTCTTCCAGCCAATATTGAGATATTTACCAATATGGCATGTTCATATATTGGAAATAGTTAATCAATATTTAATAGTCAATCATCCAATATTGGAAATCCAAACATAATGGAGATCTATCCTCCAGTAAACAGACATGACGAACTGGAAAATCATCATGTTTCATTGGTATATTAACATATAATAACTATAAATGACCATGTTCAATAGCTATGTAACAAATTACCAGAGGCTAAATCCCGATTGATGACCATCTCCCAATCTAAACCTCGATGTGAATTGATGACTCGATGATGAAATTCTAGAAATATTCATGCTCATATTATGAAACATGTCCAACTGTATTATGTGTATAAATATATATATATAAACTGTCGGACCTGGCTGGATTTTCGGCTATCGCTGGATCTTTAAAAAACATGCTTATCCCCTTGTCCCATGATATATCCCATTTGGCTATTAATATGACATCCCATGAATTACTGGCTGGTGGTTTTAACAATCTTGAAAAATATGAAAGTCAATGGGAAGGATGACATCCCATATCTGATGGAAAATTAAAAATGTTCCAAACCACCAACCAGATTAGTTATATCATGTGATATGTCATGATCCATTGAAAAACTTTCTGCTGCTTTCCCATGGATTCCATGGAAAATCCATATATTCAATGGGAATTTCAAGATCCTAAAATGGAGCTACGTAAACGTACCATATTTTTGGCCATACGAATTCTGGGGATATCCCCTAAAAAATAGGCCTAATATATATAGGCCCAACATATGTGGAATCGGTACCTCCAATCAATCGGTTTCTGCGTCATGGCTATTGATATATGATCATCCCATGATTCACGGTGTGCGGGCCGAACGTTCCGCCTGGATCGGAGAATTCTCGCTGGTCAGCGTGTGTTCCGCCATCCCTGGCGATTCGTTCGCAAAATGGGCATCTCTTATCATTTGGTCAAAAATTAGAGCAAAACCCTGGTTTTTTCAGGTTCATTTGGTGAACCGTTTTTTAGTTTTTTAGGTCGAGTTGATGTGAAAACTTGGGATCTTGGGATTTACCCGAATAATTCTTGGGCTTCGTATCGTACAACTATCGTACAACTAAGTCATTCAAAAAAATCATCCCATTATGAATCTATTCACAAATGAAACTGAAATTGGTCATATACTATTGTTAGTCATCCTAATCGTACTATCATTTAAAACTATCACATGTATATATACATATATATGTAAGTAATTATATATATATGTATATGTAAATATGTAAAAATATGTAAAAAAAATGTAAAAAAATGTGAAAAAATATGTAATGTCTTATCATTCGTCATTTATCGGTACAGTACTCTTTAAAGCGACGAGTTTTTTCCAAACGCCCATGGGATGGCCGCCCACCTGCGATGTAGGCGTCACCAACGGTCTCCACCTGACCAGGTGGTGTGGCTTTTTATATCATGCTGAACTAGAGAGAATATGGAACTCTTATAATATATATATATATGTATATATGTAGATTGAGAATATGTATATACAATATATAATATATATATATTGAAATAGTGTTGATAAGTCCTAATATTCTGTCGGACGATAGTCATACATAGATCAATAAGCTTGAAGAAAAAAGTGGTTGATCCCTCCGATCACCTCCCAGGGAGACCATTACTACATGGAGCCCATCCAGTGATGATCATGGCGTATTGAAAGCCATGTTGGAGATCATCCATGACTTGGTTAACGGGATCTCACTGGCTCATGATAATCCCCAAGAACCAATCATCAACCAGCTGGGCTTTCTGAAACAGCCCAGTTGGTTTTTCATTTAATTAACCATGCTTGGCCATATGAACCCCATAATACATATATACAGTATAATATATATATATATATGAGCCCCATTCAACCTCATACATTCCCATATTTGGTTGGTTAAATCCCTGTCCCCGGCCCAGCCCCCGGTAGCACTGCGCGGCGCGATTCGTACTCTCCGTGCCTTGTAGATCTGGAACTCGTCCGTCAAACGGTCGAACCTGTTTTCAAACGGCTTCCGGAAAGCCGGAAAGGCGAAGGTGGTCAGCAGGAAGTCTCTGTGTGAAATGTTGAGTTTCAAGCGACTAAAGTGGTGATTTTCGTCAACAAAAATTTGGACTTTAAGCCAGAAAAGTGTGGATTTCATTAACAAATGTTTGGAAGATTTTAACAAAGGTCCGAAGGCCAGTGATTGGTCTCGAAACTTAGGATTATATGTTTGTTGATGAAATTGGAATAATGTTGATTTTCTTGGTTATCAACAAAAATTAAGATTTGACCAAGAATTTTTTGTGGAGTTTATCAACACTTTTTTTTTTGCATAATTGTACCATCAAAAATGCCGGCGATGATTTGACGAGGGTGATTTTGCAATCAATAAATTTGTTCTATGATACACCTACAATCGAGTTGTTCGAAAATATTTCATGTTCCATTGCATATCCATCCTAAATCATCATAGCATCGTTCAAATGTCTTAGAATATTTCAGAACGCATTTTGCTCACAGAATCACAATGAAAAGTACATACACCATATATCCAAGAATACCATTACATAGTAAAACTACCATAATGTGTTTGGTTGAGTATGGCATTTTACATATAAATTCCCATATATTACAATATATTACCATAATGGAATTAATATAATAACATATCATAGAAATCTTAACAGATATCTTACTAGAAAAATATATGTCTAAAAAAAACTTCAATATGTTTACCATATCACAAAATGTCACAATTTGTCACAATTTATGTCACAACACAAAAATCAAATTGCCACGCCTTCCAAAGAGATCCTCCACGAAGGCCACCACCTGCTCTGGGCTCCTGGTGAGTGAAACGCCCTGGGGATGGCGGGTTTTTCTTACGGGGGGATCCAGCCATGGCAGTGGAGAAATCCTTCATTTATAGCAATTGAATCCAGTTACTATGAATTTTCTTTGTGAGATCGTAAGTGGTCAGGCAAAAAGGAGAGTATTTTCCGGAAAAAGGTGTATTTTATGGAACTTACTGATCCAAATGGCTAGAGGGTACCATACCAAAAAGACAACAGGCCCTTTTTTGGAAGCAATACATGGAGCTTATTCAGTTGGGCAAAGTCATGAAAGATTTCTGTTTTCACAAAGTCCTCGAATCTTACTGGTGCGTTTTACGTTTAGGGGGATGGGTTGCTGGGGGTTGCTGGGATGATTGATAGTTCTGGATCATTCCCTCATTCCCTGCGTCTATCCAGGCAAAATCCAGTGAAGATGCGGTGCAACGAGCAAAAACTCGGAGGTTTCCGGATAAAAATCGAGGATTTCATGCGATTTCCTTAGCAATCATATCTATCATGAATATCCCCATTTCTTAATCCCATAATATCCATCATACATTAGTAATCCAACTATATATTCCCATTGTAATCCCACTATTATTATTATCCCATTATGAATATTCCATTATATATTCCATATCCCCATTAGCAATCCCCATATAATGGTCCTTTAATATCCATTAATATCCATTACTGTAATATCCCCATTAGCAATCCCAAATATATTAGATTATAGATATTAATCAAATACACTACATTATTGATGGATTCCCAAATATAATATGTTATGAATTGCCAAATATATCCGGCGATCCCCATTCATAATATCCCATCATATATCCCATTGTATATTCCATATATCCAGTGGTACTCCCTATATATCCCATCAATTGGATTATGATCATATAAAATCACTATATATATATATACCATATATCTATTATACATAATTACTATGTGCATCCATCATTGATCATATCCCCATTAGTAATCCCATTATTATTATCCCATTATTAATATCCCATTATATATCCCATATATCCATTAAGTTATGTATATTCATTATAATATATATATATGTATATATATACTGTATATCATATCTATCACTAACCGTTATATCATATATATATCCCATATATCCATAGATGATATCCCATAATTACTATATATTATCCCTATATCCCATTATTAATATTCCACTGTATATTCCATTATATATCCCATATATCCGTTATACATAATTACTATATATCATTAATAATAATCCATGAATATCCCACATATCATAACGGTCCATGAATATATAGATTATCGTCATATCCATCATATTATATTACATTAAATCATTATAATATTAAATCCAGTATAGTCATTATAATCATTATATATATCCACTAGTAATCCCCATAATCTATATATATATAGTAATCCCCATAATCTGTGTATATATGTATATTCTATATCCCCATTAGTATATAATCATGATTCTTCATAATATCATATCATATCATCCTTATATAATGGAATATTCATATATCCATTAGTAATCCCCATCAATATCCATTAATATCCCCATCAATCATCCCTATATATATATATATTATGGTTAAAAAAAGTCGAATAAGTAGAGTTTCCATCCACTGGTGGCCAAAAGAGCTGCTTAAATATATCAATATCTCATATCTCATATCATATCTCACATAATCCCATACATCAGTAATCCCACTATATATTCCCATTATTAAACCACTATATCCCAACCGCCCTCTCTCTTGTCGGACGCCAGCTGCGTGAAGCCGCACAAATCCGACTGGGCGATGGTCGCGTGGTCGTAGGAATGGCTGCGTTGTAGCCCGGGGCCTGGGCAAATCCCAAAAACTTGGGGAAAAACCTAGGGAAATCCACAGTTCATGGTGAAAATTGAGGAAAAATGTGGGAAAATCCGGAGTTGAATGGTGGAAAAGATCGGAAATCTGTTGTAAAATAGGGGAAAAACATTGAAAACATGTGAGTAGATTTGGAAAATCAAGGAAACTGTGTAGCAAAAGATGGGAAAATTTGCGGAAACAAGATGGAGAAATGTCTTCAACCCATCTGGGCAAACTTTTTTCTAATTCATAAATCTGAAATGTAGGCAAATATGAACACAAAATACCTGACATATAAGATTTTTACTCAAGGGATTGTTCCCCATACATATATATATACACATTCATTTTCAGTTTGATCACCATTTATATATACAGTATATATATATATACTCTATATATCTCTGCACATACATATTATCACATAGTAATCTTCGAAAAACAGAGATGATGCCACCATTATGAACTTGGATTTGCTTAAGGAAGCCCTTGAAAAGCGTCGTAGTCGACTCAGCAAATCCAGGATCACTGCTTACCACTAGGAACCACCATGAACCACCAGTAACCACTAGTTGATTACCACCGTTACCACTAGTTGATTACCATTACCTAGTTGATTCTCAGGGTAACTACAAAAAAAATAAACCTGGGCCAGTTCATCAACTACTGGTACTGGTGGTTAATTACTGGTGATTATCAACTACTGGTTATATACTGGTAGTACAATCAAAAATAAACCAGTAGTTGATTGCCCTCTGGTAAACATACCAAAAGCGAACTGGAAAATCACCATCCTTAAGTTCGGTAAGTCAACGAACTAAATGGGCCATGTTCCATGTCGCAAAGTGTAACAAATTACCAGAGTGTACCCATCAAAAATCCATCATTATCATTATCATTAGTACTACCATCATTAGTACCCATATCACCATCATTAGTACGCCCAAAAAAAAAACATCATTAGTATATTATACTAATGATGGTTAGTCCTCATTGTTTCTTTTTGTATATATCGTTGGTACTAAACCATATACTGGAAACGTCCTTCCTGGCCGATTTTTTTCTGGTTAGTACTGTAAACCTGGGCCAGAAATCGTGTCTTCCACAAAGGCGCTGAGTTTGATCTCCTCCAAGACTTTCTTGGGCATCAAATTGCTCAAGACCTCACGAGAGAACGCACACTACGCACGGGTTATGCAGGGCTGGTGACCACAACACCGCAGAAGAACAGATGGTTTTAAGCAACGATAGGGATTTAATAGGATCGAACGATATTTAATGGGATATAAAATGATATATGCATATCTACAATGGAATTATAACTTGCATGCAACACACACATGGTGTTCAACAACAAACATAGGGATACAATGGTGAGTAATGGGATAGCTGGAATAAGATTGGAACTTCCACCATGTATCTGGATCATGTTGCACGGAAACCATACTTCTATACCTACGGAAGCCCAGAATCCGTTCGATGGCCCGAGATTCTCACGCTGTTCTGTCAAAAATGACAACTTGTCCATGTGGATTTGTCTGAAAATAAGATACCCCCTGGATAATTATCATATATGGAGGTTTCCTACAATGAGGCCAAGTCACCATGGCTTTCAGTGCTAAAATGGTCTAATTTTGGATGATTTGGGGGTACCCCATAACTTAGGAAACTTCCATCTGACGTGATCATCCAATTATCATGTTAATGCATATATATATATGATATGATATGTATAATATAATATAATACAATATAATACAATGCAATACAATGTAATATAATAAAAGATAATATAATATAGTATAGTACAACATAATATAATATAATATAATATTAATATAATATAATATCATATAATATAATGTAATATAATACAACATAATATAATATAATATAATACAATACAATATAATATAATAAAACATGAAATATATTCACCCTTGTGAATCATTTTAAATCATTTTAGTAACCATTATTAACCATCATGATTGCTTATGTTAACCACTATTAACCAGTTTATTGCCCATTATTAAACCATTTGAGTAACCATTACTAATCATTATTAACCATGGATTAACTAAATGGTTGACTAACCATTAAAAATCATTCCTATATGTAACCACTTTCACCATAAATCATTAACTGGTTGGTGGTTGACCTACCCCTCTGAAAAATATGACTTCGTCAGTTGGGATAATTAAAAATTCCCAACTGAATGGAAAGTCATAAAATTCATATTCACCATCAACCAGTTAACCATGATTCCCCAATCCATATGGAGGAACATACGCTTGGGACCCCCATCCCCGACACGCCAAGGGACTGTCTCTACTCGATCCTGACCGGACATTTTGGGGACCTTGGGACCTGAAGAACCTGTCCTTGATGGGGAAAACATGGGGAACTGGTTGCTAACTGGTGAATAACTCATTGGTGGTTGACCTACCCCTCTGAAAAATGATGGAGTGAAAGTCAGATTGGATCATCATCATCATCCCAACTCTTGGGGAAAAAAAAAATCAAGTTCCAAACCACCAACCAGATAACACAATTAACAATGGTGATGCTTGAGAATGGTGAATCGTTGATAGTCATGGATTCGTAATGGGATATTTTATGGGTGTACTTGGGGGTGGCCAGAGGTTACCTTTATGGCTACTATGATGAATTAAACCCCCAAAAAAAACCGGCTTCTGGACTCTGCGGTTTCTCAAACACGAACAGAACACACCACTGGAAGGGAAAAGAAGCTCTTTAGATATCTTTCTTTACTCTATGTTTCTTCAAAAAATGAGGAACTCCACTATTTCCCACTCCATCCTCAGTGCATCCCCATCATATTCCCTTCGTATTCACTATATTTCATCATATTTGGAGACTTCCCAAAATGGGAGTACTCCCAAATCATCCATTTGTAGATGGATTATCCATGAAATCAACAATCCAGCGATAAAGGGGTACCATGACTTTGGAAACCACCACAAAAAAAATGCTTCATCTGATCCAAAAAACTGATATTACGTCCATTTTATCCCTATCATTATCTATCAATCCCCATTGTCAATATATCCATATTGTATCATTATTGATATATTGATAATAGGGATATTGATAATAGGGTTTATCAAAATTGATCTATTGTCAATCCCTATCAAAAGGGGATTTTGACGGCTATTATCAATATCGCCTATGTTTTTATCATGTTTGGAGATTTCCTAAAATGGGGGTACCCCCCCGTCATCCTCCATTTATAGATGGGAGTTTCCATGAAATCAATCATTATAAATCATGATATCAACCCATATCAACACCCAAATCCTGATCATTATCATTATCAACCCATATGATTCTGGTTGTATACCCTCTGGTAAACTAACATAACTATGGAAAATCACCATGTTCAATGGAAAAATCCACTATAAATGGCCATGTTCAATAGCAAACTGTTAGTTTACCAGAGGGTATGTGTATTTTTACAGACGTCATCATGATTCCACCCACATCAAGCCATCGCCGTCACCGCCGTCACCGCCGCGCAGCAGGTCCTGTGTCTCCTCTACGCGCTGCTTGGTCTTGAAGCGCGCGCGCGAAGTCTGTTCCAAGACGTGCGCCAACAAGCAGCTGATCACCTGACACGACATATGGAACCGATGCTTCAAAAAAACAGGATACAAATTGTACACATGTCGCTATGTATATATATATATATTATATACATACATGTGCAGTAAATTGCATTGCTTGTTCCACAATCCCCATGAAAATCAGGGAGTTTTTTTTCCGAACTGGTTTTTTCGATGCCAGTGGTGGCCTGGTTCAAGACAAACTAGCCATCCAAGGTTGTGGATGAAATTGGGGATATGTACCCGGCCTGGTAATGACTAACAGTTTGCTATTGAAAATGGTGATTTATAGTGGATTTACCCATTGAAAATGGTGATTTTCCATAGTTATGTGGCTGTTTACCAGAAGGTATTGTCTTGTGCCAAAAATGAATGGATTGAATGGGGAATCCTTATCTCAGATGCCACTAAAAAACAAGGTTCCAGGATGGATTTGGAATGGATGATGTGGAAAACACCAGGAGGAGGTGGAACGACAATCCTGGAGGATTTCCTAAGAATCTAAAAAAACTTCGTGGTCAATTCCTGATTTAAGGCAACAAGATTGATTTCACTTATTTCACTCAAAGTTTTTGCATCTGTTGCAACCTGTTAGTATGTCGACGTGGAAATCTCCCATAGATCTGGGAAACCATGGGAAACCATGGGAAACCCTGGGAAACCCAAAACCGAGAACAGACTTGGTCAAAAAATGCCATGGTTTCGTCCCATAGATCGACCAAATTCATGACCTTTGAGGAACCCATCTTCGATTCGTTGGGTTCCTTCGACTCGCTGAAACCGAAATGTGATCATTCGACAAAGGGCTGCGTCCATTTTTGAGGTACCGGCCCAAGAGATTGGGACAAAGCCCTATAAATATGTATAAAGATTCAGATGCTTGGTGGTTGTATGTGACTGATATCACTGATATCCCAGTCACATACCGCCCAATAAGGAAGCATTGAAAATACGTGGTTTTATACCAACGTTTGCAACGTTGGTTATGCTCATGATGTCCTAATCAAGTCGGTCATATACCAACAAAAATCCCATTTCGAAAACATGACTTGACTAATCATCATGGGATATATTGGGATATTAAATCATTTCATGGGACCACTAAAAGAAAATGGGATATATTGGGATGATTTAATGATTTAATGAAATCCCTATCACTAAATCATGAAAGATCCCCTGTATTCCCATACCATCCCCCAAAATGACGTGCGTCCTCGTCCCCATTCCTAGTCCATTCCATTCCTAGTCACTACAGTGCACAGGAACATCACGCGACCTCGATTCCAGAGCCCGGATGCCCAGGATGGAAATCTGTGGATACATCCAGATGTACCCTCTGGTAATGACTAACATAGCTATTGAAAATCACCATTTTTAATGGGAAAATCCACTATTTCTATGGCCATTTTCAATAGCTACGTTAAATTACCAGAGGGTATTTAATATATTGGACATCAGATTAAATATCCCACTAAGTATCAACTACTATCATTGATTCACCATTATTCACCACTATGTCCCTATTAATCCCATTAAATCACTGGTTGGTGGTATACCTACCCCTCTGAAAAATATGAAAGTCAGCTGGAATGATTATTCCCATATATTATGGAAAAATAAAAGCCATGTTCCAAACCACCAACCAGTTTAATATTGGATAATATGTAAATATGTAAACTAAGATGATGATTCATTGTTTTTATATCAGATCCTGGAAATTTAACATGGGTTGATGGGTGGTCAAATACTTTAAGCGATCAATATCCATGTATACGTGCTGATTTAGATGCTGGTTTTTGAGAGATTGAAGGGAAAACTACACTCTTTGTTCAAGGCTTTAGTTCCTTTTTGGTAGATATGGACTACCATCTGGTTATGACTAACATAGCCATGGAAAATGGCCCATTTATAGATGATTTTCCCATTAAAACCTCCATTTATAAGGGATTTTCTATGGCTATGTTAAATAATCAGATGGTATATAGCTTTGAGATTTACAAAATGGGGGTCATATTCACTGGGCCTTCTCACAGAGGGATGCTTTTTCACATCGAAATCTGCTTCAAGTTCGATCTTCCAGGGGGACCTACCAGTCACACTGGGTACCCGTTGGGGAGCTCGTCCAGGGCTTCGTCAAAAAAGAGACGTGAAGGTATGACAAGTGAGAAAAAAAAACAATTGAAACATCTCTAACATAATTATAAAGGGTTTTTTCCAAACCAGCGACCTTTGATTACCGGAGATAGTATATCCCATATTCATCCTGTTATCCTATTGATATTCCATAGATTCCATAGATATATCATGACATGTGTAACTCATTGAGACCAGAAGGGGAGATGGAAGCCATTTCTAGTCACTCCCTTGGGAATTAAAGCCAACTTCACAGATTGTAATCGCAGGACTACACCGTGTCATTCGTTGACTGTTTGTTGTTGTAATTCAAATGACCAGCTTGAAATTCAAATGAAGCATCTCAATTTCTACAGAAAAACAGCCTCTGTTTATACCCCAAGCTGCTAGTCAACCCCCACCCTGATTTATCCAGGAGACCGATGTCGGAGATGTACAAGCTGGTTCGATTGCGGATGTACATGAACACCACGCCCAAGGGAATGTAGACCAAGGATTGGTAGAAGAGCGTGGGATGGGTATTGGTTACCTGAGCGCACACACTGGTCAGTCTATACCCTCCAGTGAACCAAGATAGCTATCAAAAGTCACAGTCTAGAGTCTAAATAGATAAATATAGGTAAATAAATAGTAAATAGGCAATTTTCCACAGCTATGTTAGATTACCAGAGGGTATGTGGTTCCTTTTTTGCAGGCATGAATTCCCACCTTTTGCAAAAGACTAGAGGTTCCATATGATATGGCTCTCCTAAAAACGTCATCCCTATGGAAGGAAAATATCATGTTCCCAACAACACCCTTTACCGCAAAAAAATGCTGTAAATCGGGGCTGAAATCCACGCCGTGAGGCGATAAAGTAGGCCAAGACGAAGATCAAGGACTGCCTCAGCGAGACACCAGGGCGATCATTGACTGAAGAAATCCTATGAAATCCTATGAAATCCTAAGAAGTTGGAGCAACTCTGGTTGGATATTGCACGCCAACCAGGCTGGAAAAAACCTTTAATAAGGCTGGCCGCTGGATCCCTACCTCGATTTCTCCTGCTGATTAAAGTATGCAGAAAAGCTGCTGCTGGTTCACATAGTCCAAGAAATGCATCGTCACGTACCTCGAGACATGCAGAATTGCATGGATCAAAAATATTTAACCTGTCTGCCAACCCCAAAAATTGGAAAGATTAACATCCCAAGATATCAAATCAAATTGATTCTTCTCATTTATATACATATGTATATATATATATTATATTGTATATGTATATATGGGATTAGAAAACCCCCTAAAATGACTCAAACTCTGGATGGACAATCATCCATCTCAGCCCATGTTTAAAAACCGGTGCCCTTGACACAACACTCGATTGCTACCGCCAGATTGTTGAACCTATGGCGATTCATGGGGATTATACATACATATATATATACCCCCTGGTAATTTGTTACATAGCTATTGAAAATGATCATTTATAGATGATTTACCTATTATAAATGGTGATTTTCCATAGCTATGTTAGTTTACCAGAGGGTATATATATACATGTATACACATCATAATATGTGCATTACATACTCTGCACAGATATATTTTCCCTGGAAATAGATTGAGTTGAATCCTTTTTTTGGATCAGCCGATGGCAGCGATGGTCTTCAGACATAAGTTTTGGCCAAAGATTGTGTTATCCCATTCTCTGGTTGAAAAACCGAAGGTTTTTTAGAATGAAAATGGTCAGATCATTTTCGATGGTCAGACTTTAGCTCCGTTGAAAATTATCTAACCCTAAGAGCAATGAAACGTGGCGCATGACGTTAAAACCGACCCCCACAGTGCATTAGTCTTCAAGTTAGATAAGTTGAAAACCTGGTTTTTAGCCTCTGCAATTCTAGGGAGATACCTTTCGCCACCATTTTTCCCCACCAAAAAATCGGCAAGTGTTCGGTTTTGGTCGGAAACATCCCCCATAAATGCCTATGTCTATATACATGTATGTGTGCATGTAAACATATATATATATTATGATTAGATACATATATATATATATAATTGTATATTCTCATATTATATAATTGGAATTTATTATATATGTATATACCATCTGGTTATTTAACATAGCCATGGAAAATCAGCATTTATGATAGGTAAACCATCTATAAATCATCTATTTATGTATCTGATTATATTCCTTTCGACACGCGCAGCTATTCCTTCGGGGCACGAGCGATGGAGCTGCGGATAGATCAGGGCGTCGTAGGAGACGAACATCACGGTGGCCACGATCAGCGTGGAGGCCACCAAACCCCACTGGACCTGGCGCGCTGAAAACCAGGCGCCACCGTGGTGATTTAATGGTGATTTAATGGTGATTGTAATGGATTAATAATGGTTAATGGTTATAATGGTTTATAATGGTTTTGACACTCTATAATCTATATATATATGGTTTATAATGGTTAACAATGGTTAATGGTGGTTAATATATGGTTAACATATGGTTAATATATGGTTAATATGTGGTTATACCAGGTTTGTGGTTAATAATGTTGGTGAATCACCATTAATGGTGCAGAAATGGTTAATGAATGGGGATTTAACCAACTATAATGGTTACAGTAATAATATTGGTTAATCCCCATTCTATAGTTGATATAGGATTAAGAATGGTTAATATTGGTTCATAATGGTTCATAATGTTGAATCATTGATAATAGATACTGAATGGACTATCCAAACCCCACTGGACCTAGTGCTGACCCTCTGATCAACATGCAAAAAGGAAGCGAACTGGAAAATCACCATCTTTAATGGGGTAAATCAAGGAAATAAATGGATCATATTGGCATACCCCCTGGTATAATATATCTATTGATGAGCAGTGTTCAAAGCCCCTGTTGATGATTAGTTCGGGGATTATACTACTCAATATATTGGGGATTCCGTTTGATAGGAGTATCCTGAAAACCAACATATATCTATTGATGACTCCGGTCTATGAATACATATATATATAACAAAGACGTGTATAATAGTGTGTGATGTTTATAGCCTCTGGTAATGACGATTACACTTTGCTCTTGAAGCTATGGTCCGTAGAAATCGCTGATGGAACCCAGAGTTATGCGTGCCCCGCTTCCCGGTTCAAAAGAATGCCAGAAATCCGGGTTCCCAGGTTTTAACATCGTCCCCTAAGTTGCCATGTTCATATACCATCTGGTTATGACTAACATAGCCAACTGGAAAATCCCAACCATAAATGGAGGTTTATAGCTGGGAAAATCATCCATAAATGGGCCATGTTCCATGGCTATGTTAAATAACCAGAGGGTATCTTCCCCTTCTTGCGCCCCTTAACTTTGACCCATACCCCAACCTAACCCTCAGAATCCCTCAGAATGAAAATTCTTCGGAAACCCAAAATGGTCATTTTGCAGTTTGCTGTTCAGCTACACCAGGGTAGACCAAAAGAATCCAGCCGTAATCTTAAGAGAAATGGCTCTTGGGTGCCACCTTGTGCAAAGCATCCCAGAAAAACCATCGATGATTTCAGGTGGATTGTGATCCGGGATTGAGTACGGAAAAGGTTAAATAGTCTACCCTCTGGTTATTTAACACAGCCATGGAAAATCCCCACCATAAATGGAGGTTTATTGCTGGGAAATCACCATGCTATTAATAGGTAAACCATCTATAAATGGGCCATGTTCCATGGCTATGTTAAATAACCAGAGGGTAATTTCCTTGGCGATTTGGCACTGGTGTCATCATTATCTCATTGGGCACCAAAGCATGATGAAATTTTCGAAATCCCGCACTTCATTGTTTCTCATAGCCCTTCAGTAATCTTTCACACGGCAAAGCGAAAACATGCCAAAGCAGTTTTCTATGAAATCCATGTCGTTCGGTTATATCTTCCGTATACAAAATGGGAAAATCTCATGGAAAAACCAGGGGAAATCATCAACAATGGAGGCTTCCAAGGGGTTCCATCCCCCAAAAATGGATGCTGCCCACATTACCAACATTTCTTACCCACAATAAAACCTCTTACTTCACTATGAATGTGTCATCATTTCATGAATAGTGTCATTTAATGGTCACCATAGATGGAGATTTTTTATCTAACATCATGTCCATGGAGATGAGTGTGTCATTTCCATCATTAAAAAACATGGACAAATTAATGACTATTGTCATGGTCATTTAATGTTGACATTAATGTATGAATGTGTCATTTTTCATGTTGTCCAACTAAAAAAAAAGACCAGGAGATATGTTCCAACTAATTAATGTTGCTTCATTATGTCAACATGTCATTATTAAATGTGTCCATCAACACTAATATTCAACATTATGTCAACATTATGACACTATTAATGTTGACATTATAATGACACTATTAATGTATTAGTGACATGTCATTAAAGTCCATGGACATTAATGACTATTGTCATGGTCATTATGTTGACATTAATGTATTAGTGTCATTTACCCTCCAGTAAATTAACATAGACCCTGGTAGTCATCGGGGTTGGAAGAAAAATGTTTCCTCTAAAAATTGGTGATAAAATCAGGGTCGAACTGTTAATTTACCAGAGGGTAAATCTCCATTAAACCACCATTAAACCACCATTAAACCACCATTAAACCACCATCAGTGTCCATCATGGACTAAGACCAGGAGACTGTTCCCCTTCCGACCTCCTGGACTCTTTCCCGGAAGGCCTCCGTCCTGGTCGACACGGTGACGCTTTAATGGTGAAGGTGGAGGAGAAAGATGTGGGGAATATATATACATTATATATGTATATTATATATATATGTAGGATTATATAGATAATAATGAATGGTCACATGATATGGGAATGAACAATAGGATTTGGATTCGGATTAATCATGAGGAATATATAGGAATCAGATTATGGATTATGGATAATGGGATATACATCAGGTAAATCCAGTAATGAACCCAATACTGATGGCAACCCTGGCTGCCATAAACCTCTCATTTGGGGATGGATTACACCATCCATAAAAAAAAATGCTGATTTTCGGGATGGTCAATGGCATTTTTTGTTTACCACATTAGCTGATAGTTACAATCCCTTTTTCTGATAGTTATACGATCTCATGATCATGAAAAAAGGACATCTAGGTCCTCAATATTCCAGGAAATCTAGGTCTCAATAGTTATAATCCCACATCTCAATAGTTATAAATTGTTATAATCCCACAGTGGATGTTAAGGATTTTTTTTCCAGGATGTTCTGAGATTTTCCAGGATGTTATCAGATCTTACAATCCCCCTGAAAATACTGTAACATGTCTTAACCCCCCCTTTTCCAAAAATTATCCAGTGGGGATCCTGCAGATCTGACACAATCTGACACAGCATTTCTGGGCACCATTTCACATCTATGATCTTCTGATTCCACGATGATGTGTGTGTGTATATATGTGTATATATATATGTATACATGTATATATATATATATATACATCATCACATGATTCCTAAGAAAAGATCATAAGATACATCATAAGATACATCATAAGATCCGCTATGATGGCCTTTATGATCCAGACTTATTGATCTTATGATGGATCGCATTATATCAATCATGATGATCATCATATTATTGATCGGAAGAACCTATCATCATATATTATTATATCAAGAACTTAATATATCTTAATATTATGATCATATTTCATGATACCCTCTGGTAATTTAACATAGCTATTGAAAATGGCCATTTAATTCGTGGATTTACCCATTGATAGCATGGTGGATCTTTCCAGTTCGTTATGTAAACGTTTACCAGAGGGTAAGTCTTATGATATATTGATTGGAACAACGATTTCATCATCTATCAAGATCTAAAAAAATATCTTAATATGATGATCATGATATTCATGATAAGTTCTATGAATCTTTATGATATCTATCATATCTCATCTATTCGGAGTCGTCCGCGGATCGCATCTTCCCTGTCGGAGTCCTAGCAAAGACGGACCAGCCAAGGCCCATGGCCAAAATCACCGCGCGGCACGACAGCAAAATCACGAAGCGTTCTAAGCGGCCGGCCGTGGAGTCCCACGCGCCGTGTTGGGGGTACTGTAGGCGATACAAGATGTGAACCAAAAAAACATGGTGGGAAACCGTGTACTACGGTAACTACATGTAACTACATTTCAATATACGGACTTTTAAATATACGAACAGTTTTTTTAGAGTACCTCCGGGAAGGTTTTCCTTAGCTATTAATTCCATCAGTGATATACCAAAAATGCATCCGATGGCCGATCCTTTTGGGTTCCGAAAGCCCCGAACCCCTGAAAGTCGCTGGTTTGTTTTACATGTTATAACATGATAACCCCATAGGATACAAAAAAGAGGACTACCCGGCCTGGTAAACGTTTAGAGTTTGCAACATTGAAGCCATGGCCATAGAAATAGTTGATTTACCCATTAAAAATTGTGATTTTCCATAAATCCAACTTTGCTCACCTAGTCATTTCGAGCACCTTAGCCATACGACTAGCCAGAACAAATCACCTTGAGCTGTCGATGCTACAGCTGGCCCAATAACGTTCGTTATTTATATATATATATATATTGGATATAATGACAATAAATGAAGTATAAATGGGTATAATATGGATACATATATATATATGGTCTATATATATATATAATGCTCATGGTTAGAAAGGTTAAACCTTTGTGGGTCAATTATGTACAAGTCTTCGATTGGCTATAGAAATCCCTCAGCTGATGACGGTTGCTTGATGGTGGTTTTTCTTCATGGACTGTTTGAAGGGAAAAATTACGGGAAGCCAGTGTTTTCATCAAATATTGCTTTGAAACCAGAAAATAGATGTTCCCTTTCATGACCTGATTATGATCTAAATAAACGTATATATCATAATGGATATTATATTCAGTAGATGTTCAGTATTGTTTTTTCAATAAATATTGGTTCTTAGATTTCAGTGAAAAGTGATGGCCTTATCAATCCATGTAATATGATTAAACCAATGTCATAAACCACCCATGACTGGGAATGGTAACCATACCACCTATCAAAATGATGATGACTGGGGGATGGTTTATGGCATTGTTTTACCCACATTAACCACAGATCATATTAAAACATCATCATGAAAACCATCATTAATAATATGATATTCTTGGTTTACCAACACGAAAATCTGGTTGGTGGTTTCAACCCCTCTGAAAAATATGAAAGTCAGTTGGGAAGGACTATCCCATATATTATGAAAAAATAAAAGCCGTGTTTGAAACCACCAACCAGAAATTGATCAGATGACAGTCATTCGGATGCTGAAAAATCATGGTCTGAAAAAAAAATGCCTGGTGACCCCTGGGATGCCAAGGATCTGGTGGGATGCTTAGGCAAAAGGCCCGGATCCTTGTCCTGGAGCGTGGCTTTTTGGACGGGAAAATCCATGGGGATTTCATGCTGGGAGAATCATGGTGGATGACGAACGGGGCTGGGGTTTTCCCAAAAACGGATGACTGGGATTTCTGGTTGAAGCAGCCCATATTAGTCGGGATATCATGACTTAGTAACTGGATATCCCCAATAACTGGATATCATGACTTATAAGTCGGGATATCACATGATATAAGCCCGACTAACTATGCTTCTTCGTGAAACTGCAGCCCCTATCCCCAAACATCTCACCGGAGGTTTTTTTTCGTTCAGGGGGCTATTGAACAGTGCGGGCAAGAGATGACTTCTTCGGCTCCGGACGCCATTGAAACACCGTTCGTAAGTCGTCCTCAACTTTCCATGCTTCGGTGTGCTCCATGTGCATGACATCCATGACAGTCATAAACGCCTCGGGAGCCCAAAAAGGTGACTATCTCATGGTTTCATGCCATTTCATACCCAAAAATAACAGACACTGTCATTTTTTGATTCACAGTGAAATCGATCAAGCTCAGATAAAAATCCACACACACACATATATGAATAAATATACCTTTATATATATATTATAATACAATATAATATATATATATATACTATACTTAATATATATATATATACAGAACTTCCAAACATCGGTAAACCCCCTCTGTGTCACCATCGGTGTGTTTTATCATCCATCGGGGCACCATCAGCAGGATCTGACGATGCAAACGCAAGCGGAACTTCCGCGCGAAGCCCAGGTGGAACCACATCTGGAACTTCTCCTGTCGATGCGACGACGACGGCGATAGGATGGGACCATAGGATGGGACCCCGTCGTAGACCCCGTCGTAGCGTGAAGAAATGCGGAGATCGTGGGATGATATGAAGATTTAGGAGGAAAATCATGGTTAGTTTTGTTTAAAGTTTAAAATTGGTTTCATACTGGTTTAACAATGGTTTAATAATGGTGAATCATTGATAACAATGGAGGCAGAATGGTTCATTGAAAACAAACGGTCGAGTTCTTCAGAATATTTGAACCGTAATGAGATTTTTTACTGTCAAAATCATGTCCCAAAATGTGTCATCGGGATATAATATATATATATATATACACATACTCTATACCAGAATGAATCCGTGCTTAAATAGCACGGATACTTTGATCTATCTCAAGTATGGGTCGAAATCAGTTGAATACTCCTTGATCACAGACAAGCACTGCAACCGTTGGCGTGGAAAGAGTGTTAGCTCCATGGCGGTTCAACTCCCCCAACAAATGGGAAAAATCCCTGGGAAAATCATGGATAAAATATGGGAAAATGATGGGAGAATGGATGTTTTTATGGAGGTTTAGTTCGCTCGAAATTTATCATCTATCAATTGGGAGATTTTCCAGCACGCCATCTTTGATTACCGCAGGGTATCAAGGGATTCTAGATGGTCGTCGGAGCAACATGATCATTGCTAATCTTAGCTACCCTGAACAAAGATCGTGTTTAGCTGGTAGTATGCATCCCAATTCTGGCTCCAAAAAATGTGAAACATCAAGCTGCTCCCAGTTCCATGTGCAAGGTCCTATTACCCTCTGGCTAATTAACATAGCTATGAAAGCCATGAGTAGTTCGATGGTCATGATGATTTCCCTTTTTTAAAAAAATGATGATGTTCTACAACTACGTTAAATCACCAGAGGCTATTAGAAATAGTATTAGAAATGTACCAAATGGGATTTCTTTTTTTGGCTATTCACGTGGCTATATCTCATTCGAAATCCCTCTCTCTCCCATGAGATTTCTCACCATTTCAAAATTGGCGGTGAATCCCACAGCTCCCGCGGAAAAATGTCTTCACACGCCGAAGCAAGGCACCTCGGAGAACTTGGGTTCCTTCACTGGGTCATGACTTTTGAAGTCCACCTGGCAAAAGGAGGTCACACGGACTACGTTTCACGTGGCCAAAAAAGATCATCCAAAACTCCGGTCTCCAAAAAGTCTCAAAAATGTTGATCCATGAATCCATACTTAGCTCAAAGCACAAAAAACGAATTATCAAAACTGAAAATGATGATGTTGTGTTTGCTTTCAAAATATGGAAACAAAGGATGATCAAATATCCGAAATGGCCGTTGGGGTGATACCACTTGATTAGTGGTTTTCCAACCCGATTTTCTAAGCTGGGGTCAGCCAATCTATAAATTGGCACCTATGGATATCAGGTACTCTATCCCATGTTTCTAAGCAGGATGCACATTGTAAAAAAAGATGGGTGAAGCGACTTTCCAAGCTTTTCTTGCTGACTTTGGATTACTTTGGACCATGGTTGCTGTGTGCAATTCTCCCACTTTTGATCCTCCAAGATTCTGGCATAAAATCGCCCGTGTCGGTCTTTTCTGAAAAAATGACGTCTGCCATGTGCTTACCAGAAAGTATCATCCAGAATTGGTTTCACCCAGAATATTGGAGGGTTTTTGGAAAAAAAATGGCTTCCCCAAGTCCCCAATGATTCCTAGATATATCACCATATGATTCCTAGATATTCATGGATATTCCCCATGATTAACAATCTGTTTTTCTGACATCCAACAGGGCCATTGCTCCATGTTTCACCGAAAAAAAGGCACAAGCTGCTGCCCCCCAGTGATGTTTGTTGCTTTCTAAACCATAGCAACTAGTTCAATATACCATAAATCATAATTCATTCAGTGAATTCAACCAACTTTGCTAAATCCCATGGAAATCTCACTCAAATCTATAAATCCTATCAAAAATGTCATGAAATCCCATGGGAAATCATCATTTCTCTCGGTGTTTCACCAGCCATCGCCGTCGTCGTCGTTTCGCGTCGTCGTTTCGCCGGCCTTCTCCGAGAGCAGAAAGGGCAAGCTCTGCGGCCGCTCGCCGTCGGAGAGGCGGATGGCCTTGTTGACCTCCGCCTTCACCACCATCTCCTGGGGGACTGACTTAGCTGAAAGCCATATGGGATTTGTTTGCCAATAGAACTGGAGATATGTGTACAATATGTGTGTATATTATATATATACTTATTATATGTGTGTATGTATGTATATATATATAGTAATGTATACTGTAATGTATAATGTACCATGTGTAATGTATAATAATGTATAATGTATTATATATATATATATGTATGTATGTATCTGTTGTTGAATGGGAGTATTATAGCGGTATCATTTTATATACAATTGGGGATATGTCAACCCCTGGTCGACTTTCATAGCGAGGGCGTCCATTTTCTGGGACCTCCATCTTTGGAAGCAACCAGGTTATTCGTCGGTGGTTAGCAGCACAAAAAGTCGTAACTGGTATTATGATATACATACATATGTATATATATATACACAGATACATATATTGTATGTTATGTATATATATATATTGTATATTATATATTGTATATTTATAAATATGTATATGACTTTCTAGCCAGGGATATCCATGTCGGTAGAGAGATTCCACCAACAAGGCTTGGGTTTCGGTGCTTCTTTGAATGGCCAAGTGAAAAGGTGCCAAGCCAAAATCAAAAAAACATATCGTCCTGCTTGGAGAATCAAGAAAAACTGGATCTAAAGTTCTATATATATATATACATCTTATATACAGCAACCTTTGAATTTGAGGCGTCTCACCTGTCCTTGGGTTTGTCCGGGCTGGGCTCCTGTTGCCGTTGCCATGTTGTCGGATCTTGGATTAATGTTCAAAATTTTTGTGGCCAAAAAAACCATCCAGCTATAGTTAGATGGATATAGTGATACCCTCTGGTTATGACTAACATAGCCATGCAAAATTGGAAAATGGCCCATAGAAATAGTGGATTTTCCCAGCTAGAAACCTCCATTTATGGTTGGGATTTTCCATGGCGAACTGTTAAATAACCAGATGGTAATATATGAATGATATCCGGAATTGAATGGTGAAAACTAGACTCCGAGTTGACAGAATCAACAATTCCATGTTTTCAATAGGATATCAGATCCTCAATTGAAATGGACATGTGATATCAACCAACAAGAACCCCAAACCAGCCATCTACTCTAAACTCACGGCGAAGCCAATCATGAAACCAAAGGCCAATCCATGGTTGGAGTATCACCGTGAAGCCCGTATTTCTATCCCCATGATTGTTCATGATCGTTCCAAAAAGGAATACCATCTGGTTATTTAACATAGCCATGGAAAATCACCATTTTTAATAGGTAAACCATCTACAAATGGGCCATTTTCCATAGCTTCATATGCTGTTCATCCAAATGTGTGATAGGAAACTCATAGCTCGACAATGTTTTGTCACCATACAATTTGGGAACATACCCAAGCTATATCCCACTAATAGCCATTAGTATCCCATTCACATCCCCTATCCCATTGATGCCCATTACAAACCCCACTATCACCATTGTAGATCCCACAAATATCAGCTGGTTATATATCTGTTACCACCGAAATACCTGTTGCTGACTATAATATACGTAATTCTATATATTCCATGAATATCCAAAAAAAAACATGAAAACATATTGAAAACACATTAGTTAATGGGCCTCAGATTAGGGGAGGGGGGGAGGAACGCAGGGTTTGGTGCCCAAAATGAAATCAATTCCCATGTCCGCGGAGGTTTCCTAAGTCATGATGGCACACCAAATCATCCAAGTCAGACCATGACTCAGTCTTGAAACCGGTGACTTGGGGATCCCCCATTAACAATCCCATTGATAAGCATTAATAAATGCAACAATCATCATAATTTAAAACTTATATCTAATAAATGCTTCAAAAATATCATCATCCAAACATTCCGGGCTCAAAGCTCAAAAAAATGGCTTGCAATCCCCCATTTTTTACCAGGTAGTATAATCCCCTATGATTTCTGTGGTCAAAAGCCGTGAACCCACCTGCCGCGCTGCCGCGTCCTTGGCAGGTGCACTGCTCTTGGGGAAGTTCGTCTCATCGTAGTAGAACGAACGCCTTCACCTGAAGGGACACCAACAAAAATTCATCGCAAGGATTCAAGTCGGAGACCATACCGGTGGTGTTGAACAACAAAAATGGGTGAAAAATGGTCATATATCATGATATATCTGTGTTTCCCCATGAAATCACCATTTGTTTCACCATTCCTGGGTCTATATCTGTGAAAAATGGTGGATTGTTCATGGACAAATTATGATGGCTTTGCAACGGGAAAATCATCTATCAATGGGGATACGTAGTTGGGATTCATGGGATAACTGGAATTGGAGAATTGCTGGGAACTTAATGGTGAAAAATAGTAATTCTTCCATCTAGGAACTATCCAGTTTATAGGCTTTACTTTTTCAGGTCACAAATCACAAAACCAATTGGAATCTAAACTTTCGGATATTGAAAGCCCACCATCAAAGCAGCTATTTGTTCGGAATCGGATTTCCGTGGGGATTCCATCGGAAATCGATTGAAGACGGAATCCCAGTAAGGGTCACTTTAGTGTGAAATCGTATAAAATAAACTGGAAAAAAAGTACGAAACTAGGCCCTGAAACCAAGCCAATGGCTAGAAGATTTGCAAAACTACCCTTTGGTAAACGTTTACATAAACTACAGAAAATCACCATGTTTAATGGGTAAATCAACTATCTCTATGGCAAATTTCAGCTGCTATGGCCATGTTAAATTACCAAAGGATACTTCAACTTTCTGGCTGCCAAACCAGCCACTGGTCCACTCATCCCAGCCGTTTTCAAGTCCGTAGGAAACCCGAGTGCTGGATCCATTCATTGTGAGGTCCAATTTCAGCTAAGTAACCAAGGTTTCATCATGTAAAATCATAACAATAATTTAAAGCATCCCGAAAAAAAGTATCATAATTCGCCATCCAAAAACTGACCCAATTGGATTTAAAAACTATGCAATCAAACCAAAACATCAGAATTATAATCATGATTATAGTAATATGGAAACTATTATATATACTATTTAGTATATCATCATAATAATCCATCAAACCATCCATATACTCTAAACCAAACCATCCACAATTATGGTTAGCAGCTAAAATTAGATAAAAATTAGACCCTAATTATGATGCTACCATCACAACCAGCAACCATGGCAACCATGGAACCATGTTTGTTTATCAAGTGACATAGTGATTCATTCCCAGCAACCATGCTGTTTGGAAACAAAAATCATCTACAGTATGGTGATCATTATATAGAGGTTTCCAAATAAAATGGACGAAATCCACCTAAAAAAATGATGGTCGTTTCAATAGAAGAAAAAGGTCTGTTTTTGTTGGATGATGAGTGGTACCTCCTATTTTGAGGTTCCTGAAATTTCCATTGAGCTTCAGATGAGTTTCCACTAGAAATTGGTGATAAAATCAGGGTCGAACTGTTCATTTACTGGAGGGTATAGTGGATACACATCACCAAGTACGTTGAAAAAAAAATCACGGCTATCACGGTGTTTGAAGTCATGTCCTATCAAAGCAATTGGGTGAGCCAGCAGAAATCATCGGAGAGTTTCATTGAAACCTCCCAAGTTGAATAGCTGGTTGGTGGCTGACAAAAACCCCTCTGAAAAGTGTGAAAGTCAGTTGGGATGATAATTATTCCCAATATATGGAAAGTCATAATCCAGCCATGTTCCAAACCACCAACCATCTATGGTTTATGGTAGATATATCGAACTACTATTCCTATGGTTTATAAACCAACGTTCACATCATCAACCACCAACCGTTGATAGAAATCATAGCGCCATTTTCCTCCAGGTCAGCCCCTGGGTCGGCCCCTCAGGCATCCCCACATCCCCTTTACCCTTCATCTTCACAATGATGCCATCTGCCTGGAAAAAATCCCAAAGTTGGGACTTTCGGATGGTGAACGGACCTCAACTTTCAGGGATGTTCACGTTGCTACCATTGAATTTCAGAAGGGTTTTAAGAATTACTCCTGAAAATCCCGGGCTCCATTTGGGTGGTTCATTGGGCAAAAATTTAGAGGTCAGAAAACACGAATTTCCCGGCTATGATCTACCTGTAAACAATGGGCTGGTCAGATTACGGATTTCTGTTTTTCTTCTTTTTGGGGGTTGCTACAATACAGCAAAAGTAAAGGGCTATCCACTGAACCAAAAAGAGGATGTTGACAAAAATATTGATATTTATCACATCTGGTGGGTGGATTCAATGAGCCTGAAGACATGGTGCCACAGACCATGTCTAAACAAAAAGATATCTTCCCTCTGAAAAAAAAAAAAACTAGGAGTAATGAAAAATCCACATCACTTTCAAAATTACATCAAGTAATCTATACGATTTAGGAATTGTAAATTAAGCCGCCCATACAGCCAATGAATCGAAGCTGGATAAGGATGTCATCTCAATCACAGCTTCCAAACAGCAAGTGTCACACTCCACCAGCATTCGAAAGAGCAAAAACACTTCTAAACACGTCTAAACACCTTAAAAAAACATAAAAACATGAATGTAACTTTATCAAAGCCTACAAATATGTGTATATATGTATATACATATGTGTATATATATATGTATACATATATATATATACATTGATTACAAATATATTTCAAATATATATATACTTATATATATATACTAATATATACCATTATCTACTATTCCTTACCTTCTCAACACATCTCCCACCATCCACCGCCGCGGCCTCCTTGACCTTCAAGGAGCTGGGCAGAAGTCGATTCGTCGCTTCGCCAAAGAGCAGCTGCCCCGGGGACGCCTTTTGCATCATCCTCCGGTAGCGAAGCTGGAGCGAAAGTAAAAAGTGGAGCCAATATCTAGGAATCTAGGATATAGAGTGTGTATATTATGTCTATATATATATATTGTATACATATATATATATATATATCGTATATTACCTATATATAAGTTATATAAATTCACAGCTCATTCAATCCACCCCCAGTTCTCCAGAACTCTCAGCATTTCTAAAATCCATCTCCTGGCAGAGGTGTTGATGGTATCCCCGAAGAGACGAAAGCGCGGCAACTTCTGTCCGATGACGCCCGCGTGGATCTCCCCGGTGTGGATGCCCATCTTGAACTTCTTCTGCAGGAATCGCATGGGATGGATGGGATGGGATCAGGAGACATATCCCATCTGAATGGGAATATCAATGGGAATGTAATGGGAATGTAATGGGAATATCAATGGGAATGTCAATGGGAATGTCATGGGAATGTCAATGGGAATATCAATGGGAATGTCACGGGAATGTCATGGGAATATCAATGGGAATGTCACGGGAATGTCATGGGAATATCAATGGGAATGTAATGGGAATGTCATGGGAATGTCAATGGGAATGTCATGGGAATGTAATGGGAATATCAATGGGAATATCAATGGGAATGTCAATGGGAATGTCATGGGAATATCAATGGGAATGTCAATGGGAATGTCAATGGGAATGTCATGGGAATGTAATGGGAATATCAATGGGAATGTCAATGGGAATGTCATGGGAATATCAATGGGAATGTAATGGGAATGTCATGGGAATGTCAATGGGAATGTCATGGGAATGTCAATGGGAATATCAATGGGAATGTCATGGGAATGCCATGGGAATATCAATGGGAATATCAATGGGAATGTCACGGGAATGTCATGGGAATATCAATGGGAATATCAATGGGAATGTCACGGGAATGTCATGGAAATATCAATGGGAATGTCAATGGGAATGTCAATGGGAATATCAATGGGAATAATGGGAATATCAATGGGAATGTCATGGGAATATCAATGGGAATGTCAATGGGAATATCAATGGGAATAATGGGAATATCAATGGGAATGTCAATGGGAATATCAATGGGAATATCAATGGGAATGTAATGGGAATGTCATGGGAATGTCAATGGGAATGTAATGGGAATGTCAATGGGAATATCAATGGGAATGTCACGGGAATGTCATGGGAATATCAATGGGAATGTCACGGGAATGTCATGGGAATATCAATGGGAATATCAATGGGAATGTCACGGGAATGTCATGGGAATATCAATGGGAATGTCAATGGGAATATCAATGGGAATAATGGGAATATCAATGTGAATGTCATGGGAATATCAATGGGAATGTAATGGGAATGTAATGGGAATATCAATGGGAATGTCAATGGGAATGTCATGGGAATATCAATGGGAATATCAATGGGAATGTAATGGGAATGTCATGGGAATGTCAATGGGAATGTCATGGGAATGTCAATGGGAATATCAATGGGAATGTCACGGGAATGTCATGGGAATATCAATGGGAATATCAATGGGAATGTCACGGGAATGTCATGGGAATATCAATGGGAATGTCAATGGGAATGTCAATGGGAATATCAATGGGAATAATGGGAATATCAATGGGAATGTCATGGGAATATCAATGGGAATGTAATGGGAATGTCAATGGGAATGTCATGGGAATGTAATGGGAATATCAATGGGAATGTCAATGGGAATGTCATGGGAATATCAATGGGAATGTAATGGGAATATCAATGGGAATGTCAATGGGAATATCAATGGGAATGTCATGGAAATATCAATGGGAATGTAATGGGAATATCAATGGGAATGTCAATGGGAATATCAATGGGAATAATGGGAATATCAATGGGAATGTCATGGGAATATCAATGGGAATGTCAATGGGAATGTAATGGGAATATCAATGGGAATGTCAATGGGAATGTCAATGGGAATGTCATGGGAATATCAATGGGAATATCAATGGGAATGTCACGGGAATGTCATGGGAATATCAATGGGAATGTCAATGGGAATGTCAATGGGAATGTCATGGGAATATCAATGGGAATATCAATGGGAATATAATGGGAATGTAATGGGAATGTCATGGGAATATCAATGGGAATGTCATGGGAATATCAATGGGAATGTGATGGGAATGTAATGGGAATGTAATGGGAATGTAATGGGAATGTACTGGGAATATAATGGGAATGTAATGGGAATGTCATGGGAATATCAATGGGAATATCAATGGGAATGTCATGGGAATATCAATGGGAATGTAATGGGAATATCAATGGGAATGTCATGGGAATATCAATGGGAATGTAATGGGAATGTAATGGGAATGTAATGGGAATGTACTGGGAATGTAATGGGAATTAATGGGAATATCAATGGGAATGTCATGGGAATTAATGGGAATATCAATGGGAATGTAATGGGAATGTCATGGGAATATCAATGGGAATATAATGGGAATGTAATGGGAATGTAATGGGAATGTCATGGGAATATCAATGGGAATATAATGGGAATGTAATGGGAATGTCATGGGAATGTAATGGGAATGTCATGGGAATGTCATGGGGATGTCATGGGAATGTAATGGGAATGTAATGGGAATGTCATGGGAATATCAATGGGAATATAATGGGAATGTAATGGGAATGTCATGGGAATATCAATGGGAATATAATGGGAATGTCATGGGAATATCAATGGGAATATAATGGGAATATAATGGGAATGTAATGGGAATGTAATGGGAATATCAATGGGAATGTCATGGGAATGTAATGGGAATGTAATGGGAATGTCATGGGAATATCAATGGGAATATAATGGGACTGCAATGGGAATGTAATGGGAATGTCATGGGAATATCAATGGGAATATAATGGGAATGTCATGGGAATATAATGGGAATGTAATGGGAATGTCATGGGAATATCAATGGGAATATAATGGGAATGTAATGGGAATGTCATGGGAATGTCAATGGGAATATAATGGGAATGTAATGGGAATATCAATGGGAATGTAATGGGAATATCAATGGGAATATAATGGGAATGTAATGGGAATGTCATGGGAATATAATGGGAATGTAATGGGAATGTCATGGGAATATAATGGGAATGTCATGGGAATATAATGGGAATGTCATGGGAATGTCATGGGAATATCAATGGGAATATAATGGGAATGTAATGGGAATGTCATGGGAATATAATGGGAATGTAATGGGAATGTCATGGGAATATCAATGGGAATATCAATGGGAATATAATGGGAATGTAATGGGAATGTCATGGGAATATAATGGGAATGTAATGGGAATGTCATGGGAATGTCATGGGAATATAATGGGAATGTAATGGGAATGTCATGGGAATATAATGGGAATGTCATGGGAATATAATGGGAATGTAATGGGAATGTAATGGGAATGTCATGGGAATATAATGGGAATGTCATAGGAATATCAATGGGAATATAATGGGAATGTAATGGGAATGTCATGGGAATATAATGGGAATGTAATGGGAATGTCATGGGAATATCAATGGGAATATAATGGGAATGTAATGGGAATATCAATGGGAATATAATGGGAATGTAATGGGAATGTCATGGGAATATAATGGGAATGTAATGGGAATGTCATGGGAATATCAATGGGAATATAATGGGAATATAATGGGAATGTAATGGGAATGTCATGGGAATATCAATGGGAATATAATGGGAATGTAATGGGAATGTCATGGGAATATAATGGGAATATAATGGGAATGTAATGGGAATGTCATGGGAATATAATGGGAATGTAATGGGAATGTCATGGGAATATCAATGGGAATATAATGGGAATGTAATGGGAATGTAATGGGAATGTCATGGGAATATCAATGGGAACATAATGGGAATGTAATGGGAATGTAATGGGAATGTCATGGGAATATCAATGGGAATATCAATGGGAATAATGGGAATATCAATGGGAATATCAATGGGAATATCAATGGGAATATCAATGGGAATAATGGGAATATCAATGGGAATGTAACGGGAATTAATGGGAATGAATGGGAAAACAATGGGAATATAATGGGATATAATAAAGATAGTATAGGGGTCTAAGATCATGATGTGACACTTATAACTTGATGCCGTACTGGGCATTTTTCAATGGGTAGTTATCATCGAACTCAATCGATCCATTTTTCCATTGCCGCTATGTTATATAAATTCCATTGCGGATAAGTTGATGATTGATATTTTTTATGGTCAATGACATCAGAGTTGCTATCATTTGATGGTGAAAACTGGAAGGACAGCCGGCTTGTGTTTGAGGCCTACACACCTCCGGTTGGGGATTTCCCAGCCAGGTTTGATCCATCCCATCCTCTCGATGTATTGTAGATATATTATAGACATGTTGTAGATATTTTGTAGATATATTGTAGATATCTCATTGACATGTTATAGATCTATTAGACTATCGACGTATTCTGAATACATATCAAAGACATGTTATACATTACAATTCTTGATCATATACCATCTGGTTATATATTTAACATAGCCATGGAAAGATCCACCCATTTTTAAGTTCGGTAAACCCAGGTAAACCATCTATTTCTATGGGCCATGGCTTCCATGGCAAACTGTTAGTCATAACCAGATCATATCATTGATTCACCATCTTCACATCATCCCGCCCCAAACCCATCCCGGGTCATCCGGACCCAAAATATGCCCCTCCCCATGGATGACTGTTACTGTTATTTATGGTTACTGGACTACTATTTAGATCATCATAGATCATCATAGATACACTATATCCCATGGGTATTATGAACCCATCCATGAATATTGAACTCCGGTTTTTCAGGAGATTTCATCGATTTCAGCGTTTCGCGGCCTACCCACGGAAGTCTGGAAAATCACATCTACGACTTTTCCAAATTTGCGTGATTTTGACAGTTGTTGCGGGATTTTTGCAGGATTTTTGCGGGTATGTAATCCGTGACGTTTTCTAGGCCTTCTGTGTGTCCACATTCCAGTAGAGCCAGTAAACTTCAGCGGCTTCAGCGTCCATTATCCATCGTTTGCGCCCAAAGCATAGTCAACTCCGAGGTTCACTGATTTGTTTTTGGATTTGGAAGGTCCAGGTATCATATATTACTATTAGAAAATATCATATCCGATATTATCCACTATACTATCAATATGATATTAGATTCAACCCCACCATCCCATAGATATATTATAGATATATCATCCCCAACCCCCCATCCACCAGACATACCATAGGTATATATACGTAGATATAATATAGATATACTATAGATCTCTCTGGATACACGAAAAAGATCATCCCTGCAAAAAAATAAAAATTCTTAGCTGGTGAACGTAGATAATCCCATACCAAGTCAGACTAGTAATCGGATGAGTTTCTGAGTTTCTATCCAACCCAAATCCCCCATCCCCAACCCCAACAAAACCCCATCCCCAACCCCCAAAAAAATCCATTCCCAACCCCCATCCTCCATCCCCTAGAACCCCCATCCCCAGACCAACCAGGTTATTATTAACCATTATTAACCATCATTAACCATATAATAACCATATATTAACACTATATTACCTACCACTGGTAGGTCAACCACCATCGTCAACCACCATCGGATTAGGCGCCTGCGCCTCGTTCTGCAGCTGCTGAATTTCGTACGCCGCGCCAAAGAGGCGCTCCAGCAGCTCCTGGTGCTGCCGCTCCGCCGTAATCGCCGAGGTATCGCCCGGCAGGTCCTGGCCGAAGGGTTCAACGAAGGTGGTGAAAACCAGGGGAAAAATGGTGAAAATCCTGGGAAAAACTGGAGAAAATGGGAGAAAACGGGAGTTAGGGAAAAGAAGATGAAAACTTAGGGAAACTTCGGGATGATTTAGAGCAACTTGAGGATGTTTATAAGCAATTTGGGGTTTTTGAAAGGTTTAAGTTGTTTTGTGTAGTCAAAAACTGGAAAATCCAACAAGGTCAGGTCCAATTTCTCATAAAAAGGCATGTGAATTGCTGCTCATATTCTAGAGAGTGCTTCGGTCTTGAATCAAATCCCTGCATCCACGCTCTACTTCGAAATGTTGCATGAAACTTCAGTTAAAACAGCTTTGCAACATGAATATGTCCATCTATATGGGCCCATTGCCCCACCTTCACAAAAAAACAAATCCCATCCTTTTTCATTCCCCATGGTGCTGGAATCCCCAAGAAATTTCTTGCTGAAAAAAAGATGTTCCTTTTGGATGCTCCGATGAGCTACCTATTCACTTGACAATAGTTCCTAATATACTTTTTTTTGTAATAAAAAAACATTGGACTTGTTACATCATTTTACCATACGGCTTGGTGGTTTCAACAATCTTGAAAAATAATGGAGTTCGTCAATGGGAAGGATTATCCCATCCCATATATGGAAAATAAAACATGTTCCAAACCACCAATCAACAGTATTATTAATCACTAACAAAAAAAACTCATATAACTTTTTTTCGTGGCTATTAATAACTATATAATGGTTAGTAACCACTATAATCACTGTTATAATTCTTAGCCACCAAAAAGTTACACATGTTTAGCCATGATTCATAACCAATCAACATTAATGTTTGTTAATAACCATTATTAATAGCCATGATTAGTTACACTATTAGTTACACTATTAGCCATTATTAATTCCATTATTATTAATAACCATATCTGGTGGTTTTTTCTGTGGTTTTTCATGCTTCAAATCCACCCGAAATCGATAAATCGATCTCGACTAATCGTCGTCCTCGGGCACCACGCCCACGGAGCAGACGTATTCCTCCGCCACCGTCTCGATCTTCGTGACCTGGATGAGTTCACCAGGAAAACCTGGGGGATTTTTCATGATTTTAATGGGGATTGAATGGAGATTTTATGGTGATTTAATGGGATTTTAATGGTGATTTAATGGGATTTTAATGGGGATTGAATGGAGATTTTATGGTGATTGAATGGGATTTTAATGGTGATTTAATGGGATTTTAATGGTGATTTAATGGGATTTTCATGGGGATTGAATGGAGATTTTATGGTGATTTAATGGGATTTTAATGGTGATTTAATGGGATTTTAATGGGGATTGAATGGAGATTTTATGGTGATTTAATGGGATTTTAATGGTGATTTAATGGGATTTTAATGGTGATTTAATGGGATTTTCATGGGGATTGAATGGAGATTTTATGGTGATTTAATGGGATTTTAATGGTGATTTAATGGGATTTTCATGGGGATTGAATGGAGATTTTATGGTGATTTAATGGGATTTTAATGGTGATTTAATGGGATTTTAATGGGGATTGAATGGAGATTTTATGGTGATTTAATGGGATTTTAATGGTGATTTAATGGGATTTTAATGGGGATTGAATGGAGATTTTATGGTGATTTAATGGGATTTTAATGGTGATTTAATGGGATTTTAATGGTGATTTAATGGGATTTTCATGGGGATTGAATGGAGATTTTATGGTGATTTAATGGGATTTTAATGGTGATTTAATGGGATTTTCATGGGGATTGAATGGAGATTTTATGGTGATTTAATGGGATTTTAATGGGGATTTAATGGGATTTTATCGGGATTTAATGGGATTTTAATGGGGATTTAATGGGATTTTAATGGGGATTGAATGGGATTTTAATGGGGATTGAATGGGATTTTATCGGGATTTAATGGGATTTTAATGGGGATTGAATGGGATTTTATCGGGATTTAATGGGATTTATGGTGATTTAATGGGATTTTAATGGGGATTGAATGGGATTTTAATGGGGATTGAATGGGATTTTATCGGGATTTAATGGGATTTTAATGGGGATTGAATGGGATTTTAATGGGGATTTAATGGGATTTTAATGGGGATTGAATGGGATTTTAATGGGGATTGAATGGGATTTTGTCGGGATTTAATGGGATTTTAATGGGGATTGAATGGGATTTTATCGGGATTTAATGGGATTTTAATGGGGATTTAATGGGATTTTATCGGGATTTAATGGGATTTTAATGGGGATTGAATGGGATTTTAATGGGGATTGAATGGGATTTTAATGGGGATTGAATGGGATTTTAATGGGGATTTAATGGGATTTTAATGGGGATTGAATGGGATTTTATCGGGATTTAATGGGATTTTAATGGGAATTGAATGGGATTTTAATGGGGATTTAATTAATGGGATTTTAATGGGGATTGAATGGGATTTTATGGGGATTTAATGGGATTTATGGTGATTTAATGGGATTTTAATGGGGATGGAATGGGATTTTAATGGGGATTTAATTAATGGGATTTTAATGGGGATTGAATGGGATTTTATGGGGATTTAATGGGATTTTGAATGGTGATTTAATGGGATTTTAATGGGGATTGAATGGGATTTTAATGGGGATTGAATGGGATTTTGAATGGGGATTGAATGGGATTTTATCGGGATTTAATGGGATTTTAATGGGGATTGAATGGGATTTTAATGGGGATTTAATGGGATTTTAATGGGGATTGAATGGGATTTTAATGGGGATTTAATTAATGGGATTTTAATGGGGATTGAATGGGATTTTATGGGGATTTAAAGGGATTTATGGTGATTTAATGGGATTTTAATGGGGATTGAATGGGATTTTAATGGGGATTTAATGGGATTTTGAATGGGGATTGAATGGGATTTTATCGGGATTTAATGGGATTTTAATGGGGATTGAATGGGATTTTAATGGGGATTTAATTAATGGGATTTTAATGGGGATTGAATGGGATTTTATGGGGATTAATGGGATATGGGATTTAATGGGATTTTAATGGGGATTGAATGGGATTTTAATGGGGATTGAATGGGATTTTAATGGGGATTGAATGGGATTTTAATGGGGATGAAGGGATTTTAATGGGGATTTAATGGGATTTTAATGGGATTTAATGGGATTTTAATGATTTAATGGGATTTTAATGGGGATTGAATGGGATTTTATCGGGATTTAATGGGATTTTAATGGGGATTGAATGGGATTTTAATGGGGATTTAATTAATGGGATTTTAATGGGGATTGAATGGGATTTTATGGGGATTTAATGGGATTTATGGTGATTTAATGGGATTTTAATGGGGATTGAATGGGATTTTATGGTGATTTAATGGGATTTTGAATGGGGATTGAATGGGATTTTATGGGGATTTAATGGGATTTATGGTGATTTAATGGGATTTTAATGGGGATTGAATGGGATTTTATGGTGATTTAATGGGATTTTGAATGGGGATTGAATGGGATTTTATGGGGATTTAATGGGATTTATGGTGATTTAATGGGATTTTAATGGGGATTGAATGGGATTTTATGGGGATTTAATGGGATTTATGGTGATTTAATGGGATTTTGAATGGGGATTGAATGGGATTTTATGGGGATTTAATGGGATTTATGGTGATTTAATGGGATTTTGAATGGGGATTGAATGGGATTTTATGGGGATTTAATGGGATTTATGGTGATTTAATGGGATTTTGAATGGAGATTGAATGGGATTTTATGGGGATTTAATGGGATTTATGGTGATTTAATGTGATTTTAATGGGGATTGAATGGGATTTTATGGGGATTTAATGGGATTTATGGTGATTTAATGGGATTTTGAATGGGGATTGAATGGGATTTTATGGGGATTTAATGGGATTTATGGTGATTGAATGGGATTTTAATGGGGATTGAATGGGATTTTATGGGGATTTAATGGGATTTTATAGTGATTGAATGGGATTTTAATGGGGATTGAATGGGATTTTATGGTGATTTAATGATGGTGTAACGGGATTTACTGGTGATTTCATGGAATTTGTCATGGAGATTTCATGGTGATTTCATGAAAGTTAATGGGACTTGAACCGGGATTTTTGTGGGACTTAATGGGGATTGAATGACGAAAAATGGTGAGATGAAATAGCGGTATTAAACGGTATTAACTGGAACCAATGGTATAATGGCGTGATAAAATGGTAAAATTGGGTCTCTCGATTTTCTCTTCATTCCCAGTCTTAGATCTGCAAAAAATGACATGTTCCATCGAAGACTTTTCACTAGATCTTAGTCCACTAATGAAAGATTCGTGACAATCTGATTAGGATAAGTACTGCATCCAGAAAAAGATTGTCACGACAGTATCCATCCCAGCACCGAGAACATCAAGATGGAATACATCTACGTAGATTGTCACTAAATAAATTAAAGATTCCGTTTTTCCAATGATGGGAACATGGGAACATCAGATTCCATCTGCTAAACTGATGTCAACATTCGCAGATTTTGATAGTTGGGGCATCCCAGGTGGGTGGCAACTGCTTTGCCAAAAAAAGTTGACCCTTTCACCAAATCGCAATATGGCGAGCGAGTACGAGCGCAACGCCTCTGTAGAGTTTGGTATCCGTCAAGATTTGGGGTACCCCATGAACCCGCAAATTCGGTCGTTTCTAGAATCTAAAAAACCTTAAGTGTGTGTGCAGATAGATAGATAGATAGATAGATAGATAGATAGATAGATAGATAGATAGATAGATAGATAGATAGATAGATAGATAGATAGATAGATTAGATTAGATTAGATTAGATTAGATTAGATTAGACTAGACTAGACTAGATTAGATTAGATGAGATTAGATTAGATTAGATTAGATTTTCATTAGATTAGATTTAGATTTAGATTTAGATTAAGATTAGATTAGATAGATAGATAGATAGGTAGATAGATAGACAGACAGACAGATAGACAGACCTCCTACAAGGTGGTGCCCCATAGCGTTTTCGGATGGTTGGTTCACTTGGATTATAACTAATCCAGTTAACCGTTAAGCCATACCAAAACCCCATTGAGTTGAATATAGTAAGAAGGTTTCACAAGGTATAAACCATTATAAACCCATGAACTTGAAGATCTCTACAGTTTTCATGGCTTTATAATCCAACTTATAACTGGTGTCGTCCAGCACCGAACGCCATTGATGCGCCTTATGAGCAGCACAGATGTCGTCCATCTTTCCAAAGTACCTGGGAAATCATAGTAATGACAAGAATAGTAATGGTAATGGTAACAATAGAGATGATCAGTAACAATATATAATATATAGTAGTAATCCTGTTCCCCTTAATCTTTATGATAATAATAATGATAATAATGTTAGTAATTATTACTTATACTTATAATGATAGTAATGAAAATAATAATCATAATATAGAATAGTAGAAATCCCTTCCCCCTTAATATTAAACACCCCAAACGAAACCATGGTTTAGTAAGGGGTTTATACACAATTGGGACGTAGAGGATTTATACATAATTGGGACCATTTGGGGGGTGGGATTCAGAAAGGGTTTAATGTACCACTACATATCTTCGGGGCTATCATCCGAGGTAGAACATGATAGAAGACGAAGAAACGCTGTTGGATCATGCACTTGCTATTCCCGAGCTTCGGATACAAACTCCCAAAATATCGATACCACTGAAATTGGATGGCCTGATTCAACCATGCAAAAACCATCTGCATTTGGGGGTAAGCTTCGCAGTATCACGGTACAGCATCATCAAAAGTAGGACAATCCTCTTCCAGATTGGTCCGTAACTTTTCCACCTCACAACACCTGGATTTTTTCCTTTTTTTTGTGAAACTTTAATGGAATCTAATGGGGATTAATGGGTTTTAATGGGACTTCATGGATTTTTTTCCTCACCAAGGGGCGTGTTGAGGAAGGTCAACGCAGCGTTGGCGTCACTGACGTGGAAGTCGTGAATGAGCACAAAAAGAATGCTGACCTGCCGAAGTCACCAAAGTCTGGGATTGTTTTTTTCGGTTGGAAAATGGTTGATCAAGTTGGGATGATGGTCCTCTATCCGGTCACTGACAAAAGTTGCAGTAAAGGTTACCCTCTGGTTATGTCAAAATAGCTATTGAAAATGGCCTTTTATAGTGAGTTTTCCCATTAAAAATGGTGATTTTCCATAGTTATGTTAGTTTACCAGAGGGTAGCGGTGATGCTGTGAACTGCTCACAGACTTGGTGACTTCCTTTGAGAATCAAAAAGACGACACACCATAATTTTCGGCCAGTAAAACCTTTACCATCTGGTTGTGACATTCACAGTTTGCCATGGAAAGATCCACCCATGCTATTAAGTTCGGTAAACCATCTATTTCGATAAATGGGCCATCAACAAACCATGGCGAACTGTTGCTTTCCTCACCACAACCGTTGGCATTTTGGTCAACCCATCGCAACATCTCGTCATTGAGGCCCCCCGGCCCTTGGTCGGTAGTCGCAGATGGGTTTCTGGCGCAGCGACAATTCTCGGAGCTTCAGCCCATGGTTGGTTTAGCAGCACAACTGTGGCAGTGTATCTGAAGATAGGGGATACCCACAAATAGCAAGTTTAATGGGGAACATGGTGATAATCCATTGGAATATGAGATACACTATTTTCAGACAAACCCATGTGAAAATTTGGATGTGTGCTATTGATTGAGAAATCGATTCAGAAACCTGGGATTTATGTACCCGGCCTGGTAATGACTAACACTTCGCGAACTTGAAAATGGCCCAGTCGAAATAGTGAGTTTCCCATGAAAATAGCATGGTGGATCTTTCCATGGGACAGTTTACCAGAGGATATCCATGATATCCCAAAAAAAAGGGGAACTCCAAACTCCGGTGTCCCAGGGCTTGGCACCTGCATCAGCATGCGAGGAATCACGTACTTCGGTACCTGGAGCCATCGGGGACCATCGTCGGATCGTCGTCACCATGGCTTTCGAAAAAGACGTGGTGGCAGCCGGTCGTTCATGACTGGATGACTGGGGTGATGTAAACATATGGTATTGAAAAAAAAACATATCACAACATATCAGACATGATATTTTTGATGGTAGTATATCTTTACTGCTGGTAATATCAGTTGGTATTCTCTTTACTGGTCATGGCTCAAAGATCCTTATGATTGACCAAATGTGAATCATAGTTTGAACACATGTTTCTTTGATATTAGAATATTATCAACTCTGTGGGTTTGTCTTGAAATAATGTAACCCTCAATCCACTGCTTAATCATCAATATCATCAATAACCCTATTGAAACAGCTATGACTGTGGGGTATACTTTATTGACAAACCCATATGGGCACAGCAAGAGGGCGGTGATTTCACATGAACATCAATGCTCGTGTTCATCAAACCCCCAAGAATAAAGAAAAAAAACATCGCCGGCCAAAACCCATCTCAACCACGAACAACAAAACCTGCTTTCCCTTCAACCCATTGGACCCATCTTCATCATAACAACTATCATCAACCCTCACTTTGTCAGGTGCACTGACCCCTCTGAATAAATTAACCCCGCCCAAACTACCACCTGAGGTGGATTTGTGGATTCGTCATATCACAGCGCAATATCCAATATCATATCGGAGATCTATCATGTTATCTTTTCCCATTTTGCATCGCCATTGTTTCTAGGTATAGCCCATTTTTTTCGAGACAGCCAGTCACATCATGGTTGATTTAATCCGATTTTCTGGACAAATCCAATGTTAAGTTATTCTCATGTCCATAATATGCCGGTATTGCTGTTATATGTATCATTTAGTATTGTTCTCATGGACATGGGATTTTCTCATATCAAACAATATGATAAGTCTGTTAGTATTGTTGTTATTCTTTGATATCCCAGCATGAAACGGCTAAACAGTTGCTTTTCTTCACTTCTGGCCTCACTTGGGGCCTAGAATAATCAACTTATCTCTATAGCAACATCAATAGTGTTGTTATTATCCACTATCATCAACCTATCATACCACAAGTTATAACAATAAGCCATCATAAATTCACATATACCACTGTTAACCTTATAACTTATTATAACGTTGTAACATGTCATAACTGGCATGTTATAACCATGTTTTTATCACCATTTCGAGCAGCAGAATTCCCAGTTCCAAGGTGTTTAAACGTAGGGCACCATGCCATCGAAGACCACATAGAGATGCTCCAAGGCCTCACCGATGAGTCGCGGGCAACGGGGTAGGGATTCTTTGGACCAAGAATGGCACGGGTCATTGGGATTTTAATGGTGATTTAATGGGATTTTAATGGTGATTTAATGGGATTTTAATGGTGATTTAATGGCGATTTAATGGTGATTTTATGGGATTTATGGTCTTTTAATGGTGATTTAATGGAGATTTAATGGGAGTGACCCTCTGGCAAACGTTTACAAGAAACGAACTGGAAAGATCCACCATGCTATTAATGGGTAAATCAACTATTTCGACTGGGGCCATTTTCAATAGCTTTTTGTATGTTTACCAGAGGGTATATGATGGTTCATGTTCATAATGCTACCATGATAAACCAATTGGTGCCATAACTCTACGTAACCATGTGGGTTGTGGTACCAACAATGGTGGTATGGTACCAACAATGGGATGTCATAACTGGTTGGTGGTTTGACAAAAACCCCTCTGAAAAATCATGGACAACTCGTCAGTTGGGAAGGATTTTACATCCCAGATATGAAATGGAAAAATGTTATCCACCTACCATTTACCAGCACTAACCAGAAATATCCAGTGTTTAATGGTGTTCCCTGGAGATCTGTAGGAAATCCTGGCTGCCATTTGTACCCACTGGGGATGATCTGGGGATAGAAATGGCCATTGATTAGTGGTTCTTGCTTGGTGATCACTACAATGGTTACTAGAGCTGCTTAATTCTTGATTTGTAGTGATCAAGTATAGCAACCAACATATGTTATTCTTGGTTCATAGTTGGTTGACCATGGTGAAAAATTGGAAAGTAATCACCAAGTATAGTCAATATACTAACTTGTGAGACTAACCATACTAACCAACTATAGTCATTACCACATCTTGTGAAAAATTGGTCAAAAGCATTGGATAGGAAGCTTGTGGCTATGGTTATAGACTTAGGATTGTCGGTTGATGATCATTGCCATTTCATGGAAAAAATTGATCGTTTAGTAACCACGGAACCATGGTTAATGACTGGTTATGGCTATGGTAAATCCAGCTATTTCTGCACGGGGTATGGTTACCTTAGGTTTATGGTTACTAGATGTTACTAGTAAGCAGCCAAATCAATTTGGCCAAATCTCCTACTGTTCATCTTCTATAGAAATTTGGGGTTGCCCTGTCGGGCTGTGTGATCTGAAAGAATGGTAGAATTTTACGAAATGCACGACCCCAAAATTTCAGATTGAACCCAAATATTGCCATGTCAGCAAAATGATCCAGAGAGCATCTTTGCGGTTCCAAGTGAAGAATTTCGAAAAACAAAATCGACCTCTTCTATCTTTTGGGGGGTTCTACAAGCATTGGAGAATTTCTATCTGCCAAGTGGAGAGATTTGATGCTTCAGATACAAACAGGTCCAGTCCACCAACAGGCTGGCTGCCAAGAAATCTGTGCATCAACCAACAGGGCTAGTTATCAACGTAGGCCCTGGGGGTTCGACAAAAAATTCTTCGTGGGCCCCCAAGGTCATAAAAAAAAAAAAAACATGTCTTGGGATGAAACCCCCTGACTCAAGTGTTTTAAGACGTGAAACCCCCAAATTTCCAGTACTGAAACTGGTTGGTGGTTGACCTACCCCTCTGAAAAATGATGGAGTGAGTAACAGTTGGGATGATGACATTCCCAATGTAGGGAAAAATAAAAGCCATGTTCCAAACCACCAACCAGAAAATCAAAGGTTGGTCTTTCATTGTCAATCCTCTGTCATTAGTTTCGCCTCCATTGGACTGGTTATTAGCGGCGGCGCGCCTTCCGCTGCAGATTATCTTCCAGAAACTGCCGACGCATGCCCTGGCCATGTTGGGACTCGACATTTTGGTTTCGGTTCCCGAACGAAGCACAGCCGAAGACTCAGAGAGGAACCAAAAAAACCAGCCGCAAGAAGCAATAAATTCAATAACTCTGTGGGAACTGAAAGCACCAACTGGAAACCCTGGAAACCCAAGCACTTCGTTGCTGCTGAATCATGGGAGTCTTCACCGCTGGGGTAGATCCCCATGATCCCCATCTCCGGGGATCCTATACTAACGGTGCTGCGATTTGTTTGGTGTGCCATGGATCCCATCAAGAGAAACCCCCTTGATGTTAGCATATATATATATATACCAGCACCATGGATCCTATGGGTAAGAATCCCCAAAAAAAATGGAAAAAGTAAGATCTTGCTCCCGAGATGTACTCGATAATCGACAAAGGGAAGGCGCCTACAGGCAAGAAAAGGAACAGGAGGTTCAAGTCAATACGCACCAACAATGAAATCTGGCCAAAAGCTTTCTGAATGAGTGGTAAATACCTGTTCTGTTCCGTGGTGAATAGGGGACCACCATGCAGCCCAAATCGAGTCCGCGGCCTTTTCCAGGTAGTATTTCCTCAAACGAAGCTTGGGCGTTCCAAAAGCTGCATAGGCCGGTTTTGGAATGATGCCCCTTAGGTCCGCCATTCAGGTCTCTATACTAGTTGCCTTTAAAACTGAAATGAAGCTGCTTACCGTATGTTACCCTAGGGTAAACGTTTACATAGATGTCGAAAACCCATGGGTTTTCAACCCGGAAAATGATCATAAATGATCTACAAATCGTGGTGCCCCGTTTTCAAATAAGACTCAAACGTGTAGACATGACATCTTCCCTTCGTTCAATAAACATTGCCACTGGAAAAAAAAAACACTTTGGAAGAGGTAAATCGTCGACATTTCTGAAAGACTTTCTCATTGCCATGTTAGAATACCCCATGATATTCTGCTGGTGGAAGGGTGTTCTGAACTGCCCCTGGGGCCCCATGAAAATCCAAGACGTACCCGAGGCAACGCCCGCAAGGCCAAGTTGCTTCATGGTCCCCAGAATGGCCGTCACTACCTGGGGCCAAGGATCAAGGTGCCAACCGAAATTTACGACGTTTGGGTTGGTTCTAAAACATGAAATTCCTGCGCACAACAGTTGAAAACAGCCATAGATTGGGACCCCTCCCCCATTGACTCTTGAACACCCTTGTTGGCAACAAGACGCAGGGATGGGGTCAGGAATGGTGCCACCTAGGGCTAATGTGCGGCTGTAGGTTGGCAACCTACAAGACTCTAAGACTGCATTGTTGGCAACAAGGGGCAGGGATGGGATCAGGAATGGTGCCGCCTGGGGCTAATGTGTGGCTGTAGGTTGCCAACCTACAAGACTCTAAGACTGCATTGTTGGCAACAATGGGCAGGGATGGGCTCAGGAATAGTGCCACCTAGGGCTAATGTGCGGCTGTAGGTTGGCAACCTACAGGACTCTAAGACTGCATCGTTGGCAACAAGGGGCAGGGATGGGGTCAGGAATGGTGCCATCTAGGGCTAATGTGTGGCTGTAGGTTGGCAACCTACAGGACTCTAAGACTGCATTGTTGGCAACAAGGGGCAGGGATGGGGTCAGGAATGGTGCCACCTAGGGCTAATGTGCGGCTGTAGGTTGGCAACCTACAAGACTCTAAGACTGCATTGTTGGCAACAAGGGGCAGGGATGGGGTCAGGAATGGTGCCACCTGGGGCTAATGTGTGGCTGTAGGTTGGCAACCTACAGGACTCTAAGACTGCATTGTTGGCAACAATGGGCAGGGATGGGGTCAGGAATGGTGCCACCTAGGGCTAATGTGCGGCTGTAGGTTGGCAACCTACAGGACTCTAAGACTGCATTGTTGGCAACAAGGGGCAGGGATGGGGTCAGGAATGGTGCCACCTAGGGCTAATGTGTGGCTGTAGGTTGACAACCTACAGGACTCTAAGACTGCATTGCTGGCAACAAGGGGCAGGGATGGGGTCAGGAATGGTGCCACCTAGGGCTAATGTGTGGCTGTAGTTTGGCAACCTGCAGCACTCTAAGACTGCATTGTTGGCAACAAGGGGCAGGATGGGGTCAGGAATGGTGCCACCTAGGGCTAATGTGTGGCTGTAGGTTGGCAACCTACAGGACTCTAAGACTGCATTGTTGGCAACAAGGGGCAGGGATGGGGTCAGGAATGGTGCCACAACAAGGGGCAGGGATGGGGTCAGGAATGGTGCCACCTAGGGCTAATGTGCGGCTGTAGGTTGGCAACCTACAGGACTCTAAGACTGCATTGTTGGCAACAAGGGGCAGGGATGGGGTCAGGAATGGTGCCACCTAGGGCTAATGTGTGGCTGTAGGTTGGCAACCTACAGGACTCTAAGACTGCATTGTTGGCAACAAGGGGCAGGGATGGGGTCAGGAATGGTGCCACCTAGGGCTAATGTGCGGCTGTAGGTTGGCAACCTACAGGACTCTAAGACTGCATTGTTGGCAACAAGGGGCAGGGATGGGGTCAGGAATGGTGCCACCTAGGGCTAATGTGCGGCTGTAGGTTGGCAACCTACAGGACTCTAAGAGTGCATTGTTGGCAACAAGGGGCAGGGATGGGGTCAGGAATGGTGCCACCTAGGGCTAATGTGCGGCTGTAGGCTGGCAACCTACAGGACTCTAAGACTGCATTGTTGGCAACAAGGGGCAGGGATGGGGTCAGGAATGGTGCCACCTAGGGCTAATGTGTGGCTGTAGGTTGGCAACCTACAGGACTCTAAGACTGCATTGTTGGCAACAAGGGGCAAGGATGGGGTCAGGAATGGTGCCACCTAGGGCTAATGTGCGGCTGTAGGTTGGCAACCTACAGAACTCTAAGACTGCATTGTTGGCAACAAGGGGCAGGGATGGGGTCAGGGATGGTGCCACCTAGGGCTAATGTGTGGCTGTAGGTTAACAACCTACAGGACTCTAAGACTGCATTGTTGGCAACAAGGGGCAGGGATGTGGTCAGGAATGGTGCCACCTAGGCTAATGTGCGGCTGTAGATTGGCAACCTACAGGACTCTACGACTGTATTGTTGGCAACAAGGGGCAGGGATGGGGTCAGGAATGGTGCCACCTAGGGCTAATGTGCGGCTGTAGGTTGGCAACCTACAGGACTCTAAGACTGCATTGCTGGCAACAAGGGGCAGGGATGGGGTCAGGAATGGTGCCACCTAGGGCTAATGTGTGGCTGTAGGTTAACAACCTACAGGACTCTAAGACTGCATTGTTGGCAACAAGGGGCAGGAATGGGGTCAGGAATGGTGCCACCTAGGGCTAATGTGTGGCTGTAGGTTGGCAACCTACAGAACTCTAAGAGTGCATTGTTGGCAACAAGGGGCAGGGATGGCGTCAGGGATGGTGCCACCTAGGGCTAATGTGCGGCTGTAGGTTGGCAACCTACAGGACTCTGAGACTGCATTGTTGGCAACAAGGGGCAGGGATGGGGTCAGGAATGGTGCCACCTAGGGCTAATGTGCGGCTGTAGGTTGGCAACCTACAGGACTCTAAGACTGCATTGTTGGCAACAAGGGGCAGGGATGGGGTCAGGAATGGTGCCACCTGGGGCTAATGTGTGGCTGTAGGTTAACAACCTACAGGACTCTAAGACTGCATTGTTGGCAACAAGGGGCAGGGATGTGGTCAGGAATGGTGCCACCTAGGCTAATGTGCGGCTGTAGATTGGCAACCTACAGGACTCTACGACTGCATTGTTGGCAACAAGTTCGTAAAATTCCACATCCTCCATGTGGGGTTGTCGGCATCATTCTATCCATCTCCATGTTTTTTCCGCTGATCAATTTCCATTCTCAAAATCATGATGTTCCCAATTTTCATATTGCCATTCTTATTGACTCCCTTTAATTAGCTAGTAAATAATGGTAAATAATAATTGGTATCCCATTTAATTAGCTAGTAAATAACCATTTATTCTCCATATCCCAATTATTATGATCCCAAAAAAATCTCAACATCTGATCGCCCACAAAAACCCATGCCATGCGCCACGGCCGCCACGGCACCAGCATGGAAAAGTGAAGCCCCAGATCCACCATGTGCGTCTTCTCCCCGGAGATCTCCGCGTAGAGCCAGCTGACGCCCACGTAAAAAAAGCCCTGCCACGCTGCGGCGTTTTGTGCGCCGTTGCGGGTCATCCCGGGGGTATGGCCGAGATTCCTGTGGCTACCCGGCCTGGTAATGACTAACGTTGTTTGCGAACTGGAAGCCATGGCCATTGAAAGTTCGTGGATTTTCCCATAAAAATGGTGACTTTCCAGTTATGTAAACGTTTACCAGAGATGCAGAGGGGCATATGAAAATCTCAGGTTTTTCATGATTGGTTGGGATTGAGAATCAAACTGATGCCCAAACAAACCCCAGTGCCGAAGCTATGATAGCCTTTGATGAACCTCTTTTGGGACTCTGAGCAGAATCCCCCATTTTGAGGCTGCCAGGGTGTGGTCGCCAGGTGTGGGCTTTCAAAGCCATAAACTTGGTCCCAAGAGCATGCTTTTTGCTGAAAGTCACAATTTTGCCTCGTTTTGGGCTGAAACTTATATATATATACATATATACATATATATATATATATGTATATATACATATATACATATATATATATATAAATATATATGTATATATATTATCCCATATTCTCACATAGCATGTAGTTATTTCTTACGCTTTGCGACGTGGAAAACCACCATTTTTTCCACTTCGGTCATCCCTGTCATCGGTCACTGGGCTCCCAGACCAACCAGAGGAAGGTCAGGTGAAAACAGCGGAACTGCGGCAGGGCGTAAGGCCTGGTAGCTGGAGAATGATCTCAAGTGGATAGTGGGAATTATAATGAATTATAATGGATTATAATGAATTATAATGGATTATAATAGTGGATTATTATGAATTATTATGAATTATCATGGATTATAATGGATTATAATTATAATGTACTGTAATACTCAATGGATGATAATAATTGGGATGTTGCAGATTTCATATGGATCAATGGATCACAGTGGATTTATATGTTTCAATGACTAGTAGTTTTGGAAACCATTGTTATGGATTAATGTACTAATTTCTTTCAATATATAATATGTATATAATAGTGTATGGTTTCCAGCTTATTTCCATGTTTGACATCCAGTATGTTATCTATAATCATGTTTTCCAAGTCTTTGGATGCCCCTTTGTCTACATAGCAATTTTTCAAAAAAAATCATCTCAAAAAATCACAAGAATTGGGGAAACATGGGGAAACCGAGGGTTTCCCCGATCGATTTCAACCATACAAACTAACCACATTAGTTCAGCCACCCAACTGCGATGGCAAACCTTGATGAGATCGGCTGATCTACCACCTTGAAAGATCACAAAAAGTTGTCGGCACTCTTTACAGATTACGCTTACCCGGCCTGGTAAACATACAAAAAGCGAACTGGAAAATCACCATGTTTGATAGGTAAATCAACTATTTCTATGACCATGTTCAATGGTTATGTTAAATTACCAGAGGGTATCAACTGGAGTGTGGTTGCCCAATCAGTATCTGAATCATCTGAATCTATGAGTCATTGCGGATTTTCGAATGTAACGAAAAAACATCCCTTGCTGCATGTCCTATGTTGGCTATGTTCACTCCCCATGTTGAGATCCGGGGAATTCTACAGTGCTTGGTTCACTGGAACTGCACCCAAGCAATCTGTTTTTACATCCTGTAAATGGTGGTATCTGGTGGTTATATATTCAATATATATATATATAACATCTGGTTATTTAACAGTTAATAACCAGAGGGTAAATATCTGAGAACACCAACCCATGAGTCATGCAAGGTGCTGCTTAGATTGTCAAGCTGGAAAAAAGTTTCGGTATTTCTGCCGCTTCCTTCTATTTCCTCCAGCGGGCGTTGAACACTCTTCAAATTCTGAACACATTTCAAAGTTAGGAAATATGGCGGTTTCCTAAAATGGGGATACCCCTAGTTATCATCCAGCGATAAAAAAAACATATTTTCCACTATAAACCATCCAGCGATAAAGGGGTACCCCCATTTACCATCCCAGCCGTACCTCTTACATGTCCACTCCGCTTGCTGGTAAAACCCCGGTGCGGTTGCAAAAAATCCCGCCGACTCTAGGTGCTGTTTGCCAAATGATCTATGGAATAATTATGAAATGATCATACCTATATTATATTATATTATATACACATGTGTATATATATATGTATTATATATATGTACATACATACATCTACACATACATCTGAAACTGGTGAATAGTACCTGGAACATCATTTTTATGTGATTATATCTGCCATTTAATGGCAATATGGAAGCATGTTTCATAAACAATGGTTACTGTTTTCCACTAAGACATAGATTCAGACTCTAACCATACCCTCTGGTAAACTAACATAGCTATGGAAAATCACCATTTTTAATGGGAAAATTCACTATAAATGGACATTTTCAATAGCTATGTTAAATTACCAGAGGGTAACTTTCGACAACTTGGAACAGCTGCCCGGACAGCATCCCACGTTGTCCCGTTGTCCCAAAACGCTCAGGGCACATGATGAGCATCCAGAGTTGGATCATCTGACACGCCGTGTGACCTGCACCAAACCCTCACGGGGAAACTGGGGCAACTTCCGATTTTGGCTCTGGAAAAAAAACCATTGGTTTGGAAAGAAAAACTGTAAATACCATGGGTTTATAAATAAACTGAGATAATTTTATGATAGTTAGATGGGCTTATTCAACTTAGAAATGAAGATCCATATCCTCTGGTTATTTTCTTGCAGTTTGCCCTGGTTTTTCAATGGCCCATGGCTAGTTCCATGGTTTCCCTATCAATGGTGATGTTCCATGAGGATAACCATGACATTTACGACATGTAAATGTGACTGCAAGTGGAATATGCTTCCAGAAGAAGCTAAAAATAGTTGCAAACTTCCAAGATTAGAACTTCTATATGGAATATGCTTTCATATATATATATTACAGCAACTATCATCTTCCAAACTGCTATGGTGGATTCAATTCAGTTGCTGTGATAGTTGGAAGATGATCAAATCCATTGGAAACTGATGACTTGAAGCTCAAGTTTCCCGGGAACTGGCCGTATCTGGAAGAAATGAACATGTGCAAAAAAAAAAAATAGCCAAATAGAGCTTTTATGATGCGTAAATATGTTGATTTATTTCTGGTTTGTCGCACTTTCAGAAGGTCAAGTTCATTATGGTTTGTTCCATCCCCATATATCCCCATTATATATATATTATATTATATATATATATATATATTATATATATATTATATATATATATTATATATATATACACATAGATATATATATATATATGTATATATATAGACAGTGTATATAGTATATATATATGTATGGGTATATAGAGTTCTAATGCTACATTCTTCCAAGATTTGAGCTACCGAAGCAGCCAATACGGAGAACCAGCCTTGCAAGGTACAGTCCAGCTTTTCGTTGGCGATCCACACGGATTTGTAGCTGCAGACCTCGATTTGTAAAATCGTCCCACGGATCGTAACTGCTTCGCGACCAGAGATGGTTCACCCATATCTATAATCTATATTATTATGTAATATAGTAATATTCTTATTATTATTATTACTAGTTACTATTTATTATTACTATTTATTATTACTATTCATTATTACTATTTATTATTACTATTTATTATTACTATTTATTATTACTATTTATTATTACTATTATATACTATTATACAGTGTATATATTATATATATATATGATATATGGGATAAGCCACTTGCCGGGCACTTACAAAAACCAGCTTTACGGTTACCCGGTGACCTACATCCATGGGATGGTCCTGCATCGATTCTTCGTATTTTCTGTGTGAACTAAGATCATGATCTTTCAGATACGAAGACCACAGATCATGTTCATCCAAGTGGAATGTATAAAATCATTACCATGATTCCATGATCTCATGCATTATCCACAAAAAAGTGCTACTTCTAACCTCACTTAAATCCACACCAGACATCCGAAAATTTCCTCCAATTCTTCGGTTTTTTAACTGGGTGGCTTTCAGATCAGCCGTGCCACTCGTGCCATCACCGAGAGGATGTCGCAGGAAGGGCTGATGGGCCAGAGGTTCACCACCTTGATGAATGGTTGGTGAATTTCTGGTTGGGAAACTTGCGATTTTCTTGGGATTTTCTTGGGAAATGGACTGGTTGGTAGATGGGAAGATGGGACAGCTAATATATGGTTAATATTAATGGTTATTATATGGTTAATGATGGTTAATAATCATCTGGTTGGTGGGGGCCAACCTACCCCTCTGAAAAATGATGGAGTGAGTAACAGTTGGGATGATGACATTCCAAAATATATGGAAAAATAAAAGATGTTCCAAACCACCAACCAGTGGATAGTGGTGGATGGGAAAGGGAAAATGGGGCAAATTGTAGTTGGATGCTAAGATGACAAGATGGTGGTGCTAGGTGGGAATAGAACAAACCGCACCTAGCCTTCGCAGGTCCCAGTTGCCGTGCTGCTAGCTTCCAAAACTGGGATTAATCATTTTCCTGTCCATGATGCCATGGATTGCTCCTAGGCTGTTTAACTGGGAGCATCATTTGGGGTATCATTTATCAGATTATCACCATTTGGGGAGTGGCCCAGTGGCCCCCGAAGGTAAACCATGGTGACATTAGCTGCTGGGCAATTTGAATCGTGAGTTTCTCTGAAAATTCATCGAGTCGTTTTTGTTTGTTCAAAGATTCAAATGGGAGTAGAACATTTATTTCATGAAATATATCATATACATTTATTTATTTATATATTATAGATAAATGAATCCCATCCACAATGATAACAATCGATAACCTTAATGAAACATGTACAATCCCATTCATAGATTTAATCAACGAATTCAGAGTTTAGGCAAAGATCCAGCTGAAACTTTACCTGAAACAATGGGGAAAACCATGAGATTTACTCAGTTTTCAATTGTTGTCACTACTATTTTGGCTAGCCAGGTCTTTACCACCGGAAAACCCACGGGAAAACCCAGGGAGAACAGCAATTCACAACTCCTGGGATGCCGTGGCAATGAAGAAGCAGCCGAAGAAGCCTCCCGGAAAAAAAAGGATCGAAGTGGTGGCTGGTGACGTGGAGGGTTGATGGTTGAAACATCAATAGAGCAACGGTCCAAAAAGCCTTCTGGTAAACATACAAAAAGCTATGGAAAATGGTCATTTGTAGATGATATAGCCATTAAACATGATGATGTTCAATAGCTATAATAGCTATGTTACCAGAGGGTGTGGTTTCATCAGGTTTTTTTTGCATCGATGCAATGTCCATCTGTTTTTTCGTGCCACAAAGATGTGTCTCACATCGATGGATCCGTGAATGCGACAATTTAAACATCAGATACAAATCAGCATTTGAAATTTAGTGTAGCTACTTTCTAAAGTATCTAACTGGTTGGCGGGGGCCAACCTACCCCTCTGAAAAATGATGGAGTGAGTAACAGTTGGGATGATGACATTTCCAACTGAATGGAAAAATAAAAAATGTTCCAAACCACCAACCAGCTAAGTATTGATCTACCCTTGGGTTTTTTAACGCTGGAACAATCCAACACTGACAACTTAAAGTCACCGAAAGCGGCTCGGAGCCGAACCTCATGGCAGCTCCAACGAATCCATCACAACTAGACGAAGGAAAATCCCCCAGACATTTTCTCCATATATATATATTATAATATGTATATATATATGTGTGTGTGTAAATATATATATACATATATATATATTAACACATCCCCATTCGAAAACAAAATGGCACCGATGATTTCTGTACTTGGAGGATCATCCCATGGATCGAAGTTGTGCTTTTGACAAAAATTGTAACGTGGCTGTCCGTGGCTTATCCCACACCTGTTAGATGGGTGAACTATGGTCATTCACCACTTATTGGTGCTTGTTCAGTTATTCTGAAAACTAAATCACCAGTCATTCAATGGTTTTTCCTAAAAAAAATGATGGTTTTTCCTATGAAATCTCCATGGATTTTCCACATCCATTTTCCCATGGTAATTTTCCACCATCCCATCCACCATCCCGGCCTAGGATGATCCAATACGTCGAGTCCCAGAACTTGCTGGGCAGGAAAAAGCTGGCGGCCTCACCACGCGTTCCCGTGTCCGCGGGGACCATGAGGAGAAAGGCGAAGACCTGCCAAAAAAAAAGGCGAAGAACCGCGGGAGAGATGGGATTTATCTATGAATCTATGGCTTTTGATGGTAGTTTGATGGCTTTTAAGATGTTTTGTGAGTGGGGTTTCATCGACTGAAACATGGGTGTTGATGAGACTGTCGCTTTTCACTGGGGATATAGTGGGTCAACGGGGATATAATGGGATTTCACCAGCAAAGTGACTTGGAATTCTCGTGGAGTCCCTCTGGCCACGGTACCTGGACAGCTGAAGAATTGCAGCGCCAGGTTTTTTTTTCGAAACGGACAAAAATGCTGGCGAGATCAACATTCGTTGGGACATGGAACACCATTCAAATAATAGGTAAATGATGGTAAATGATCAAACATCAACGAAATTTGCCATCACCACAAACCGCAGCAAGAGTCATTACCCTATCGGGTATCTCCTTAAAACAGCACGAAATCGTTTTTTCACCATCCAAAGCCACTTTTATTGTGGCGTTGCGGCGCCTTTACCATGACCAGGATGCATCCAATCTGCAAACTCTTCTGCATCCACCACTGATCGCCTGATGGAACTCAGAAAAATCAGGGGAAAAGTTGGTGTCACTGCTATGGAGGATCCCCAGTCGTCATCATTGGTGTCGTGCTACTAAAACTGGTTAATGTGGGGGCCAACCGTTCAACCCCTCTGAAAAAGATTTTTGTCAGTTGGGATGATGACATTTCCAACTGAATGGAAAAATAAAAATCATGTGAAAAAAAAAAACACCAACCAGAAAATTGTCTAAGGACTATTTAAGAGGTATAGCCCCTATTTTCGCAAAAGCTCCAAATGATCATGATCTTCAACACAAGTTTTCGCCATGACTTTGAATCCCGTCCCTAAGTCAAAGACGAAATATGGCTGGGATGACTGCAGGATGCTGGGACGAGGGTGAACCGGGTCCTGCTTAAAACTCTCAGTTCGCCACGAGCCACGTGTTTGCTAAGAATCGCTGAATACTTTGGCGTATCTTTCGTTATTTTTCCATTGTTCTAAGCCATTCTCTGGTGATTCCCCATTTATTCCGCAGGCGTGGTAGATTTTTTCCTTCACTTTCCATCACTTGGGGTAGGTTCGCCCTTTACTTCAACAGGATTGTTCCCACGAATCTCCTCCATGTTGGAATGTTGGAGTTCAATTCCCTGATTCCGTCTCACAACCTGCAACTGCATCTTCTTAACAAATGAAGTCTGTGGTTTTACCCTCTGGTTATGACTAACAGTTCGCCATGGAAGCCATGGCCCTAATAGTTCGCGCATTTCTTGCTGGATCACCGAAACGCCCATGCCATGGTCCAGTTTCAGCAGCGAAAAATACCAAGGGTGAGTGCCAAAAAGTAACCATCTAGAAACCCAGTGATATCGGATGTCTGGAATATGACCTGTTATATATATATAATATTATATATATACATATACGCGATCATAATATTATATATATATACATATTATATATATATCATAATATTATATATATTATTATATTATTTATATATATCATAATATTATATATGTTCTGTATATATATATGGGTTAGAAACCACTTATACTTATCTGGGATGCACATCCAAGTATCCCTCTCTGTTGTGAAAAAGGAGTGCGCCCCGCTCATCAACCAATTGGAATTTGAAAACAAAGCCATTTACAGATCCCCTCGGATCAGAAAAAATGTGATTTTACATCCCCATTTGGTGGCAAAATCAGAAAAATGATATGCAATAAAAAAAACTGCGTAAATCCATGAAAATATTGGACAAAAAAAAACTCATATGATTCATATCCCAACAAAAAGTCGCAATCCTGCAGTAGATCCACCGACCAGTGCCGCGCGCCTTTACAGCTCTGCAGTTCGTAGAAGGCATAGAAGCGATCCACGGCTAAACCAAAGGCCACCAGCGCTAACAACACAGCGCCACGCTGCTGGTTCTTGGGATAACTTTCCTGCGCCATCAGGGAAGATTGTGTTGGGAGGATTTTTGACTGGATTTCCACGTAGTGAAAAAATGGGATGTTTGGGAATAGAATTTTGTTGGGCCAAAGTATGGAATATAAATTTGGGATAATTTGGGATGCGTTTTTTTGATGAAAAAATAGTTGGATGATTAAACCACCAACTTGGGATATAGTTTTGGAGAAAACCAGCAAATAAACTGTTGAGTCATGAAGCAAATAAGATTTTACCAAGAACAAAATAGTGATATGACCATCAAAGATGTGGCTTAAAGTGAATTCAAATTGGGTCTTTACCAACCGTATGTGGGGCGTGCTTAATATATTCAACCATTCTAAGGTACATGTAGAAAAAGGATGGTACCTGAATGGGTATGGGCGTGGAAGTTTGCCACGACGAATGATGTTTGGATGGTGTTACAATGCTTTCTTACACCCATGAATTCTATCTCAAAATACCACCAGAAATTTGAGTTTTCTATCTCAAAAATGATCAAAAATGAACATAAACCCAAGAATTTCGGTTGTGAAATGGTCAGAATTTCTGCTCAACAAACATGGCTCCAGCATGGCTCCAGCAGCATGCGTGGCAAATCCTGAATGATCTGATTCTCTTCTCATTTCATTGGTTGAGTGGGGAAAATCCACAGGAAAATCCACAGGATTTAACCATAGATTTAACCAGCCAGATTTAACCAGCCAGATTTAACCAGCCAGATTTTCCCATAAAAACAATCCAGCCAGATGTCATTGTTATGGGGAAAATCTATGGTTAAATCATAAATCTATGGAAAAACAATCCATTGATCATTTTGTTTTGCCCTGTTTGAATGGCCGTCACAACTTGACATCGCTCACGAGATGTCTTTTTCCACCTGCCTTCTCCCATTCCTCCTCGAGGTCCTGTCGAGGAACGCATGTGTTGGATGGATCTACTTTCGCCACATTATTTCTGTCATCGCGGATAGGATTTAGTAGGAAGAAGGATAGTTATATAGAATTATATAAGAAGAAACATATAACACAAGATAACAACAACAATCTAATGTGATGACTGATATATTTCATATGGGCTTTGGTAAACATGTAGTGGAACCCAGAATCCATGAAAAAATCCCATGGTTCCTGCATCGGGGCGACTTCAGTTTGACATAAACTGTGGCCAGTTACACTGTTTGTGAATGTTTTAATGAACATTCACTCTGATTCATAGCCTCTGATATATAAACAGTTCGACCCTGATTTTATCACCCATTTTTCTCATGGAAACATGTTTCTGAACCAACCCCTAATTATCTGCCAGGGTCGAACTGTTAATTTACTGGAGGGTAAGTTATTTTCATGTTAACTCTTCATGTTTTTTCGTTGCGGTGTTGGTGGAACATTCTGGACCAAATCTGGACCAAACTCCACCAGCCTCGTCGAGAAAGCGCATGCCCGGCCCCAGCTTCATGACACAAGGTGTCCCATGGCTATCGGAGCTGGAGGTCGCCTACGACAGGGTGGATGTTCTGGGGGGGAAACGGTCACTTTTTGAGGGATAGAAACAGGAATATTATACAGGAACTTAATGGGGATTAGATAACTTTTATAAATAAGGATATAACTGATGTAACTTCTTAAATAGGGATTTTATAACTTAGAAAATATCTGGAAAAAATGATGATATTTAATTTAACTTATAATACAGTAAATATACCTAGTTTGGGATGAGGAATGTAGTCGTCAAACACGGCTGGAAAATCACCCAGCTGTAGTTCGATCATGAGGTGATCTAACCCAGCAAAATCCTCAAAATATCCACGGGCTTCGGACCGGTTCGGAAGACATCTTTGAGTTCAAAGGGTAAACAGTTTATCGATTGTGTGAAAATAATGGCTACGACTAGCCATTTGAGGAGGAAAAAGCTCAACTGCCCAAGCAACACAAGCAACATTACCCTCACAACTTGGTCAGCTTCACAACATTTCAACTCAGAACCAGCTTGGAGATTCATTTCGCCTACATCATCATCGAACCAAACTGTCGCGCATTTTGCAAATCGCACATGCAGATTTCAATTTGTGTGCCGCTATTACTGTCATGTTTGCAACAGTTGACTAGTTATACCAAATATCCAGAATTGCTGAGAATACCTTCAACTCGTTTTTCATTCCCTCAGCTATACATGCCGGATGTATTGTTCTTGATCATCTATTATTGTTGATGTATTATTGATGACCAATAATCATCTATTATTGAAAATCATCTATTTATATATATATATTATTGATGTATTATGGTTGATCATCTACGCCTCGTCCTCCGAGTCACTGCCCTCAGCATCCACGTCCGCGCGCGCGGCCGCCTGAAGGCTATGTCGCCATAGCTATCTCATATAGGCTATAGCTTATTACGCTTATTTATGGTCGTATAGAGTGTATGTATGTATGTATGTATGTATGTATGTATGTATGTATGTATGTATGTATGTATGTATGTATGTAATGTAATGTAATGTAATGTAATGTAATGTAGTGTAGTGTTGTGTTGTGTTGTGTTGTGTTGTGTTGTGTTGTGTTGTGTTGTGTTGTGTTGTGTTGTGTAATGTAATGGAATGGAATGGAATGCAATGCAATGCAATGTATGTATGTATATATATATGAATATATATTTGAATGTATATATATAAACACCAGATACCAGCAGTTTATTGTGATAGTTTGTTGATGATATCGTACCAAATATACAGTGTATATCATAGAAGCAGTTATAGTGTATATGATAGCAGCCAAATTATAAGATCAATAATTGCATATAAAACTTAGAGCCATAGTTGTAGGGGTTCTCCTAATTTGTAATAGTTCTAATTTATTAGTCGCTAATCTTAAAATAACTGTTATTATGCGACCATGCATCATTGATTCATGTACCCTCTGGTTATTAAACAGTTTGCTATGGTATAGATGGCCCCTTATGCACGATAAAGATGATGACTTACCTAGTAATCATGGTGCTTTCCCCAACAGTCTAAGCTTGGAACCATAAATCATTGATTCCAGATACAAAAACCACGCTGTTATCAAACATGGCCGGGAAATCCCCAAACAATATGGGGATCTTTCTCGAGCCACTCACATCTCAAATAGGATGTACATCAACGCATCAAAAGGTGACCTTTTTCCAAGGAAAATTGTTGTGGATTCATACAGAAAATTGACAAATAATGGCAAAACTGCTTGGTGGTTGAGTTGACCTACCCCTCTGTAAAATGATGGACTTCGTCATTCTTAGTCAATTGGGGTTATATACTCACTTCCCTTTATATGATAGGAAAGTCATTTTTTCCAGCCATGTTCCAGTCCGCACCAACCAGATATACGGTTCCATCATGGCTGGAGGGCGGATGCTGCCAACATGGGTCCCAATCCTTTCCATGTTGGCCAAGATAAAACCTCCAATCTGTTTGGGAATGTGAACCGTCCCCTAAAAGATCACCATATACATAAATGGATGGAAAAGATTCATCATCCCCAAATGGTAGCTGCCAATGGCATTGGGTTTACTGTGAAAACCCCCGACGAATTGTAGCAAAGCATCATATTCTCCTTCAAGTTTGACATTAAATGCACCATTGAAAATTGGACAAAATGCATTTCCACTGGCATGCACCTTCAGCCCGCAAAATGTGTATTCCACCGCTATTGTTTTAGAATCTACCAAACGCTATCTTTTCTGTTTCTGGATTCAGACAAGGCTAAATTTCACCCCAACTTTTTAGAAAGTAGGTTTACATCTTAGTAACCCCCGACATGCACGGGCCCTGCGGGCCCTGGCCCGCCTGATTAAGGAACCGGGGCTTTCGGGCCTGGCATTGGTCCGGTTCGCTTGGACAACTGACCTTTCAGTCTATTTTTAGGTCCCTTGAAAGATCAGTATTGCCGAACAGTGTGTATTTCTGTTGCCTGTTTTTCTTTTTGTCGGTTTAAAAAAGGGACGATTTTGGTCCAGGTTTCGATTTTTTTCAACGCGTTGCCCAGCTGAGAGGTGCTCAACAAATGTTTCGTCCTCGAGTTGTGATGTCGGGATTATCACCCAACCAATGGCTGTGTCTGAAAATAAGGTACACCAAGCAAAAACCGATGAAAAATGCCTGTTTTACGGCGATTTTTTGATGACTCTCCATCACATGTAGAAAGGATTTTCCCAAGAATTTTCAGACAAACCCACATGTCCATCGTTCAAAACCTACTTTCGGTTACATCTGTTACTAGTCTCCCCCATGTTCACCCATGGAGGAACCACAATCCCGCAAAATGCTGATTGGTCTGATTGGTCTTCAAGAAATGCATGGTCCCGTTTTCATAAAAGCATCACAATGGAAAATTGCCTTTTTCTTATACAGTAGATAAACATAGATAAACCATCAATCTCCACATAATACACATAGTTTGAATCCATATGTATCCCCGCATCTTTCTGTGGATTGAATCTCCAAATTTTCCTTCAGTTTCCTTGGTGAAATCCCCACTGAGCCGTGCCGCCCCATGGCCCATTTTTTCATGGCGAAATGATGGGAGGTGCGGCAAAATACAAAAATGTGTTAGATTCCCATGATGTAGAAATTACTGGGTAATTCATAGTGATTTGGAGATGGTTGATGGTGATTAATTCCCAATCTCTTGGTGAAAAAAACCCATTACGTCATGCGTGTGCTTGGGAAAGTCTATTCCCAGAACGCTCCGAACCACTCCCTTAGTTCACCATGGGATAGATGAAACATATTGCTATATATTGATGGTGATACCCTATTGATGAACTACTATATGTTATATAACTGTTATATCATTGATGGATAGATGATAAATGGGGATATATAAATGGGTATATAAGTCCCTTATCATGTCTTGATTTGGTTATATATTGCCAGTTATATACCCTACTATATCCCCATTATTGACCATAAATTGCTGGTACATCCCCTACAAAGCTCGCAGCTCGCATTATATCTCATTGTTTACCTAACGACTGGATAGATGAAAAATCTCATGTGTTGATTATTTCTTGATTTGTTGAATTAGGTTACCATTTGTTGATCCTCAATTAATTAGATAGATAGATAGATAGATAGATTAGATAGATAGATAGATAGATAGATAGATAGATAGATAGATAGATAGATAGATTAGATAGATAAATAGATAGATAGATAGATATATAGATAGATAGATAAATAGATAGATATATAGATAGATAGATAGATAGATAGATAGATAAAAATAAAAATAAAAATACAGATATAGATATATGCACATATAGATATATCCTTTGGTAATCAGCCATCATTTCTGCTTCCACTCCGCTGTTACAAAGGGACCCTTTTCAACGGACCCGACCCCTTCGACCGACCGCCTTCCGCATGGCACTCGCTACGGCATCCTGTGGAGGTGACAGTCGTGATATTCCATGTTTGGCGGGTGATTTTTTGGCCACAGAAATAGTTGATTTACCCATTAAAAATGGTGATGTTCCCATCAAAAATGATGATTTACCCATTAAAAATGGTGATTTTCCCATTAAAAATGCTGATTTTCCAGTTCGTTCTGTTAGTTCGTTATGTCTATCCCAATCTTTTGTTGGTGAAGGCACCCATCGTTGGCGAACTCAGCCGTGAAGTAAATGAACCAAGCGTCCAATATGATCAACAGCCGGACGGCGTTTGAGGAGGTTGTGTCTTTTCGAAATTGGTGACTCCCCAAGCCATAAGATTACTTGTAGCAAGCTCCAGATAGGAAAAGTGTGTTCAGATTGTTGTAGATCATATTTCCCCATAGTTACAAGGTGTTCAACCTTTCTATCTTTTTGGAGAGTGCACCAACATTAGCGTCCCCACTGAAACCCCAGTCCACTCCCCCATCCCACCTTCCGCTGTTGTGGTTGTGTGGTCCACTGCAATAACAAGGCGATCATGAACATGCCCAAAGCAGAGCCCATGTGCAAATGTCCATGAGGATCCTGGCATCACCAGGTGGTGACTTGTCGAGTCATAGGGATCCCCTGAAAATTTATCGCTGGTTTTTTTGAGGGAAAATCCCAATCTCAAATGGATTATTTATTTAGGGGTACCCCTATGCTAGGAAACCTCCATATCTCTTTCAAAACAACATTGGTTTCTTCAAGTTCATCGTGAAAAATTCCTGCGGAAAGGTCTACCAACGTCGGATGCGGATTGGATGTGGTGACTGACCCCGAACCGCGTAACTTGACCCATTCCCCATGTTTCAAACATTAACCTCTGGTAATTTCACATAGCTATTGAAAATGGCCCAGTCGAAATAGTGGATTTACCCATGAAAAATGGTGGATCTTTCCATAGCTATGTCAAATTACCAGAGGGTAACATTGAACCAAGCCGTATTACGCACCAGGATCCGGCCGTGGTGCACATCTGCCGCTTCCGGTTTCAAGAACTCCCCAGGTGTGGAGGATGGTAATGTGGGATTCACCCAAAACATCCCGAGTACCCGAGTCATTGGTGGTATAAACCCTCCGAAAAAAAGGAGCTTCATGATTTGGCAAAATGCCATGTTTTGCCTCATTAGAAAGTTTCTACAAGAGAACGGGTCGTACGGAAGTTGGTGCTTCATCTAAGTCTTGCGCATTTTGCAAATCAGCCACAGAACAGCATGTTTTTTTGGATCAATTTGGATCAGTTGGCCTTTTTTTGTGGTCCAGCAATGTCGAGAAAATTGATCAAACACCACATAAAGCAGCCATTCTTTCTGCATTTCTCGCTATATATAATATCATGTCATATCATATCATTTATCTGGTCAGGATCAATGAAACAAGGTTCCCATGCAGGTCACTTGAGACATCCTGGGAATGACCGGATTCAAGGGAATGTCTCCGTGGTACCTATAAACGTTCACCACACCAGTTTGCTTGGTCCGAAAGGTGCGGAAAATGTTCATCGCTATCCCAACATGTAGGGACCCCAATGAAGTGTCGTCCTTGTCGTACTTCTCAGACCAATTGGGGATATCTCGTTTCCGCGGTTGATGCGCGTAGTTGTTCTGGCGGCAAAGCAAGGAATATGGCGTTTTGAACACTGCCCTGTTCACCTCCTATGTGTTTCTACAGCTCAAAAGCCCAAACATGGCTGGTCTCCCAAAAAATGACTCCATCTGCGGGGATCTGGAAAAATGTTGCCCTACACCCACAAATGTTTGTCGGGTTCATCACATACTCAGTCCGTTGGAAGGACAAGTTCACATAACAACTTTAATCAATGGGAATTTCAGGATCCTAAAATAGAGGTACTGTACCATATTTCTGGCATTTTCTGGCCATATGTTGTGGGGATATTCCCTACTTAATGTGCCTCTCAAAATTGGGAGCTCTACGATTGAATGAGGTACCCGTAAGGGTAAACTAACACTTCGATGTGGTGGTTTCACCCACCACAAATTTGTGGATCAAAAAAATTGCTATGGAAACCAGGGCTGAAAACCACATCGAACTGTTAGTGAAAACCCCAGGGAATGGCCTGTGAAGCCCTAGTGAATTGGTTGGGTCTAGTGACTTACCGTTCACGAATTTGGGGCTACCATTCTATAAAGAGAAATAAAAAAATCAATCCCCCATATAAAACTAAACTCGGGGTCTTTGAAAAAATGGGATTAACATTAGCCCCCAAATGCTCCACTTTGGGTTCCCAAGTGCCCATTTATCGTGCATCTTCCGACTGTAAACTAGGGCCGACAAGGGGCGAAATATAAGCGATTCATTGCTTCCCTTTGGAAATATCCCAATGACATCACTGACATCCCATCATCTCATTGGCTTGTCGTGACCCAGTTCAGTGCTTAGTGAATTCCATGAATCTTCCCATTCAATTTTCCTATTTGGCAGTGTGTCAAAAGCCTGGTACCTTTTGTGAACCCCAAAATAGCTGGTAAATGGATGTCCATCCCATTAAAAATGGTATCTATAGGTATTGACCCATACCCATTTCCACCTCTTATCCAAAAGCCTCCGCTGACCCCGCCTCCTCATCAACCTCATGCTGAACGTCCGACGGCAACTGCGTCTTCTTCTTGATACTGGAGCCGGGCGAAGAAAACTCACCGCAACTCCCGAAAGTTAAGGACTGGGAGAACCAGCAAATGTCGATACCAAAAAAAGAGAATATCGGCGTGTATGTAACATGTATACATGTATATGTATATTTATATATATATATATATAGAACCATTGGAATTTGCCCTAATCGGGGATACACGATCCCAAAAAAAAACGACGAACGACGCCCAGTTCGGAGTTTTCCATTTCGCGGCCCACCATGGAGCTGATGACCGGAGGGTAAATCCCATGATTTTTATCCCATCCATCCCTATTTTTTCTCAATGAATCACTATGATTCACCCAGGCTTTCCATGGTAAATATCATGTCAATGATTCACAAAAATGTTGACTAAGTATCTTTCCATCAAATCCCCTGAAACCACATAAAATATCCATATTTCATGGTAAAAATTCTATGACATCCCGTTCATCATGGACATTCCGCCTGCATTGCGTCCCGCAGGAAGCCTGCAGCGATCGAAAGTTTCGAAACGACGAAAGGAACCGGGGTAAGCCCATGGGGTTCACCACTCGTTTTAATCAAAAAAAATTGGGCATTGGATAGTGGCGAAAAAAAACCCTGGTCGCCGGTAGGTGAACACCCCATAGATGTCATCCTACCGGATGTTCACCTCCTCAAAAATATGGTGCAAAATTGCGAGGTTTTGACCCATCCCAACAGTGATTGGCTGCCGGGTTTTCTTGGTTTCATCCGATGTGTTTCCAAAAACCTCCTTTTATTGCTCCTAGATGGAACGTTCCAAATGGAAGTTAATCGTCATATTCATCATCAAAATTGGCATATATTTTAAATGTAACCTTATGTCTGGACAGACCCGTATAAGATATCCAGGTCCTTGCTCCTTATATATTGTCCCTTTGCCATATCCATACACTCCCTTACATCCCTATTAGCTATGAATATCCCCATGATGGTCCATGATGGTTGATGATCATTGTCACAAAAACGGCAATGAATTTGGGATATCCTCCATTTTTGGACACACCCAGATGTTCACAATATCACCATATATCACCCATCATTTTCGGGGTTTACCCCCCAACTCTTAGCACCAGGCGACAACCAACCGATCGACCAGCCGCTACGCACCTCTTTGGTTTCGTTCACATCGGGGAGGCTGCTCTTGCCATTCTTCTGCACCCGAGGCGACGAGTTGGTGATAAATCATTGGATTTAGGGGTACCATGGGGTACCTATTTCAAAAAAAAAGACGAGTCCTGATTGACAAAGTACTTTCAATGGATTTCCATTGACATTAAACTCATTAAACCTGGAAACCAAGATATGTTCACCAACATTTCGAGGATGGGTTACCTAAATCTGCACGAAATCAACTTTTCCAGGTGCACGAAATCAATGGGATGTTCACATCACTGGGATGACTTTGTTCGCTCCTTTCGCTATTTTGGAGGCTTGATCCCACCCATTTTCTGGTAATGACAGGGATGCCACTTTTCTGAAACCGCCCACAGGTGTTTCAAATGCGGTTTTTTCTATTTTCTTTTCGAAAAAACTCATCGCCGAATCATCCGCCACTGACCTACTGACAAACCATTGGGAGATATGGTTTAAAACCATGGACATCCATGGACAAAAAAAACAAAAAAGGGTATGGTCGATTTGGTTTTTCACCTGGCCGTCCTATCACCACGGATCAACCAAGCGGAAGGCAAACATCGCCATTTCAGGCCACGCTTATCGCGCGGGAAGATGTGGGAAGGCCATCTGAACCAGAGTTACCCGGAAGGTCACCTATAGAATACGGAAACAAATCCCAAATCATTTCTTCCCAACTAGCCTCTGGTAAATAACATTTACATACATTTACAGTTTGCGAACTGAAAAATCCTCCTTTTTTAGCTGGGTAAATCAACTATTTCGACTGGGCCATGGCTTCTATGTCGCAAACTGTTAGTCGTTACAAGAGGGTATTGTTGGCGATCCACATGTTCATCCCATAGATACAATCGTGCATTCCGCCTTGGGTACGCCTACCGACTCTGCCTGGGAAATGGCAAACGTCTATCGATTCACAACAAGACTCGACATTTGAAGGGGGATGTACCGTTCTCTTGAAATATCTGGATAACTACAGTAAGTGATCATAACTCATAACTGAATTCAAGAAAAAATCTGATGATTTTCCAAAGATTTACGAGGCCAGGAAGGGCACTTTTTTAAAAAATTCTCCAGGGTGCCGCTGGCCTGCCCCAAGTCATCATCGATGCGGAAGTCTTAAAAATGCAGTTTTTAGATGAGGTGTATCAAATATGGCAGTGTGTCAAAACCTTGTACCCCTGGTGAACATCAAAATAGCATCTTGACACTTTCAGGTTTTGGGTTTTCTGATTTAAATTTTTGACATTCCCATTAGGAATTCTCTACTATATAACTATCGGGTTCCCAAGAAACAAATCTTCAAGGTCACTTTCCATTTTCTTGGTGTTCTTATCCTTGTTGATTCCATTTTAAAAAAAACAATGGCTGGTTCAATCCTCAATTTTAGCTCAACAAAATCCACATTTTCATTGTCTCAGAAGATCTCAGAAGCTACCGAGCCCTCGTCCTCGTTGGCATCACGCAGCGCTTGCCCATCTTGCACCAAGCACCTCGCTTTTGACAAAGGGCCGTTTCAGGGAGTTGCCCCAGAGATGGTGAATCAATGGGAAAAGCCAACAAAGAATTTTCATGTTGGTAAAGCAATAGGATCCACCATCCGCAATGACAATGGGGGCTATAATCCATTCAAATACGGGTGGTTTAGAAATGTTTTACTAACATATTCAACATTAATGCGGTTATATTGGGGATAGAATGGGGATGTCAGATTCATCAAATGGATTGGTTTAAAGCATAAAGGACATGAAACGAGAGGAATATTGTGGTTTGCATGAAATATTTGGTTTTCTTAAAAAATTGCCTGTCAACCAATCATCCGATCAAATATAAACGGGGATGCAGTATTTGGGTTAACCCTCAGAACTAGCAAAGTGAATCAACTGGATGAAAAAATACCAAAAATGCTGGATACATTCCAAAAACCATAAGGAATGCTGGTACAGCCTAGTACAGCCTAGTACAGCCAATCGTGCCTGGGTCGTGGATCAAACCCCCGAGCATGGCCAATCATTGACCATCATGATGAATCCCAAAAAATGTAGCAACTCACCGCCGTGGTCCGGGGGTCCACACAGCAAAACTGCGCAAATATGAAATTTCATCAATGACCTGGCAAAGGCATTGAAGGATTCAATGGCCAGCTGGCAAAACCAATCATAAAACGAATCAACATCGATCAACCGCAAAACTTTGATCGTCTTCGGCATCAAGAATCCCAAGGAAGGGGCATTACAAGTTGATGTTTCC